GTCAAAGAGTACAAGCTTCCAGTTTGAAGATGACTAAGTTCTGAGGATCTAATGCACAGCATTGTGGTTATAGATAAAAATACCATACTATATAATTGGGAGTTGCAGAGAGAATAGATCTTACATGTTCTCACCCCAAAAAAGAAATGGTATGTGGAGTGGTGGAGGTGTTAACTAACACTGCAGTTGTAATTATAGTGCAATATATGTGTTTCAGATCAATACCTTGTTAACCTTAAAAGTTACACAATGTTATATGTGAGTTTATCTCAGTAAAGTTGGAGGAAAAAATTGAAGAACTGATCTGATAGATGAAACTTTGATAATGAACATGGTCTCTGAGGAAGAGTATAGAGCAAGCAGAGCAAAAGTAAGAGAATTGAATCTTGGGATGTATCCTAATTTAGGGTGCTAGAGAAATGGATTATAAGGTTAAATAATTTCCATCAATAATTAGAGGAAATACCTTTTTAGTTCTGTAATATTCGTTGATGTGATTTCCTTGGACTACTCCAAACACATTTTACCTGTAACCAAATCACTTTTCTTGGATTTCCCTAATCTGTCCACATACTAGTTATCTCTTTATCATTTGTTTTTGAGATGCTAGCACTTACTGGCTTGGTATCCTCAGATTTTAAGGTGGTACTATATAGTTAGAAATAAAAAGCAAGCCACATGTGTTACTTAAAATTTTCTGATAGCCACCAAAAAAAAAAGTTAAACAGGTGAAATTAATTTTTAAAATATATTTTGTTTAACCCGATATATCCAAAATGTTACCATTTAAATGTCTAATCAAATAATGATATTTTGGATTTCTGTTTTTGTACTAAGTCTTTGAAATCTGGTATGTATTTTATACTTGCAGGACATCCCAGTTCAGGCAAGCCACATTTCCAGTGCTCAGTAAGACACATATGATTAGTTTCTGCCATATAAAACAATGCCGTTTCCAAGGTGTTAAAAGACTAGAATGATTTCTGCTGGGGAGCTGTTCAGTCTGCTCTATCATAAGTGCCATGAGCATTCATTTCTTAAGAGAAAGACACAAATTTGGCAAAAATAAGCAAAATGTCTATGATTTTCTATTTGTTTTAGGTATCCAGGAATAAAGCAAGCTTAGATAGGGAAGTACCATAATGTTTCAGTGTCTCAGTGCTGCTTAAGAAAATCCTTCCTCTTTGCCTGTAGAATACTAGAAAATACTGCTTTAGGCTTAAATTATGGTTAAATGCTTCAGGCTTTTGCTGTAAATCTCATATAACTTCATAGTCTCCTCGGCAAACATATAAAAGCCCCTTAACTAATACGTCTTAACACTTTCAGGCCTTCCCAAACACAGTAAAACCTTTAAGGTCACAATTCTTATGATGAATATCAGTAACCCTTATCAAATATACCCTCTACTTGGACATGTCATTTTTAACACGATGCCAAGAACTTTATGGTAAATTTCCAAAAGTATGAAGTGAAACAAATATAAATGAAATAGAAATGCATTGTATAAATATCTCATTATCAATAATAAAAACACAAGTTGCTAAATTTATATTTAATTTTACTACAGTTTTCAAAGTTAATTGCAAAATAAAACATTAAATGTGGGAAATTTTTGTCTTACCAAGTAGAATAAAATGTATTTATGTGGATTGCCTTTGTGTACTGTTTAATCATTTAAAAAATATATTTTTAGACTAATTTTGAAAATCATTGCAAGGAACACATTGCTAATATTTATTCATTATAAATCTGAATATTTGTATCCTAATGCTGTAACGTTGGACTTTCTGCGTAACTCAGTCAGTAAAGCATATGCCTGCAATGCAGGAGACTTGGATTCAATCCTGAGTCGGAAAGTTCCCCTGGAGAAGGAAATGGCAGCCCACTCCAGTATTCTTGCCTGGAGAATCCCATGGACAGAAGAGCCTCCTGGTAGGCTACAGTTCATGGGATCGCAGGACAGAACTATCTTTCTTGGGCTTCCCTGATAGCTCAGTTGGTAAAGAACATGCCTGCAATGCAGGCGGTTTGATTCTTAGGTCAGGAAGATCTGCTGAAGAAGGGATAGGCTACCCACTCCCGTATTCTTGGGCTTTCCTGGTGGCTCCGCTGGTGAAGAATAAACCTGCAATTGGGAGGCTGGGTTCCATCCCTGGGTTGGAAAGATCCTCTGGAGAAGGGAAGGGCTACCCACTCCAGTATTCTGGCTGAGAGAAATATCAATAAACTCAGATATGCAGATGACACCACCCTTATGGCAGAAAGTGAAGAGGAACTAAAGAGCCTCTTGATAAAGGTGAAAGGAGAGTGAAAAAACTGGCTTAAAACTCAACATTCAGAAAGTGAAGATCATGGCATCTGGTCCCATCACTTTATGGCAAATAGATGGGGGAACAGTGGAAACAATGACAGACTATTTTCTTGGGCTCCAAAATCACTGCAGATGGTGATTGCAGCCATGAAATTAAAGGATACTTGCTCCTTGAAAGAAAAGCTATGACCAACCTAGACAGCATATTAAAAAGCAGAGACATTACTTTGCTGACAAAGGTCCATCTAGTCAAAGCTATGGTTTCTCCAGTAGTCACGTGTGGATGTGAGAATTGGATTATAAAGAAAGCTGAGTGCCAAAGAATTGATGCTTTCGTACTGTGGTGTCGGAGAAGACTCTGAGTCCCTTGGACTGCAAGGAGGTCAAATCAGTCCATCCTAAATAGGAAATCAGTCCTGAATGTTTATTGGAATGACTGATGCCGAAGCCGAAACTCCAATACTTTGGCCACCTGATGTGAAGAACTGATTCATTGGAAAAGACCCTGATGCTGGGAAAGATTGAAGGCAGAAGGAGAAGGGAACGACAGAGGATGAGATGGTTGGATGCCATCACCGATTCAGTGGACATGAATTTGAGCAAGCTCCAGGAGTTGGTGATGGACAGGAAAGCCTGGTGTGCTGTAGTCCGTGGGGTCGCAGAGTCAGGCACAACTGAGGGACTGAACTAAATGCTGTAACACATTTTCAAAAATTGTAATGAAATAAATCAGGAAGAAACTTACTTACCTGGTTTCGTTTGTCAGATGTAATTTAGTAATGAGCTGGTTAGGGATTTTCCTGCAGGTTTTTTTTTCATCTTGTTTACTTAGGATTTAAGTAGAGTTGGGAAAACCAAGTCAAATACTTTCAGAAATTCTTTCCAGATGCGCTTATACAATTAAATACTATTGTTGATTACTTGCTAAGTTGTGTCTGACTCTTTGCAACCTCATGGACTGCAGCACTCCAGGCTCCTTTGTCCTCTGCCAACTCCCAGAGTTTGCTCAAATTCTTGTCTATTGTGTCAGTGACGCTATCTAACCATCACTTCCTCTGCTGCCCCCTTCTCATTTTTCCTTCAGTCTTTCTCTGCATCAGGATCTTTTCCAGTGAGTTTGCTTTCCACTCAGGTGGCCAAAATATTGGAGATTCAGCAACAGTACTTACAATGAATATTCATAGTTGATTTCCTTTAAGACTGACTGGTTTGATCTCCTTGCAGTCCAAGGGACTCTCAAGATGATTCTTTAGCACCACAATTTGAAAGCATCAATTCTTTGGCACTCAGCCTTCTTTATGGTCCAACTCTCACATCCAATACTGGAAAAACCATAGCTTTGACTATATGGACCTTTGTTGGCAAAGTGATGTCTTTGCTTTTTAATACGCTGTCTCAGTTTATCATAGCTTTCCTTCCAAGGAGTGTCTTTTTATTTTGTGGCTGTGGTCACCGTCCACAGTGATTTCGGAGCCCAAGAAAATAAAATATGTCCTTGCTTCTACTTTTTCCCTTTCTATTTGCCATGAAGTGATGCGACTGGATGCCCTGATACTAGTTTTTTGAATGTTGAATTTTAAGCCAGCTTTTTCATTCTCCTCTTTCACCCTCATCAAGAGGCTCTTTAGTTCCTCTTCACTCTGCCATTAGAGTGGTATTATCTGTATATCTGAGGTTGTTAATACTTCTCCCAGCAATCTTGGTTCCATCTTGTGATTCATCCAGACTGGCATTTCGCATGATGTACTCTGCATATACGTTAAATAAGCAGGATCATGGTATACAGCCTTGTCATACTCCTTTCCCAGTTTTGAACCAGTTCCATGTTTGATTGTAACTGTTGCGTCTTGACTCACATACAGATTTCTCAGGAGGCAGGTCAGGTGGTCTGGTATTCCCATCTCTCTAAGAATTTTTCCATTTGTTGGAATCCACACAGTCAAAGGTATTAGTGTTGTGAATGAAGCAGAATTAAATGTTTTCCTGGAACTCCCTTGCTTTCTCCATGATTCAGTAAACATAGACAATTTGATCTCTTGTTCCCCTGCCTCTTTGAAACCCAGCTTGAACATCTGGAATCTCTCGGATCACGTGTTGCCTTCATGCATCACAGCCTTGTCTTGGTGAAGGGGCTTGCATAATTCAGTGAACCTATGAGCCATGCTGTGCAAGGCCACCCAAGATGGGCAGGTCATGGTGAGAGTTCTGACAAAACATGGTCTGCTGGAGGGAGAAATGGCAACACACTCTAGTATTCTTGCCAGGAAAATCCCATGGACAGAAGAGCCTTGTGGGCTATAGTCCATGGGGTCTCAAAGAATCAGACGCAACTGAGTGACTGAGCCTACATGCCCCAGAAAGAATGAAGTGGCTAGGCCAAAGTGGAAACAGCATTCAATTGTGGATGTGTCTGGTGGTGAAACTAAAGTCCGATGCTGTAAATGACAGTAATTAAATATATTAGCCTTTTAAATAATATTTTTAGTCTCAAAAAGTTAAAATATATTACGGTTTAAATGTACCATATAGGTTCAGTATTAAAGAGAACTGGATTTTTACTCGTGTATATGTACTTTTTATGAAGCTGAGCAATTCCAAGTGATATTTCCCAGCCATCTTGGACATTTTGAGTAGTTTATTCTAACTGTTTATTAAGATTCCTAAATAGTTCTCTTTTTCTTTGCAGAGATAAAAGCAACAGTGTTTGATGACTGCAAGAAAGAAGGCGAATGGAAGGTAGAATTTACATATTCACATAGAATTTGTATAATGCTAGAAACCTTTATTGGGGACTTGTACATATTTTATTTATTACACTTGTATAAAAGTACAGAGTTAGAACCATAGTGTTTGCCTTCAAATCGCAGCTTTACCTCCTATTAGCTGTGGCTTCTTGAGCAAATTACTTGATGTCTCTATGCCTCTGTAAAGTAGGGATGGTAGTATGTCGTAGAGTATTTGTAAATATTAAATTAATTTATTCATATAAAGTGCTTAGAACAGTGCCTAGAACAATTATTCCACACAAGCAGCATTTTATGATTTTAAGAAAATTTGATGTTTAACATAAGATGCATTTAAAGGGAACAAATTCTGCTTCAAAGTGAAAATATTGCTTATGTGTAATATTGTATGACCATATATTGAGGAAATAAATTTCTAAGTCATGAAAGTTAAATGAGTTGAGATAATTTTGTTTACTCTCCTGATATTTTAATTTTATGTTATAAAAAGATTATGAATTTGAGTTTGTTTAATGCATTAAATTGTCTTTTGTGAATTCTTGGCAGTTAAATGCTTAAACTATTTCTTAATTTATATTTATTTTAAGATAATGCTTCTAGATGAATTTACCACTAAGCTTTTGGCATCATGTTGCAAAATGACAGATCTTCTAGCAGAGGGTATAACTGGTAAGTGTTTCAAATACTCACCATGAAAAACTTTTTTTTTTATTATGATAGGGAGAGTTTAAAGTATTAATAAATTTTAGTTAGTAATTGTGTTTCTCAGGGGATTATGTCTTATTTTTTTAGTGACTGTAGCTATAATAATTATTACGGACACTCTTTTCTTTGTGAATCTTCAGAATAACCTCTGTAAGTCAGGATTTTTCCCCTCAGCTGAGGCATGTAATTAAGTGCCCCTATCCAAGACTAAGTCAGTTGCCTTGCTGAGTTTGTTCTTCAAATTTTTTATTGTTATATATTTGTTATGGTTTTGTATGTTGATGCAGTAAGTTTACTTCAGTATTTTGACTGATGTTTGTGGTTTTCATGTTTTGTTTTTAAATGGATGGTAAGATTTATGTCATAAAATCAACTTTTGTGCCTATTTCCAAGTGTGTAATACTGACTTTTTAAGCTTCTCTTTATTACTTAGATATGAGGCAATTGCAAATTTAAATCAGCTTTAGTGTGGGGTTATGAAAAATAACACTGCCACAGTTGCTGTCTTCCACCAGGCAGGATTGTGTTAATAAGATTTTAATTTCTCTTACCTTTTGGGGAAAGTATCACTCACTATCTTGTAATATTCATAATCATGTTATCATCCATAACTCATCATCGTTTAACTCATTTATTTAAATTTGTTCTTCATAATAGCGTTTTAAAGACAGATATTAAATACCATAGTTTGTAATGTGAAAACTGAGACTCCAAGTGAAATATAATTCTTTGTTTATATTTTTGACTTTTTTTTTGTTAGTTGTGGAGAATATTTATAAAAATCGAGAACCTGTCAGACAAATGAAAGCTCTTTATTTTATCTCTCCAACATCAAAGGTGAGTAGTGTTTTGAATCTAAACAGCATGTTCTTCAAAACTTTCACCATACATGTGATTTTCTCTTAGGAAATTTAAAGTAATAAAATGTCCTTTATTAGACAGGTAGTGTTATAAACTAGTTTGTGTAAGAAAGTCTTTCTGAATTAGAAGGTTGTTTTATTTGCATTCTTCTCAATGGGAATATATGTGAAAGAATTCCTTTCTCCGCCTATATGAAAGCAGAATTTATTTGTATAAAACAATAGAGTTTCAAAAAAATTAAGTTTCTTTCAGTAATTTGTTACTCATGTAGTTTCTAGTCAACCATGATTTTAGGAGAAAGGGAATGTATGTAAAAGAAATAGTCTTGGATTAATCTTTCATTAATATTAGTTACTTCCCTATAGCATACACATATGTATCTGTATACACACACATATGCATATATATGAATGTATGTATATTTTTTATGGGAAAGGAATTTTTAAATTTATAATCTAACCATGATTTAATTCATACTTAAAGTCAAGCTTTTAGAGTCATATAAAGTATCAGATTCATTTATTCTGAGAGAACATTTTCCAACACATCCTTTGGCTTTTTCTTAGAATAAAATTGTTAATTTTACAATTCCAGTTTCATTTCTTCTAACTCTAGCAGACAGTAGGGAAAAACCCAAATATTTACTATGTAATCTCTACATGTTGGCTGCTGGTAGATTTTAATGACATTTTGTATCTTATCTGTAATATAATTTTATAAGAAAATTTATGCTCAGAAAAAAATGAAAGTCAAAAGCACCATTTTCACCTACTAAATTGGCAGAGGGATTAAAAAAGTGTGGGTGTATATTTAGACATTTATTTATTTATGTGTCTTACCTATGTATCATATTCCAGCTCTCAATATGCATTATCAATGGATAATCGAGCAGAAACTGCTATATACTGCTAGTGGGAGTATAGATTAATACAACCTTTTTGGAAAATAATTTGCCATATCAATAACCTTAAAACATTCTGAGTCATGAAATTTTTTGTTAAAAAAAATCAGTAAATGGTTAAACTAAGTTCCTAAAATCCAGAGAAATTCTTAGCGTTAATACATAATGGTAGGAAAGACCTTGTGACCATTGAAAATGAGATTTCTAGAAAATTTTACTAATCTATGTCAATGTTCATTTTTAATGTAAGTGACAGAAAGCAGGATACAAAATAAAATATTCAGGAAAGGATCAAAGAATTCAGAGAAAATGATATCTAAATGTGACTCCTTTATCTCCCACAACCAATTCTGGTTTCTCTTCCTATCCTGAATCAATTCACTTTTGGGTCCTATAGACCTATAGATGCATGTGAGACCTTGGACTCTTTGGGCACTTGTAGAGAAACTTGGTATGAGATTTCCTTCCTCAGGGGCTGGGCAAGCATCTGGAGACTAGCTTCAGAGAGTTCTCAGGCAAGGGTCATGAAATGACAGATTTTAGGAAGAATTTTGGTTATAAGAGATCTGTGAACCCTAGGGGAAAGGTCAGATGGGTGGTTTGTTTTCTTTTATACTCACAGCCCTCAGGAGGAGAAACCTGTTTACCTTCTTCTTATGGTACTGCCTCTCTTTAGGATACTCCAACAGCTAAACCTAAGCGTTAGTTGAGCTGATATAGAAGCAACCACACATCTAAATGGGTCAAGTGACCAGAGAGAGAAGGTTTAGTAAGAATGAGAAAAGGATACATATAGCAAAATACAAGAGCTTGGACGGAAGGATGATAATCTAAACAGAAAATAGTACACTTCAGAAGAGTCTGGTGTAACATGTAAAAACTTTCTGAAGCTCTGAAGTATATTTTCTTAGTTAAGTAGTTAACTGTAGAGGAGGATAATCACTATGGAAATTTTAATTGATAGTCTGGAAGATAAAAACGAAGTATCTCAAAGCAAAAAAAAAAAAATCATGGAAATCATGGTGGGGAAGATAAGAGACTTGCAGGGTAGATTAATGAGCTCTAACAGAAATATGTTACTGCCCACTACTAATATGTTAGTAGTAAATATGTTAATATCTACTACCGTGGGCAGGAATCCCTTAGAAGAAATGGAGTAGCCATCATGGTCAACAAAGAGTCCAAAATGCAGTACTTGGATGCAATCTCAAAAATGACAGAATGATCTCTGTTCATTTCCAAGGCAAACCATTCAATATTACGGTAATCCAAGCCTATGCCCCAACCAGTAACGCTGAAGAAACTGAAGTTGAGTGGTTCTATGAAGACTGCAAGACCTTTTAGAACTAACACCCAAAAAAGATGTCCTTTTCATTATAGGGGACTGGAATGCAAAAGTAGGAAGTCAAGACACTACTGGAGTAACAGGCAAATTTGGCCTTGGAGTACAGAATGAAGCAGGGCAAAGGCTAACAGTTTTGCTAAGAGAATGCACTGGTCATAGCAAACATCTTCCAACAACACAAGAGAAGACTCTACACATGGACATCACCAAATGGTCAACACTGAAATCAGATTGATTATATCCTTTGCAGCCAAAGATGGAGAAGCTCTATACAGTCAGCAAAAACAAGACTGGGAACTGACTGTGGCTCAGATCATGAACTCCTTATTGCAAAATTCAGACTTCAATTGAAGAAAGTATGGAAAACCATTAGACCATTCAGGTATGACCTAAATCAAATCCCTTATGACTATCCAGTGGAAGTGAGAAATAGATTTAAGGGACTAGATCTGATGGAGTGCCTGATGAACTATGGATGGAGGTTCGTGACATTGTATAGGAGATAGGGGTCAAGACCATCCCCATGGAAAAGAAATGCAAAAAGGCAAAATGGTTGTCTGAGGAGGCCTTACAAATAGCTGTGAAAAGAAGAGAAGTGAAAAGCAAAGGAGAAAAGGAAAGATACTCCCATTTGAATGCAGAGTTCCAAAGAATAGCAAGGAGAGATAACAAAGCCTTCCTCAGTGATCAATGCAAAGAAATAGAGGAAAACAACAGAATGGGAAAGACTAGAGATCTCTTCAAGAAAATTAGAGATACCAAGGGAACATTTCATTCAAAGATGGGCTCAATAAAGGACAGAAATGATATGGACCTAACAGAAGCAGAAGATATTAAGAAGAGGTAGCAAGAATACACAGAAGAACTGTACAAAAAAGATCTTCATGACCTGATAATCACGATGGTGTAATCACCCACCTCGAGCCAGACATCCTGAAATGTGAAGTCAAGTGGGCCTTAGAAAGCAGCACTACGAACAAAGCTAGTGGAGGTGATGGGATTCCAGTTGAGCTATTTCAAATCCTGAAAGATGATGCTGTGAAAGTGCTGCACTCAATATGCCAGCAAATTTGGAAAACTCATTGGTGGCCACAGGACTGGAAAAGGTCAGTTTTCATTCCAATCCCAAAGAAAGGCAATGCCAAAGAATGCTCAAACTACCACACAATTACACTCATCTCACATGCTAGTAAAGTAATGCTCAAAATTCTCCAAGCCAGGCTTCAGCAATACGTGAACCATGAACTTCCAGATGTTCAGCTGGTTTTAGAAAAGGCAGAGGAACCAGAGATCAAATTGCCAACATCCACTGGATCATCGAAAAAGCGAGAGAGTTCCAGAAAAACATCTATTTCTGCTTTATTGACTATGCCAAAGCCTTTGACTGTGTGGATCATAAGGAACTATGGAAAACTCTGAAAGAGATGGGAATACCAGACCACCTGACCCACCTCTTGAGAACCCTATTTGCAGGTCAGGAAGTAACAGCTAAAACTGGATATGGAACAACAGACTGATTCCAAATAGGAAAAGGAGTACGTCAAGGCTGTATATTGTCACCCTGCTTATTTAACTTATATGCAGAGTACATCCTGAGAAACACTGGGCTGGATGAAGCACAAGCTGGAATCAAGATTGCCGGGAGAAATATCAATAACCTCAGATATGCAGATGACACCACCCTTATGGCAGAAAGTGAAGAGGAACTGAAAAGCCTTTTGATGGAAGTGAAAGAGGAGAGTGAAAAAGTTGGCTTAAAGCTCAGTATTCAGAAAACGAAGATCATGGCATCTGGTCCCATCACTTCATGGGAAATAGATGGGGAAACAGTGGAAACAGTGTCAGACTTTATTTTCTTGGGCTCCAGAATCACTGCAGATGGTGATTGCAGCCATGAAATTGAAAGACACTTACTCCTTGGAAGGAAAGTTATGACCAACCTAGATAGCATATTAGAAAGCAGAGATATTACTTTTCCAACAAAGGTCCGTCTGGTCAAGGCTATGGTTTTTCCAGTGGTCATGTATGGTTGTGAGAGTTGTACTGTGAAGAAAGCAGAGTGCCGAAGGATTGATGCTTTTGAACCGTGGTGTTGGAGAAGACTCTTGAGAGTCCCTTGGACTGCAAGGAGATCCAGCCAGTCCATCCTAAGGGAGATCAGTCCTGGGTGGTCAATGGAAGGACTGATGCTGAAGCTGAAACCCCAATCCTTTGGCCAACTCATGTAAAAAGTTGACTCATTGGAAAAGACCCTGATGCTGGGAGGGATTGGGGGCAGAGGAGAAGGGGACGACAGAGGATAAGATGACTGGATGGCATCACCGTCTTGATGGACATGAGTTTGAGTAAACTCCGGGAGTTGGTGATGGACAGGGAAGCCTGGTGTCCTCTGATTCATGAAGTCGTAAAGAGTCGGACATGACTGAGCAACTGAACTGACCTGAACTGAACTGAACAGAAATATACTGGTTGTAGGAGTTGCAGGGAGACAAAAAGGAACAGATGGATGAGAAGATTAAATTGTTTGTTTTTAAACAAACAAATTGTTTTCAGACTGTTGTATCTTGAAAACTACCAGCCAAGAGGCAGATACTCTTTGCAGTCTGCTAACCTTTTAGAGTTTCATTCTAATCCCTCTTGACAATTTTAGCTCTTAGCTCACTGGCAGTCTTCTCCAGTAATAGTCTCGATGGTTTCATTATCTGTGTAGGTAATACTTCCCAGTACATTCAATTTCTTCCAGTAGCCTTATCTTCTATGTTGCTTCAGCTTCTCAGTCACTTGACCATTCTTAGGTCTCTTCATCACCAAAAGAGCACTCTCTGTTCATACATCTTACCATACTACTTATTATGCTTCTCCCTATAAATGGCTAGATAACATAGCATCTTAAAAAATCAGTTTGTAAGTTACACTTTTGACATTTAAGGTTTTACTTTATTATCAAAATAATCTTAATTATTTCAAAAGTAGCACGTTTAAATTAGTACTTGATAAAATGTATATTAACGTCCAATCTTTTTTCAGTCTGTAGACTGTTTTTTACGTGATTTTGGAGGTAAATCAGAGAACAAATATAAAGCCGCGTATATCTACTTCACTGACTGTAAGTAGCTTTGTAAAATTACTGCTTCATTTCAAATCCTACTAATTATGAAATATTTATTATGCTAATTTTAATAATAGTGACTTTCTATTTATTGTTTGTTCTAGTTAGGTTAGAAAGAATCTAAAAATGTAAGATTATTTCTATCCTAATTCATGATAAGGTGATAGAAAATTAAATCATTCCAAACTAGTTTCAAAAGATGGTCATTTTTGCTGGTATCCAGGGGAGAGGGGTTTGATGGAGAGAGCTATCCTTCAAATTCTGTTCCAATAACAGTGAGAATTCTTTAAATCAAAGTTACAACTGGGGATTTGACTGTATAATAAAGTATATTATAAGACCCTTTGGGAGATGCAGTGAAGAAACTGCCATCTGTTTGCTAACAGTAGGGAGAAAATCTATCACATTTCTTTTTCTATGCTGTACATTCACATAAAAAGCAGCTTTCTAGATTATTTTTCCTGTAAATTATTATTTATCTCATACCTAGCAGCAGTTTGCATTTTAAAAAATGCCATATCATAAATATTTGCCATTTAAATAACCTTGTTACACAGAAATCATGTTTATGGAATTGATAAACTTTAATATGTGAAGCCTCGTTTAATTTAAGGAATCTTGAAATTAAAGAACATCGTGTTAAAAGATAGTAGAAGCCCATGGTTGATACTCCAGCCTGGATTTAGTGAAACTATAAGCAGTTAGGTAAAAGGCAGGGGCAAGGGGAAGACGGCTCTAGGGTACAGAACTTACTAGTTTGGAGGCTTAGAATTTCCTCACATTGAAGAAGGCCCTATAATGCAAGGAAAGATGAAAAATTTGTATGGTGTGGCTACACTTAGTGGCAGATATAGAAAAGTATAAATTCCTAAGAAGCTCTGAAAGTCCTTCAAAAGTTTATTAAGTCCTTTTTTGGACTTGATTTTCCTTCCTGACAATTTTAGCTTGCTGTTACCAACTCTGTAAGGAAATACATCTTAGGTTATGGTGGCTATGAATGGGGAAAATGGAATTTCTGTTACAGTGCTCATTACTAGAATTCATCTGCTGTATAAAGTGAAAAGCAGTATTTACATATTATCTCTATCCTCATAGTAAATTACTTTGTGAAAGTCAATAATTATATATAAAAATAAATATTTTTGGATGTTGGAATGACTTATTCAAAAGAATGAAAATTTAAATGCAGTTATATACTTTGATTTTTTTCCTCCTCTCAGTTTGCCCTGACAGTCTCTTTAACAAAATTAAGGCTTCTTGCTCCAAGTCGGTAAGAAGATGTAAAGAAATAAATATTTCCTTCATTCCACTTGAATCTCAGGTACTTTCTACTTTTATTTTTTAAATTTTTTATTAAAAACATTTTTTTTGAGCTTTGAAAGGCTTATTTATTACAAGGGTCAAGCAAGGAGAATGGGCTGCTTGTGCTTAGAATAAAACTTTTATTTTGGATTATTATAAACTAAAATTAAAAATAAAAGGAGTTTTATTCTAAGCCCAAGCTGCCCATTCTCCTTGCTTGACCCTTGTAATAACGATTTTAAAATGCAGTTTCATGAACTTATTTGCTAGAAAGACTTATCCTAGTAATATTTTGTATGTTGTGTATTTGGTGAATTTTAAACAATCCACAAATAAGCATTTACTCTGATGAAGGGAGGAACATGAGTACTAAATTGGAATATAGCATTAATAGTAAAAATGGACTTAAATTTCACATCCCTAAGTCCTGTGTGTATCAAGATGTACAGCCCTATGAGATTATGAAATCAAAAGATTTTGAGCATAATCTTTGTTAAATGACTCCAAAGAAAAATGTTTATATTCTGTAACCATTTGTGATATTAAAACAAAATTCTTTAGTAAACTTTTTACACAACATTATATAAGCTACCATTTATTTTAATTTATAAAATGAAGGATTCTCATAGATTTGATTTGCCTTTGGAATAGTTAATGAGCCTTCAATTAATAATAATTGAAAACACATAGAACTTTCTCTGTCAGATGCTTTCCTAAATGCTTTACATAAATATATTCATGTAATCTTCACAGTAGCCCTATGAATAGATGGTAATTCTGTCTCCATTTTAAAGATGGAGAAATCAAAGTGGTTAAATAACTTGCCCTAATCACACAGCTAGTATATTATTTAGCTCTGTTCTTTGTGTTTGGATTCTAACATTTTGTAGAATTGGAATAGTTTACTATTTTTTAGAACCATAAGGTTGATATTTTAAGAAATAAAAAGGTCCTGGATAATGAATTTTTCTTTTATGCTATTGCTGTTTTTGACAAAGGCTATAATCAAAATCATAAAATCTTTAGATATCTGCTTAACATTAAACTGTTTTCCAAAGGTTACTTTAAGATTTTTTTCCTTTAGTATATTATGTAAGTTTAGTTTAATACTCTAGAAAGTGACAATAGCCTGAGTGCAGAGATACAGAAGCAGAAAAGTGCAAGAAAGGAACAGGATTATGGATTATTAGGGGTGAGGGTATGATATATAAGTCTGTAGGTAGGTTGGGACCAAGTTGTAGGAGGCACCAGGTCCCATCAAGAATGATGGCAGAAAATGGGCAGATATAGAAGAGTACCAAAGTCTTTAAGGAAAAGTAGAAGTTGGGAGATCGTTGAAGAGAAATTGGTAAAGTCAGATATGATAGTCTTCCAAAGAAGAGAAGTTGTACATTAAACATATTTAGAAGGTGCATGAAGAGAAAAGTGGTTGACTTCTCCTAAATCTGAGTCAAAGGGATTAAAGAAAAGTCTTTCCCTTTCAAAGGGTTTAGTTAATATTATCACATATAAATTAGGGTAATTAGATGCAAAGCATTAATATAAGAAAGTTTGTTTACAGTGGACCTTAGGGAGTACAAAAAGTCTGGTATAGTTAGTGGAGAAGGTGCTAGATTGTGTCTAGATAGAAATAGATCTAAGCTAGCTATAATTTAGCAAGAAAAGTAAATGGAAGTTGTGAGTGGGGGTAATGGAGAATTCCTGTATTTAAGGAACTGGTTGTGGGTCATGGAGATGAAGAAAGCATTTAGTAATAGTCTAAAGGAACACATTGTGGTGATGGAAAAGAGGGGGAGGAGAGGGAAGGAAAGGGAAGATGTGAGTGTAGAAAGAAAACCAGCTCCAGAGTTCTACTTGGTTCATTGGAGTATTAGATAATAACTTAGATTAATTTAAGATGTGGTAACAAATCTCCAAATCTGTGTTTCACAACAACAAAGTTTATTTCTCATTCATGTTATTGTCCACTGTGGTTTGACTAGGTCTTTGCTCTATATCCTCTTCATTCTGGGATGTAAGCTGAAGGAGTGAAGTTAACTTTTCTCTGGGACATAGCAGAAAGAAAAGAGAAGTGATGGAGCCATACAATGGCTTTTAAAGCTTCTACAGGGAAGTAGGCACATGTCACTTCTCTTCACATTCCAATGACTATAGATAGCCTGATATCCATGAGTGGGAAGTATACTCCCATAAGGAGAGGCCCTGTCAGGAAGGGCAATAAATATTTTTGAACAGATATTTTCTACTCCAGTGGGATAGAATACTGTGAGAAAGCCACAGTCCAGCTGTAGGGTGCTTGTTGGCAGTTATGGCAGCTAAGACTTTGAGCATGACAGACCTAAACAGCACATTAGCTTTAGCTGAATCTCAGTCCATGTTCAGGCTCCTACTGATAGTGATAGGTTATGTTCAGAAAAATGTATTACTTTGTGTGAAAGGAAATGCAGGGAAGTTTATCCATAATTTATTAGCCTATATTATTTATTACATGTCTACTTTTATATTCAATACATTAGACTAAGAGGGATTACTACCATTGTTTAAAAACAAAATTAATTGAATGTGAAACTCTCACCTCCAATTAGATTTTTCTTTTGTAGTCATCAAATAACACAATAGTAAATCTCTAATCCAATTCTTTGCATGTAGATAAATGCTTTTGTTAGTTGAAAAATGTGAGATTTCACTGTTTGTATACTAAGACCAGTACTATGTCTTGCACAATACTGTGTTTTTTGGGGAAGTGTTTTTCTACTTTAAGGAGAGAAATTTATACTCTTAATATCAAGAGTATAAGCTAAGGAATTGAAGATACATATTAACTTTGGAAAATTTCTAGGTTATTCTCTGATGGGTTGAGATTTTAAAGTATGTCAGATATGTAGACCAACTTTGGCTTTATTTCTTCTTGCCAAGTATTAGGTTTCTGTTTTTCTTTGACTGCCTCAGATCCCTTTATCTGCTGCACAGGTAGAGAACACCCAACAGTACAATCTATATATAAAACAAGAACCGAAGGAGAGAGGTAGATTAAGCAGGAAAGGAGAGTGAGAAAAGGAATGAAATCAAGATGACAGAGAAAATGAGATTTAATTAAGGTAAAGACACAGTTGTTTCAGGAAACAGCATGGTTAGTACAAGTATTTTGTAAAGTCCCAAGGAATAACTGTGCTTTTCTTGATACATATTTTTAATCAAATTTCTAAATTGACTGTGACTTTTTTGGCCTAACTTAGGTATATACTCTTGATGTACCAGATGCATTCTATTACTGTTACAGTCCAGACCCAAGTAATGCAAATGGAAAAGATACCATCATGGAAGCAATGGCTGAGCAGATAGTTACAGTATGTGCTACCCTGGATGAAAATCCTGGAGTAAGATATAAAAGGTAAGGCACTCAGTGATGTCATTATATGTTATGATGTCTGTTTGCTCTTTGATATAGAGGTAATATCTCTGTGTTTTTGTGTGGTGGTTTGCAGAATTTATTTTCTTGATAACATTATGCTGTGTATATAGGAGATTTAAAGTTTAAGGTTTAAATTTCAGAGTAACTGATAGCCTCTGTTACTGAATTTCAGAGCTTAAATTTGGTATGATTTAATGAATATTTTTCATGAGTTTAAGGAATGCTTAGAAGAATGTCTTTGTTGTCCTGTGGGGAATATTGCCTTACATTTAATGTTTCATTAAATTTCCACTAAATTGAAATAGTCATAGTGTCTGGATACTGGTTATAGTGTCTAAATATCTATGGTATCTAATTCCAGTGGCCATTTTAAATAGATTTGGGGGGTTTTTTAAAAGGTAAAGTTTGACTTTAGTACTATGTACCTTTATTTATTTGCTCATTATTAAAAGTAAAGTTTGCTATAAAGTGCATAAATTATATGGCTTAATAAATCATTCCAAAGTGAACATAGACATCTAACTTCACCTAGGTCAAGAGATAGAATACTAACAGCATCTCAGAGGCCCCACTTATGATCCCTTCTAGTCATCACCCACTGCCTCCTCCTCAGAAGTAACTGTTATTCTGACTTCTAACACATATTTCAGTTTTGCCTGTTATTGAACTTGGTATATATATGGGGTCATGGCATTTTTTATTTCTGGCTTTGCTCAATATTATGTTCTTAGACTTTCATGTTGTTCTGTATAGCCAAACAGCTTGGATTTTAATCTCTGCTGTTTACTGACTGTGTGATTCTTCTGCCCTCAATTTCTTTGTATATGAAATGGGAGAAATAATAATCACCTCATAAAGTTGTTTTTAGCATTAGATGAGTTAATATCTATAAAGCACTCAAAATAGTGCGTGGCACTAATGAAAGGGTAGAAGTAAATACACTGTACCACTATTACTACTCATAATAAGTAATATAACTTGTCTCTGTTTTAAAAGGTTCTTTAAACACTGACATTTGTCGAGGTAGTTGGCGTAATTGTTCAATTTCAAATTCATGTAGTGCTTTATATTTAAGTTTCATTATCTTTAACCATTTAAAAAGTTTTCTTAATTACTTAGAAGAAATATTGTAAGTCTCCTTAATTCAGATGTGACCAAACAAGCTCTTTACTCATACCGCCAGTGTTAGAAACATTATTTTTCTTATAGGTGCTATACTAATTACATTCTGAACTAAGTGGTTTATCTTTTGCTAGAGTTCAGTCTCTGTTCAAGCTTCTGCTCTTGGTGTTTGGCTATGTTCAGGGAAATGAATATGTAATATAGTCCACTATCCTGTATCCATAAGTTTGGCATCCTCAAATTCAACCAGTTGTGGATTGAAAATGTAAAAAAAAAAAAAATTCCAGGAAGTCCCCAAAAGCAAAACTTGAATTTGCTACATGCAGACAACTATTTACATAGCATTTACATAGTATATATGACTGTTTACATAGCATTACATTATATTAGTGTTGTAAGTAATCTAGAGATGATTTTTAAGTATATGGGTTATGTGCATGGGTTATATGCACATAATTCTATACCATTTTATATACGAGACTTGAGCATCAATGGATTTTAATATCTGAGTGAGGTCCTGGAACCAATCACCTGTGATATTGGTGGTGCTTTAGTCACTAAGTTTTGTCCAACTTCTGCAACCCCATGGATGGTAGCCTGCCAGGCTCCTCTCTCTAGGCAAGAATACTGGAGTGGGTTGCCATTTCCTTCTCCAGGAGATCTTCCCAATCCAGGGGTCAAACCCAGGTCTCCTGCATTGTAGGTGGATTCTTTACCACTGAGCCACCAGGGAAGCCCTCCTGAGGGATAACTGTAGCCAGTTTATAATTTAATAAGCTTACCAGTTATTGTGATAGTTAAATAATAATCCAGGCTTTTAAAATCCTATGCTGTTCTTTTGCAAAGTATTCTTTTATGCCTTATGAACTTTTCAAGTGTAATTCTAACATGAAATTATTTCCTTTTGAAAATATTTTAAGGCATAATGTATAATAAATTATCCTATATAGTTGCTGCTTTATTTACTTTTGAAGTATAAAACCTAAAGGTCCTTTAACATTTTGAAGCCTTTACAAAGAGTTCCTCCATTTTTGAGGTTGGTGTGCTAATTGAAGAGTTTTTTCCAACGTTTTCTTTATAGATTCAGAAGTTACACTAATGTCACTGGTCTTAAAGTTACAATTTAGAGTATGGTTTTATCATTTTAGAAGATGGTGATATATGATTTTATACAAACAATTTTATTGGAAAGTTGACTAAATATTAGTATATAGGGAAATCTCATAGAAATGGGAGAGATAATTGGTCAAGTAATTTGGAGAGTAATATGGTAGAAAAGTTGAAAACGTACATACTATATGACCTGCAATTCTACTTTTAGAAATAGTATACCTAGAGAAACATTTACATGGAGATTTATGTATAAAGATATTTGTTTCCATGTTGTTTGCAATAGTATAAAATTGAGAATGACTTAAATGTCCATCTTTAGGGAATGAATGTGTAAATCCAGTATAATCATATGATGGAATACTATATAGAACTAAAATGAGTAAATATTTTTTGATGTGTGTGTCAACATAGATCTCAAACATATATAACAGTAAAAACATATACTGTTAAAATATATATAAAACAGTAAATATATGCATAATTGTAATGATAGGAAGAATATACATCAAATTATGGTAGTAGTTGCTTTGGGGCAGTGGTGGCTAGGAGTAGAGGTGAAGACTGGGGAGGGGAATAAAGAAACTATAGTTTTATTTATATTTCCTTCATATGAAAAAATCTGAAGCACGTATGATAAGGTTTACATTGATAAAATCAAAACAAATTGATAGCTGTGTACTTGTTTAGTATTATTATCTAAATTTCTCCATGCTTATAAAATCTTTTAAATTAATAAATTTATGGTTTAATTTTAGAATTCAGCTTGATAATGTAAAGTGTGTCTTGAAAGAAAGATAGTTTGAATATTTTTTCCATTTCTAGTAAACCTCTAGATAATGCCTGTAAGCTTGCTCAGCTTGTTGAAAAAAAGCTTGAAAACTACTACAAGATTGATGAAAAGAGCCTAATAAAGGTAACATATAAAAGACAAATAGTGGTTATGCATAAAGTCTGTCTTATTTCTTTATAAACCAAGGAAACTGTTGTTCATTTATTTTCCAGTATTGATTTGAGAATTTTGATTTGGATATCACTGATATAAATGGTAGTAGAAATCTTAATAGACAGTGTGGTTTAGTGGGGAAGATAACAGTTTTGAATTAAGTTCTTTGTCCAGATCCTGGCTCTGCCATTTAATTCATGGATGTATCAATTAGCAAGTTATAAAATGGGGGTAATAGGAGAATGTCTATTTTATAATATAGAGGATTAAATGAATTAATACATTAAAAGTTTTTAGAATAATCCTTGCAGCTGAGTAAACATTTAATAAGCATAGTTTTTCCTTTTATCTCCAACTCTGTGTTCTTGGACATATTTACTCTGAGTTGTATTTTCATATAATATGGGTCATATGATATGTACTTTGGTTGGTTGGTATGAGGATTAGACAGATTAGCATGTGTTGGGCACATATAGGAGTTTAATAAATGACAGGTACTACTATCTTATCAAGATAATATAATCAAAGACTAAGATTGGAACCTGGGGAATTCCCAGCATTTGGGCTTGGGTTGGAGAGTGAGGAGTCTGAGTAGACTGACAGAGGTGGTGTCAGAGGACTAGAAAGCTTAGTTTAGTGCAATGTGTAACATAAAGAGCTCAGGTAATATCTTCCTTTCATAACTTAGATCAGTTTTAGTGTTTATGAAGCTGAATTCCAAGAAAATAGATTTAGTGCAAGCCAAATGTTATTTTTTAAAAGGAATTTTCACAATATCATATTATTAAGTAAGCCTGTTAATCTAATTATGAAAGCTTTGGTTTTGTAGTCTTATTTTCTTCCCTTCTTGTGCCTCTCATATTTTTCTTTTTTAATATAACTTCATGTTTAAGAATATGGCAGAACTTAGGATAAATCTGATTTTGTTTTCTGAGATATTAAAAATGTGTTCACAGAAATAAATGGAAGTTTCTTAAGGTAATTTTATCTTGTTATTCCAGGGTAAAACTCACTCCCAGCTCATAATAATTGATCGTGGCTTTGATCCTGTGTCCACTGTCGTGCATGAACTGACCTTTCAGGCAATGGCATACGATCTACTGCCGATTGAGAATGACACATACAAGCAAGTATAACTTGAAGGGAATACATAGGGCACGTATAAACAGGATAGCATGTTAGCATCTAATGACTCATGCAGGCAACAGAAATCTAAAGCCCCCATAACCTTTTTTATTCAAGGCTTTATCTTTGTCTTACACCTGAAATCATAATCTATTTAAAATATCCTGACTGTGTTAGTTAATAGGTAATTTAACTGCTTTGAAGCTTTTTTGGTGTATTTGCTTCCTTAACTATGTCTGCAGCAAAAATAGATTTTAAACAGCTGGAATTGCACTTTTCAGTAAATAAACCGGGCCCACTACTATATTTATTGAGGTGGAAAACATATTCAAATTGGTTAGGCTGTGATTATTCTGAATTGGACATCCAAAAGTATGTAAATGTGCATCTTGTCACCATAATGTATTTAAAAATACTAGAAAACTATATAGGATGGTTATTGAGAAGAGAAGGAGTTTTACCGGTTTGGTACCTATTATTGATTTAACTCTGATATAAGCATATTAACTTTAAAAGTAATATCAAATAGTTAAATGAAAAATGAAATTATTTTTCTATTAAGGAACCATTTTATTGTACCTTTGTATATCATTTATGTATATACATAGACACACATATATATAACATGTTATTTGAGTGTATATACACATATATATAAAACATGTTATTTGATATCATAATTTCAAAATCCAGACTGGTATTTTTCAGCCAAGATTTACTGCTTTGAAATAATAAAAATGAAAATTAGTTTTCTGAAATCTTATGTTTAGTAATTTTTATAGATTAAAAAATCCAAAAATTTATGCTAATTATATTTAATATTTTTTCTTAAAACAAATATTGTTTAAACTAATTTTGTATTTTCTCTTTTATTTTTATTTGCATTCTAGTCAAATCCTGAGTTTTTCTTTGTTATTTGTGTTAATGTTAGCTGACAGAGCAACATAGCTATTTCTCTAGTATAAAAGTAGTTGTAAGCAGTTTATTCCAAATTTTCAGAAAGGATGTTATTTACCTCTCTTATCCTTTAGGTTTCTAAACCAACATTGCTCAAGAGATTTGGAAATGACTTAAAGTAATGGACACTAAAGGATTTGGTTCCAGTCTATTGACACTAACTTTCAGACATTTCTAACCTAGTACTTAAAATATTTATCTCCCTGGATTTGCTGGCAAGGAAAGCAAGATTTAATTTTTTAAGGGTAGTGGAGAGACTTATTTAAAAACAAAAAAGATCAGAGATACTCCTTGTGAATCAGGAAAGTCTAGAGATCAGACTAGATGGAAGCACCAACTTCCTATGGATTGTGCTCCATCAGGATTTTTAATGGAAATAATACAGAGCAGAAATTTCTAAGTAACCATTTTGAGTGATTTCTTGGACCTGTTTCTACTGCCTCTCAGTTCAGTAGAACTCATTAAAGCAGTCAGAGTTTTTAATGGCTGCATTAGTTTTTCTCTCATTGCCTTTCCCAGTTCTTTAAAGGAAATGTGGCTATAGGGTAAGGAAAGAATATAGAAATAGATAAATATATATGTTTGTGAATTTTGTACCAACTCTGAAACACCTTCAGTACTTAATAGACGTCATTGGGGAGTAACATTTCTTAATGGATGTTTGACAGTTGTATTGATGGTTATTAGTACATCAAAAGTATTGTTTTGAGCAATTAGAATTCAAGTTGTTAATATATTCACTCTTGTTAAAGTTGACTGTGGAACACTGAATTTTTGTTTCTAAGATACTGAGATAAATTCTGTAATAATCACAGCAAAAAATAACATTGAAAGTAAAAAGGCCATGGTGGGCATAGCACTTTGATTTTTGTTGTATGGATAGCAATATGCCTTAGTTTTGAGTAGGTATTCATTATCCTCTTCAGTTTCTTGAGCTGTCTTAAAATTGTTACTTATAAAAATTTTTCTTTTACCTTATCAGGTGCAAAATAATCCAAAAGTTTCATACTTCTCTTACTTGTAGATATAAGACAGATGGGAAGGAAAAGGAGGCAATCCTTGAAGAAGATGATGACCTCTGGGTCAAAATTCGACATCGCCATATTGCAGTTGTATTAGAGTATGTGAACCTGTTTTAATTTTTGTTCCATATTTTTAAAAAAATACTAATTACATAGTACTAATAGTACATTTTTTTAATCTTAAGATATTTTTGTGAATTACACTTTAGAAATTTAAATAATTTCTTATAATTTGACAGGGAAATTCCCAAGCTTATGAAGGAAATTTCATCAACAAAGAAAGCAACAGAAGGAAAGGTAAGAGTGTTAATGTAACTTTCAAGGTTATGAAAAAGGTGAATTTTAAAGTTTGTGTAAAATTTTTTATCTTTTTAACTTTCCATTTGAGACCTTTCTAACATAAAGTAGAAAAAATAAGCTTTCTTGTACCCATTACCCAGCCTCAACACTTAGCAACATTTTATCTGTCTTGCTACATTTAAAGTTTATTTTTAAAAGACCATTTAGCCAATTGCATAAATGTATTCATGTTAGGATTTTTAATATTAAGGTATGGTGGCTCAGTGATAAAGAATTGGCCTGCAGTGCAGGAGACCCAGGTTTGATCCCTGGTTCAGGAAGATCCTCTGGAGAAGGGAATGGCAACCCCCTCCAGTAGTCTTGCCTGGGAAATCCCATGGGGACAGAGGAGCCTGGCAGGCTACGGTCCTTGGGGTCGCAGTGTCTGACACAACTGAGCAACTAACACTTCCACTTTTCACATTCATAATTTACCTAAATAAAATGCACAAATCTTAAGTGTATACTGAATAACTTTTTACATACATATATATGTATTCATACACAAACACATGTAAACACACACCATGTGGAACTACCACCTAAATCAAGATATAGGACATTTCTGTTATTTCAAAAAGTTGCATAATATCTATGAATAAAGAAAATTTAGCCTATCCTTTTGACTCTCTATACATTTTACACTAATTTTCTTGGTAGTTAATACCTCCTAGCAGTAAAACATAGAATAGAACTGGTGACAGGATATCTTTGTCTCATTCCCAGCCTTGGGGGAAATGTGTTTGATATTTCATCATTGGGGATTATGGTAGTTTTAGGTTATTTTAGATACATCCTTTGTCAGATTAAGAAGTTCCCTTCTATTCCATATTTGTCAACAGGTTTTTTTGTTTTGTTTTTTAAATCAACAGTGGGTGTCAGATTTCATCAAATGCTTCTTCAGCACCTATTAAATTATTTTTTCCTTTTTTATTCTGTTAATGTGATGAGTTATTCACTGTTCCCTAACATTAAACCATCCATGCGTTCTTGGAATTAGCTCTACTAAGTTATGATACCTTATCCCTTTCCTATATCACTGGATTCTGCTTGCTAATATTTTGTTTAGAATATTTACTTCTAGATTTATGAGCAATAATTCTTTCTATTCTTGTGGTAATATTCTAGGCAATTTTGGTGACAAAATTATATTGGTCTAAAATAAATTGTAATGCTTTCCCTCTCATATTACTCTCTGGAAGTGTTTGTGTAACTTGTCCCATCATGGCTTGAAAGACTTCACAACTGAAACAGTCTGGGCATGGAATTTTCTTTATGGGGAAGTCTTTAATTATAAGGTCTTTAATAGGTACAGAGCTCTTCAGATTTTAATTTTTTCTTATATCATTTTTGGGATATTGCATTTTTAAGGGATTTGTCTATTACATCTACATTTTCAACTATCCTCTTTTTTTTTCTTATATTTTTTCCATTTATTTTTATTAGTTGGAGGCTAATTACTTTACAGTATTGTAGTGGTTTTTGCCATACATTGACATGAATCAGCCATGGATTTACATGTATTCCCCATCCCGATCCCCTCTCCCACCTCCCTCTCCACCTGATCCCTCTGGGTCTTCCCAGTGCACCAGCCCGAGCACTTGTCTCATGCATCCAACCTGGGCTGGTGATCTGTTTCACCTTTGATAATATACATGTTTCGATGCTGTTCTCTCTAAACATCCCACCCTTGCCTTCTCCCACAGAGTCCAAAAGTCTGTACATCTATGTCTCTTTTTCTGTTTTGCATATAAGGTTATCATTACCATCTTTCTAAATTCCATATATATGCATTAGTATACTCTAAATAGGTCTCAACTATCCTCTTATCTTCTCAGTGTCTATAGAACCTGTAGCTATGTTCTATTTAATCCTAATTTTGTTGATTTGTGTTTTACCCTCTTTATTATTAACATCCCCTATTTGTATATTATTAATATTTCAAAGAACCAACTTTTGGCTTTGCTGATTTTTCTTTTGTATGTTAGTTTTATACTGAACTGATTTCAACTTTCTTTGGCTTGTTTTTCTAACTTCTTGAGTTGGATGTTAAGAACATTGGTTTTCAACTTTTTTCTCTCCTATATATATTTAGATATTTCCTTCTTAACATTATGTAGCTACATTTCCCAAGTTTTGGAATAACCTATTTTTGTTTCAGTTTAGCTCAGAATATTTTCTCTCATTATAATTTCTTCTTTGACTTGCGTGTTACATAGGAATTTTTTTAATTTCAAAGAGTTTGTGAGTTTTCTACTTATCTTACTGTTACTGAGTTGTAATTTAATTTTACAGTGGTCAGAGAATGGAGTCTGTATGAGTTTAGTCCTTTGAAATTTGTTCAGGCTTGGCTTGTGAACTATCATACGATCTGTTGTGGTAAATAACCTATGTGTACTTGAAAAGAATACAAATTCTGTGAATGTTAAATAAGCCAAATTGGTTCATCATGTTATTCAAATATTCTGTTTCTTTACTAATTTTTTATCTGTTTTTTATATCTGTTACCAGGAACGGTATAATCTGAATTAGTCTGTTTCTTTTTAATAATCTTGTCAACTCTCAAAGCTATGTCAACTGATGCAGCCTTGTTTAATTAGACTCTTTATAAATTTAAGATAGTTTGCTTTCTATTGAATTTATCTTTTATCAGTATAAGATGTCATTTTAGTTTTCATCTGCAACATTCATTGCCTTAAACTCTACTTTGTCTGATTTTAATATAGCCATACCTGCTTTATTTTGACTAGTGCTTTTTTAAACTGAGTTAGAAAGTAAAGTTCCTCTTTATAGTGTATGATTCTGTGAGTTTTGACAAATGTATACTCTCATACAACCACAACCAAGATATAGGACAGTTCCATCAATATCTCCCATTGCCTTCTGCCACTTTGTAGGCAACCTCTCCACCTTAGAACCACTATTCTTTTTTTCTATTCTTATAGTTTTGCCTTTTCCAGAATGACAGCTAAGTGTCATTTATGTAATAACATAATAACAATATGGCTTTTTCATTTAATCTATTGCATGTGACATTCATCCACGTGACATAGCAGTAGCTTCGACATTTTTATTGCCGAGTAGTATTCTGCTGTGTGGATGTATGGTGTGGATGTTATCCGTTCACAAACTGCAGAACATTTAGGTTTTTCCCCAGGTTGATGGCAATTACAAATAAAGCCACTCTGAACGTTCAGGTTTCATGTGAACAGATATTTTCATTCACTTGTTTAAATAAGAGTGGGATTGCTGGGTCATATAGTAAATGTATATTTACTCATATAGAAAACTTCCAAACTTACTAATTTGCTGTGCCATTTTACCATCTCACCAATAATGTATGTCATTGATTGTGTTTTTAATTTTAAAGATTGTATTTAGTTCTGGGACATTCATTGAATTTTTTTTAAATAAAGTCTGATTCTCTATTGATATACTCCATCTTTTCATTCATTTATAGTTTATCTTTTCCCCGGTTTTCTTGAACATAAATATGTTATTTTAAATTCCTTGTCTGCTAACTCCATCATCTGGATTATTTTGAGTCTGCTTTTATTGACTGTTTTTATCACTTGAGTATCACTTTTTCCTGTTTTACATGTCCAGTTGTATATTGTATGTTGGACCTTGTGGATGCTATACTGCAGAGGCTGTTGATGTTCTGTCTACAAAGAGTACTGGGTTCTGTTCTGGAAGTCAATTAATTTGCTGGTGAATAACCCAGATTGTGTGGAAATCTCATGTGAGGCTTTTGTTACATTGAGTGTATTTCACTTTTTTATTTAGTTCAAAGACATAGTCCTTCCAGGACTGAATGTCTGGGATGTTCACTTAGAGCTCTTTACTTTGTCTGGATCAGAGAATGCCAATACTGTCTTAGTGTAAAGACCGTCTGAAATCTCTGCAGTCGTTCTCTGTTAGGCCTCTGAGACTTAGGCCCTGCACACATGCAGCTTAGTATTTGGCCAGGGATCCTGAGGCATCGCCTCTACACATCTGTGAGTTATGCTGTGACTGGCTTTTACTCTCTAGTACCCTGGACCGCAGACCCTACCTCAGTAGCCCCAAACTCTGATCTCTTTTTCCTCTGTTCAGAGAGACTTTTTTTCTATTGAAACACTACCTCTTTTCACTGTGCTTTGGAAAATGTTCTAGGGAAGAGCCAGATGAGTGCAGGGATCACCTCCTGTGCTTCCCTTTGCTCAAGTAACCTAACTTTGAACTATTTTTAAGACATCCTTTGCTTGAAAGCTGTTGTCTTTTTTATTTTGTCCAATTTTGGTTTTGTTTATGGAGGGAGAATAATTTTTATATAAGCTACTTTTATCATGGCTGCAACTGGAAACCTCTTGAAATTGTTATTTTTTTTAATTGGCAAATATTTAGTAAATTAATAAAAATTTAAAACTATATAGGATTTAAAAGTTATTGTATAAAATAACTGAATCATAAGTTAGTTTTTTAAAATGTTTGATTTTTTCCTAGACATCACTTAGTGCTCTTACCCAGCTGATGAAGAAGATGCCCCATTTCCGTAAACAGATTACTAAGGTAAGTGGTATCATATGTAAGAAATCATTTTTAATTTATTAGTCCACCCAGTTCTTTAGTCAAGTTTAGCAGTGGGTGTCATGGAATACTTGGTATTAGTTGTCCTTGGCTCAGACAGTAAAGCATCTGTCTGCAATGCTGGAGACCCAGATTCTATCCCTGGGTCGGGAAGATCCCCTGGAAAAGGAAATGGCAACCCACTCCAGTACTCTTGTCTGGAAAATCCCATGGACAGAGGAGTCTGGTAGGCTACAGTCCATGGGGTCGCAAAGAGTCAGACACGACTGAGCGACTTGACTTTACTTTAAACCCTTACTTTATAGGTCTGAGAAATACCCCAAATATTTAAGTTACCCGGTAGAGTTCTCTATATTTGTTCAAATCCAGTCAAAACTTTTTTATATCTTTGTCTTGAATAGCCAGAGAAACTTTATTTTTTATCAGCTTAATAAGAAAATTCAACATTGGATTGACAAGTCCTTGTTATTATGCTTGCTTCTTTGAATTAATAGTTATATATTAGTAAACTTTAAAGCAATTAAAGCTGTGTGAGCAGGTAAACTATTTCTTTTTGTTTTTGCTGTTCCAGTCCTTCTCAGAAGTTATTGTCAGAATAATATTTAAAAATTTTTTTATCATATTACTCCCTAATCAAAAATCAATAATGTAAATTCAGACTTTCTCTGCTTGACTTTATGGACTTCACTGGTTTTTTCTCACTATTTTTCACTACTCGTAAACCCAATACAAGTTCAACCCTTTCGTTCTGTTTTTTGTGGTCTGTTGATTATCCCCTTTAGGACATGATAATTTCCACTTTTTTTCTTTCTTGAGTTGTTTCCCTTGATTTTACGTGGTTCCTCCTTCCCACCTAAGCTCATACTTCCCTTCAGGCCCATCTCAAAAGTTTAGTATTATCAGTTACACAGAAAGAAATGAAAATCCTTTAAATAAATTATTTTTTTCTGTTTTTCAGCAAGTTGTTCATCTTAACTTAGCAGAAGATTGCATGAATAAGTTCAAGCCTAATATAGAAAAGCTCTGCAAAACTGAACAGGTAAGTGCAGAGTCAGAAACATCTATGTTCAAGGTAGATTTCCAGAATTAACTTTGTAAGGTAAAACCTAACTTTTTGCTCAATATAGTACCCTAAACCATCCAATCTCTTTTAAAAGGAGATACACCCACTTGGTATTTAATACAGTATTCCTTACCAACGCTAGCAAGTAGCTATACAGTATCATGTTAATAGGCTGTCCCTCCTAATCTGCATGTTTGGTTGAATAGGATGACTTCAATGTTTGGAGCATTAATTCAGGGTAACATTGTTGGCTGGCCTTTTTCAGTGTGTGCAGCATTTCAGGTAGCACCCTGCAGAGTACTGTGTAGGCACATTTAATTAAAGGCTCCTCTCTGATGCCAAAACTGTTCAGATCAGTACTAATAGAAGCAGAACGTAAGTCATATGTAATTTTAAATATTTTAGTAGTTACATTAAAAATGTAAAATGAGATGAGTATGGTTAATTTTAATAATATACTTGATTTAACTCAGTACATCCAAAATACTATCATTTCAACATGTAGTCAGTATAAAACAGTTATTGAAATATTTTACACTTTTTTTCATATGTAAATCTTCAAACTCTGTTGTTTTAACTTATATAAGCACAGCTTGATTCAGACTAGACCCATTTCAAGTGCTCAGTAGCCACATGTAAGCTCATGTCTTACCATATTAGCAAAAGTTTAATGATTGTCTTCCTTTCTGAATTGTTTTGACTTTTTAAATTTTATACAGTAATAGTTTACAAGTGATGCTCACATTTCCTATGAAATATCATCAATGTTCCATTAAAATTTGGCAAATTTTAGTAATATTTTTAACTGAAAAATGAATTTAGATCATAGACCACTGACTATATTTCATGTTCATTAAGGACCTGGCACTTGGAACTGATGCAGAAGGACAGAAAGTCAAAGATGCTATGCGAGTACTCCTTCCAGTTCTACTCAGCAAAAGTCATGATAATTATGATAAAATAAGAGCAATCCTACTTTATATCTTCAGTATTAATGGTAATATAGATTGTTTATTTTTTAATGAATACATTAAGATAAAGATACCCAGCTGTAAAATCACTTTACAATAAGTGGTTTACCACTGTTCATAAGAGAATCTAAGAAAAATTAAAGTGAAAAGTGAAAGTCACTCAGTCGTGTCTAACTCTCTGCGACCCCATGGATTGTACAGTCCATGGAATTCTCCAGGCCAGAATACTGGAGTGGGTAGCCTTTCCCTTCTCCAGGGGATTGTCCCAACCCAAGGATTGAACCCAGGTCTCCCATAGGAGAATCCGAAAGTAGTGGTTAAAATTGATTAAGATAAATAAAAGGAAAAATGTGGAATTGGGAGCAGACTGAAGGTTATATAATTTAAATGTTTGCTTTCTTTAAAAAAAGCTTTATTCTTGGGTCCTTAAACCTAGAAATGATTGTGGTAGCAATTATTTGACTGTGCATTCATTTTTATTTATCTAAGGAACTACAGAAGAAAACTTGGACAGGTTGATCCAGAATGTAAAGATAGAAAATGAGAGTGACATGATTCGTAACTGGAGCTACCTTGGTGTTCCCATTGTCCCTCCAGTAAGAAATTTTACATTCTGTATATACTTATACATGTGTGTGCATGGTTGTTTGCATTAAATGTTTTCTTATGTGGGAATCCATGTGGACAGTCTTCTTAATTTCTTCTGTAGATTTGGTAAGTAAAATATTAAAAATTTCATTTTCTTTTCCATGTATGAGTAATTTGGATAAATACATTTTTCTAGTGAATTTATATCTTTCAGCTTCTGTTGTAACTTGCTCTTTATGCTTTTCTTTCTATGATTTATTTATAGAAAAATTTGAAGAAGTCTGTGTAGAGTCTCTTACTCTTTCCTATCAAGTTTCATATAAGCATTTTGGAGAAAACATACTTTCTGATACTATCATAAATTTTATCATTAATGTTCAGAAATACTGTGAAGTTATGTGACTACACCTATTCAGATTTTTTTGGTGGACTTTTTCACTCTTAGTTTTAAGTCAAATGCAACACAGTATTTGTTGTATTTTTGTTTTCCATTTATTTTTATTAGTTGAAGGCTAATTACTTTACACAGTATTTGTTGTAAATTAAACATCTTGATAGAAAAGATAAAGAGAGTATCACTAAATAAAATCACTGAGTTTTCGCTTTTTTCCTCTAATTATATTAGTCTCATCAAGGCAAACCATCAAGAAAGGATCGGTCTGCAGAAGAAACTTTTCAACTGTCTAGATGGACGCCTTTCATCAAAGATATTTTGGAGGTAAAATTCATTAAATTTTATTTATATTCTGCCCTTTGTGGAATATTTTTTACTCTCTGTCCATTTATCTGTCAGTTTGAGCATTTCTATGGGTCGGGAATTATCTGCAATACTGAGAGGGTTCACAAAAGAAGACGGTATCTGATATCAAGGGAGGAGAGGAAGCTTTTGAAAGTTCCCCCTTAAAGACTGCAAATTCATACCACTAATTGCCTCAATAAATTTAAAAAGATAAGCACACACATGCTTTATAAAAAAAACTGTTGTTTGAAGTTACTATGTAGCAGAAATATAAATAATTTAGTTGAATGAAAGTTCCACAAAATAACATTTTTTGTGACCATTATTAGAGTGTTAAATTCCAATATTCTTAGAAATGGATTTGTGATGAAAATGTAAATGTCACTATAGTTTGCTTTTATAATCGACAGATGGCTGATTCTTTTAGTACTGTTTGCTTTTAGAAAATAATTTTCAATGATAGGAAATTAGAAAATGAACTAATAATTGCATTATGAGCTCAGTAATGAGATCAATTATGAGCTCATAATCAGATCATTCTGTTTATTCCAATTTGCCTTTAACTTATTAAACATTAATTTCTACTTTCCTTTGGAAATTGTGTACAGTTTATCCCCATGATTTTTCTGTTTTGCTTGACTAATTCTATGTCATTTACACATGCTTGATATAGATTAAGACTTCAAAGAGTTTAGACTTTTTTCCCTGCAGTGTAAGATTTTTTTCCTGATCTGTAACAAGGATGTGGAACTAAGGAGTATTTCTTTGTTATTGATAGTATTAAAAATAAGACCTTCTCAAACCCTTTAACAAGGATTTACATGTTAAATTCAAAAACTCCACTTTACCTCAGTAGCAACCTAAGGCCTTTAAGGGTTCTCCTGAAGCTTTGCTTCTTCACATCTTGCAGTCTTACTGAAATATTCTAGGACCACTGAGTACCTTGTGTCCATTCCTATTTATTGTTACTGTTTTTGCAACCATGTTCTAAAGCTGTGGTGTTCTAAATTGGTGGTCTTCAAACTTTTAATTATGCACACTTTCTCATAATAAATGTGATCAGGAGCCTACAGTAAGTGGCTATATATAAATTAGGTAAGTGCTGTACTGATTAAAACACTATGTTTATTTATAAACTATATAAATGCTGTACTGATAAAACACTATGTGTGTATTAGATACGTACACAAAAATATCATTAGATGTTAACTATAAAAAAAGGAAACATTTTTTTAAATGAAAAGGAAACGTCTTCCATCTCATCAGATGGTCTTGAATACACCTAGGCCAGGAGGCACGTTTTGTTTTAAAGCCATCACTGTGAAGGGTGTAGTGCCCTTCACAGGGCCATCTGGTGGCTCAGATGGTAAAGGTGTCTACCTACAATGTGGGAGACCCGGGATCAATCCCTGGGTCGAGAGTATCTCCTGGAGAAGGAAATGGCAACCCACTCCAGTATTCTTGCCAGGAAAATCCCATGGACAAAGGAGCCTGGTAGGCTATTGTCCATGGGGTCGCAAAGAGTAGGACACGACTGAGCAATTTCACTTATGAAGGGCAAGGCCTGGACTCTGGTAGCCTAAGAGGTCTGTCAGGATTAAGACGGTATTTAGAAACCCCTAGCATTCTTGAGATAAAGACCCTGATAAAGTACCTGAGATTTTCACACCAAAATGAGAATCCTCCAGATAAGAAATGTAGGCATGCAATAAATATTGGTTTAATAATTGCATTAATTTTGTAGCAAATAAGATTTGTGAGTTTCAAAAAGAGGGCTAACCTTATTTTATTAAATATGTATCCTTATGTTCTTTAATTGTAAATACAAGTTTTGAGTTTTATGTAAAACAAACAAAATCTTGGAGTTTATAGTATCTTCTTGATGGTTTTAATTCTTATCTTCCCTAGGATGCCATTGATAACAGATTAGATTCAAAAGAGTGGCCATATTGTTCCCAGTGCCCAGCAGTCTGGAATGGCTCAGGAGCTGTAAGGTAAAAATCTATAAATGAAAGTCAGTGAAATTTTCACTATGATATTGCAGATTAATAATTGAAATGGTACACAGATATTCCTATATTGATAACTCTCCTTGAAGCATGTAGTCACTTAAAAGGTAGTTTTTCTTTAACTGCAACCTGTCTTAAATTAATCCAGATAAGCAATGGGGCTTCCCAAGTGGCAGAGTGGTAAAGAATCCTCCTGCCAGTGTAAGAGACTTGGGTTTGATCCCTGGTTGGGAAGATCCCCTGGAGTAGGAAATGGCAACTCACGCCAATATTCTTGCCAGGAAAATTCCATGGACAGAAAAGTCCATGGGGTCACAAAGAGCCGGACATGACTGAGTGACTGACACACAGATACACATGTACACATACACACAGATAGGCAATATGAAAATGTGCTTTTTTATAAAAAATATTTTCATGAAACTAGAGAAGAGTTTCTCCCTTTATCTTTTTTTTTCTTCACATTAGCAGATGACATAATCCTTTTTGATGACTTTAGGTGAGAAAATACTTGAAGCATTCAGAAAGCTATAGATAGTATTATAATGCATACCCTATACTTGGTGCCCAGATTAACAAATGAATCAGTTTAAGTACAGTTCAAGCTTCCTATATATCACTCTCTGATTTTTATTATTCTCCCTTCTTCACTATCTTGAATTTGCTGATCATCATTGACCTATATATCCTCATACATTTTCTATATATATTTGTATTCCAAACAATGTATAGAGTTTTATTTTGCAGGATTTTTCTACTGGTCTTTGGCCTTTAGCAGTTTAACTATTACGTGCCTAAGTGGAGTTCTTTTTGTGTTTGTTCTTCCTGGGGTTAGTTGAATTTTCTTGGATTTACAAGTTAATAGTTCTCATCAAAATTTGGGAAGTTTTCAGTTGCTGTTTCTTCAAATTTTTTCTGCCTGCTTCTTTCTCCCTCTTCTGCTTTTGAAACTCCATCACTCAGATGTTGGAAAGTTTGACTTTGTCTTATGGGTCACTGAGGCTCTGTTTACCTTTCTTCCACCTTTTTTCTTTATGTTTTTCGGATATGCTAATATCTATTGATCCATCTTCAGTTCTTTGATTCTTTAGTCTGACATCTCAAATCTGCTATTGAGCCCATCTACTGAATTTTTCATTTCATTATTATACTAATCACCTTTTGAATTTCCATTTGGTTCTTTTTTACTTTCCATTTCTCTTTTGAAATTCTCCATTGATTAACATAGTGTTAGCATAATTTTCTTTAATTATTTGATTATATTTATAATAGTATCTTTGAAGTCTGCTAAATTCAACATCTGGATTCACTTAGGGTTAGTTTCTGTTGATGGATTTTTTCCCAGCATGTGGATCACCCTTTATTGTTTTCTTACACATCTACTAATTTTTGGCTGAAAATTAGGCCTTTAAGATACTGTATTATATAACAGCAACTCTAAGTTGTTTTTTGTTTTAGTAACTTGTATAGATTTAAGCTGTGGGATCAATGCCCCCTTGCAGTGTAGCCACTGATGTCATTGTAGGGCTTTTTTTATTTTAAATTTAATTTTTTAGCTTGGTTCCTAGTAGTTGCCCTATGTCTGGATAGTTTAGAGGTTAGCCAGTTATCTAGGCAGAGGTTGTATTTAGACACCTCAAGCCTGTAAGCCTTCTATTGACTGCTGATCAATCTGATTGTGGGTTAAGGACTGCATTACAAGTCATAGTCAGTTCTTGAGTCTTCTCCCCACTATCCCCCTTCTTTTTTTCCTATTTTTTTCATTAGGCTTTCTCTGGCTTACCCTGGCACAGGCGTAATTTGGCAGTCAGCTAAGGATGTGGGGGGACTTTGTCTTCTTTGGCTTTCTTACTCTCAGAGTTTCCCCATTAAATTTCTGGCTGATATGCCGCCTATCCCATTCTGGGACCAAGGTGTTCTGCCACCAACACCGCAGGTCTTCTACTCTAAACCAGGTCTGCCATTTTTAACTTGCAAAGCTCTAGGAATTTGTACTCACTTTGCTTCCTACCTTGTATCAAGTCTTCCACCTCAGGCAGTAGAATTGGTGGTTCTCTCAGCCAGCTTGAAGTCAGTACAGTTTTTGCTGAGTTGGAAGAACTGTGCAGGTTGGATATAACCTCAGGCCAAAAGGTCGCATAGTCACCACCACCATTCTTACCTATATACTAGCATTTTTTAAGAGTAAATGCTTCTTAATTTGTCGTTTGCCTGTGGTTCATTTTCCCAAGTGATCTGAAATGGTTTCTTCCCCCACAATTTCCTCCAGGTTTATACTTGTTTTCTTGGTGGGCAGTCTTCTGACCATCTAACTCTATCATGAGCCCAAGCTGTTTTTGTATTTTTAATCTTAATATAAATGGTGTCATGTTGTGTCTTCCTGTAACTTTTTTTAAAAAATCTATTTATTTATTTATTTTTGGTTGCACTGGGTCTTTGTTGCTGTGTACAGGCTTTTTCTAGTTTGGTGAGCAGAGGCCACTCTTTGTTGTTCGTGGGCTTCTCATTGTAGGGCTTCCCATGTTGCTACAGGCTCAAGGTTCATGGGCTTCCAAAGTTGCAGCACGCAGGCTCAGTAGTTGTGACATGTGGGTTTCAGCAGATGCAACTTACGGGCTCAGTAGCTGCAACTCAAGGGCTCTAGAGCATGGGCTTTATTGCTCTGCAGCACGTGGGATCTTCCCGGACCAGGGATCAAACCCATGTTCCCTGCATTGGCAGGCAGATTCTTATCCACTGTATCACCAGGGAAGTCCTGCAACTTGCTTTTAAGTTTCTCTCAACATTATCCTTGTGATATTTATCCCAAATTGATACATGTATAAATTTCTTACTGCTGTTTGATATATTCTTATATGATTATCTCAGTTTATTCATTTATTTTCCACACAATGGAAATTTAGACTAGGTCAAAACTAGCACCCTTCCTAACAATATGCAGTGAGCATTCTTACACATTTACATGTGTTTGAGTATTTCTTTAGGGTAATTCTCTTGGTCTAAGGACCTTTTATTTAGTTATATTTTTCCCTTTTCTCCTATTTTAGAAGTTACATAGCTTATTTGTACTTTCACAGCAGTTATCTTTAGAATTATAGTACACATCTTTGACTCACCAAAGTTTGAGATTAGTATCTTTACCCTCTTGATGAATAGTACAGAGCCTTAGAAAACTTAATTCAAACTACACACTCCTTAAATGTTCTCTTAATTCTTTATTGTCTTACCTTATGTCTTTTTTATTTCCAGAATTAATGATGAGCATTATTTTTTTTAGTTGTATGTACATGTTAACCAGTTATGTTGTGTACCACTTCTGCTTGCATCCCCTTTTTTGAGCTCAGTTATATTCTTTTCTGATGTGTATCCTTTAGAAATTTCTTCAGTGTCGGTCTCTCGGTGGTAGGGTCTCTGTGGTTTTGTCTGTCTGAAAATGTCTTTATTATTCTTACATGGTAGCTTTGAATTTCTAGGCTCATGGTAATTTTCACGCAACACTGAGGTGTTATTCTGCTGTTTCTTGGTTTGCATTTTAGCTCTCGGGAAGATGTATGTATGGGGGTGGGGTGTTTTCTGTCAGTTTTGTCATACTTTATATAGGTAATTTGCCTTTTGTCTCTGGTTGCTTGTTGTCTTTGTTATTCTGTACATTCCCTATGCTGTGTCTACCTGAGGGTTTATTTTTATTTCTTTCATTGGGAGTCAGATGTATTTCCTAAAATCGGAGGTTTCATATCTTTCATAAATTCTTGTTTTATTCAAACATCTCATATTATTTTCATGCCTTGTAATATCTCTTGAGCTTTAATATTTCTTTTACTTTTTGTGTTTCATTTTAGAAATTTTTCTTTGGATTTAATTTTTAATTCTTTAGTTCTGTCTTAAATTTGTGCCTAAACTGCTGAGTAAGCTATATTTATTTTTTAGTTTCTCTGTTCATTGACTTTACTTTTCCTTATTTATTTTTTTTTTAGAAATTGTCCTTGTTTCTTTTTCAGATATGCTTGGATTTCCTTGTCCTTATTTTGTCTGCTTTCTATTCTACTTTATTATTTTCAACATACTTAGTCTATTTTTCACTAAATAAATACTAAAATTTACTAAATTCAACATCTGACATTCTTTGGGTTCTAATTGTACTGCTTTTCATTTCTGCAGACACTTACGGTTGCTTATTTCCTCATGTGCTTTGTTGTTTTGGAGTCTGAGCTTATTTCAGTACCCAGGATCGAGAGTGTTACCTTCAGAGAGGTCTTGCATATGCATCTTTCAGCTATGCTTTTAAAAAGATGTTTGCTCTTATTTTAACAGGAGCTTGTAGGTGATTTCTAGAGTGAGAGTTCTAGGATACGGAGATTTAATCATTTATGTGTCTTCCAGAGTATAAAACTAGCAGTGTCTTAGACATACATATGAAACACATTAAATGTAATCCTATTGTCCTGAAATGCTATTCAGAAGTTTAAAAATTGTTAGAATCACATAATCATTTTGAGCAAATATTACTTGTTTTTCTTTTGCTTTCTAGCTTTATCTTGCCTTTTTTGGACATTTTTAAACTACAGTTGTACTTTCAGTATGTCCTTGATTTATTCTGAACAGAAACCAAGAATGTGTCTTGTTCCTCTTTCACCTTTCAAAACCAGCTACTAAATCTCTTTACTTTTTCTGTTGTTTACTACCTCATCATTCCTTACAATGGCAGATGGAAATTACCATCCAAAAAGCTAGACTGAGGATATTATTAAAAGTTTACCATGATATCCTATATTGTATGTCTTAGAGGTATCTAGAATATGGTTTCCAAAGTGGGTATAAGATAATACATTGGATCTTATTCTTACACTAGGAAAAGGAGAAGTTAAGGTTTATTTTACTAGAACACATATATAATTTAGACATATTTTTAATAGATTACATAAATGTTTATTTTAAAATACTTAGTTTTCAAATAAAAGCTCAGAATTTTTACCAGTGGGGTATGGGAACAAATATAGTGATTTTTATGACTTAAAGCAGTGCTACCAGTTTGGCCTTGGAGTACGGAATGAAGCAGGGCAAAGGCTAATAGAGTTTTGCCAAGAGAACGCACTGGCAAAGAATGCCTTACAATAGCAAACACCCTCTTCCAACAACACAAGAGAAGACTCTACACATGGACATCACCAGATGGTCAACACTGAAATCAGATTGATTATATCCTTTGCAGCCAAAGATGGAGAAGCTCTATACAGTCAGCAAAAACAAGACTGGGAACTGACTGTGGCACAGATCATGAACTCCTTATTGCCAAATTCAGACTTCAATTGAAGAAGGTAGGGAAAACCTCTAGACCATTCAGGTATGACCTAATCAAATCCCTTATGACTATCCAGTGGAAGTGAGAAATAGATTTAAGGGACTAGATCTGATAGAGTGCCTGATGAACTATGGACGGAGGTTCGTGACATTGTACAGGAGACAGGGATCAAGACCATCCCCATGGAAAAGAAAGGCAAAAAAGCAAAATGACTGTCTGAGGAGGCCTTACAAATAGCTGTGAAAAGAAGAGAAGCGAAAAGCAAAGGAGAAAAGAAAATATATTCCCATTTGAATGCAGAGTTCCAAAGAATAGCAAGGAGAGATAAGAAAGCATTCCTCAGTGATCAATGCAAAGAAATAGAGGAAAACAACAGAATGGGAAAGACGAGAGATCTCTTCAAGAAAATCAGAGATACCAAGGGAACATTTCATGCAAAGATGGGTTCAATAAAGGACAGAAATGGTATGGACCTAACAGAAGCGGAAGATATTAAGAAGAGCTGGCAAGAATACACAGAAGACCTATACAAAAAAGATCTGCACGACCCAGATAATCACGATGGTGTAATCACTCACCTAGAGCCAGACATCCTGAAATGTGAAGTCAAGTGGGCCTTAGAAAGCATCACTACAAACAAAGCTAGTAGTGGATGTGATGGAATTCCAGTTGAACTATTTAAAATCCTGAAAGATGATGCTGTGAAAGTGCTGCACTCAGTATGCCAGCAAATTTGGAAAACTCAGCAGTGGCCACAGGACTAGAAAAGGTCAGTTTTCATTCCAACCCCAAAGAAAGGCAATCCCAAAGAATGCAATTCAACTACTGCACAGTTGCACTCATCTCACACGCTAGTAGAGTAATGCTCAAAATTCTCCAAGCCAGGCCTCAGCAATACATGAACCATGAACTTCCAGATGTTCAAGCTGGTTTTAGAAAAGGCAGAGGAACCAGCGATCAAATTGCCAACATCCACTGGATCATCGAAAAACCAAGAGAGTTCCAGGAAAACATCTATTTATGCTTTATTGACTATGCCAAAGCCTTTGACTGTGTGGATCATAAGGAACTGTGGAAAATTCTGAAAGAGATGGGAATACCAGACCACCTGACCCACCTCTTGAGAAACCTGTATGCAGGTCAGGAAGCAACAGTTAGAACTGGACATGGACCAACAGACTGGTTCCAAATAGGAAAAGGAGTATGTCAAGGCTGTATATATGCAGAGTACATCATGAGAAATGCTGTGCTGGAAGAAGCACAAGCTGGAATCAAGATTGCTGGGAGAAATATCAATAACCTCAGATATGCAGATGACACCACCCTTATGGCAGAAAGTGAAGAGGAACTAAAAAGCCTCTTGATGAAAGTGAAAGAGGAGAGTGAAAAAGTTGGCTTAAATCTGAACATTCAGAAAATGAAGATCATGGCATCTGGTCCCATCACTTCATGGAAAATAGATGGGGAAACAGTGGAAGCAGTGTCAGACTTTACTTTTTTGGGCTCCAAAATCACTGCAGATGGTGATTGCAGCCATGAAATTAAAAGACACTTACTCCTTGGAAGGAAAGTTATGACCAACCTAGATAGCATATTAAAAAGCAGAGACATTACTTTGCCAACAAGGTCCATCTAGTCAAGGCTATGGTTTTTCCAGTGGTTGTGAATGGATGTGAGAGTTGGACTGTGAAGAAAGCTGAGCACCGAAAAATTGATGCTTTTGAACTATGGTGTTGGAGAAGACTCTTGAGAGGCCCTTGGACTGCAAGGAGATCCAACCAGTCCATCCTAAAGGAGATCAGTCCTGGGTGTTCATTGGAAGGACTGATGCTGAAGCTGAAGCTCCAGTACTTTGGCCAACTCATGCGAAGAGTTGACTCATTAGAAAAGACCCTGATGCTGGGAGGGATTGGGGGCAGGAGGAGAAGGGGATGACAGAGGATGAGATGGCTGGATGGCATCACCAACTCGATGGACATGAGTTTGAGTAAACTCTGGGAGTTGGTGATGGACAGGGAGGCCTGGTGTGCTGCGATTCATGGGGTCTCAGAGTCGGACATGACTGAACGACTGAACTGAACGGACCCAATAGAACTTTCTTACAATAATGGAATGTCCTTTATCTGCACTGTCCTAACCACTAGCCATATATAATGTTGAGCACTTGATATGTAGCTAGTGTGACTAAGAAACTGAATTTTTAATTTTAGTTAAATTGCCTCATGTGGCTAGTGACTACTATCTTGATCAGTGCAGATCTAGAGCATTCTAAGTGGGGAGGAGGTAGAAATAACAGCTGTTTATTTAGTGGTTTCCCAGTATCAGATTCCATATAGAGTATTCTGTATATCATTGCATTTAATCTTGAAAACAACCCTTGAGGTTTAGAGAGAGGTTAAGTAACTTGCTAAAAATAATACAGAATTAAAAAGAAGCAGAATCAGAATTGGAACCCACATTGCTCTTTTTTTTTTTAACCAGCATATTTGAGGTAATTGATTTCATAATGTTGCATATGTTTAAGGTATACAGCTTGATGTTTTGATATATATGCATTTTGAAATCACCACAAGCTAGTTATTATATCCATCACCTCCACATACACATAATTACCATTTTCCTTCTTTCCTTTCTTTTTTTGTGGCAAGAAGACTTAATTAAAATCTGTCCTCTTAGCATGTTTCAAATATACAGTATGGTTTTGTTAACTATAGTCTCCATGCTCTATATTAGATCTCTAGAACTTACTCATCTTGCATGGTTGAAATATTGTGCCCTTTTGACCAATATTGTCTCATTCTCTTCCCCTGCCCACCTTCCCTGACCACCAGCATTCTTCTCTCTGCTTCTGTAAGTTTGACTGTTTTAGATTCCACATGTAAGTGAGATCGTGCAGTCTTTCTGAGTCTGCCTTATTTTACTTAGCATAATTTCCTCCCAGTTTATTCGTGTTGTTGCAGATGGAAGAATTTGCTTCTTTTTTAAGGATGAACAATATTCTACAGTATATATACACAGTGATTTTTGGTCAGTTTGTTCATTGATGGACATTTAGGTTATTTTTATATCTTGACTAGTGTGAATTATACTGCATTGAACACAGGTGTGCAGATATGTGCTGGATATCTCCTATCTGGGTATCTGGATATCTCAGTACTTCACTGAGTTCCAGTAAGGGACGTTCCAATACCACGTTAGCTCCTAATCAGTACCTGTGCTTCCCCCACCTCCTCTATGTCTTTAAAACTCTACTACTATCTCAATGTAACCCACCCTGCTTTTATTTAACTTTAGTAAGTCATAGACTTCCCAGGTGTACTATGTATTTATTTATCTGAAATAAATAAGACAGGCCCTTAGCTCTGTTTTGGGCTTCCCAGACGGCTCAGGTAAAAAAATCCACCTGCAGTGCTGGAGACACAGGAGACGCAGCTTTGATGCCTGGGTTGGGAAGTCCCCTGGAGGAGGAAATGGCAACCCACTCCAATATTCTTGCCTGGAAAACCCCATGGATAGAGGAGCCTGGTGGGAGATAGTACATGGGATCGCAAAGAGTTGGACACGACTGAGCACACACACACATAGCTCTGTTTTATAGGTGAACATGCTAAGCAAGATTATGAATCATTTGTCCAAACTCTTTCAGATCAAAATTGAACTTAAAGTGGGGCTTTCCTGTCTAGCTCATGGTGCTCCAGTCATACTGTAGTTAAGTCATTTTCTTATTTATTTTTTTTTTTAAAGTCATTTTCTTAAAATCAATGCAGTTGGTGCCAAATTTGAGTTTGCCTGAGTTAGGCTCTTTTAAAAGACTAAGCAGTATGGCTTTGGAAATATTTTTAACGTGTTCATGTTTGTTTTTTTAGTGCTCGGCAGAAACCCAGAACTAGTTACTTAGAGGATCGAAAAAATGGGTCTAAGCTGATTGTTTTTGTGATCGGAGGAATTACATACTCTGAAATGCGTTGTGCTTATGAAGTTTCTCAGGCACATAAGTCCTGTGAAGTTATTATTGGTAAGACTTGTGTGTTCCTTTGTCTATTTTTTTAAAACAAACTCTTAGATGCAAAAATATATATGTAAAACTTTATCTTCTCATTTTACATTTAGAACTAAATTGTTGAGTGCAAAAAAATATTTTTTGAATCAGTGTGTTTTATCTGATGTACCAGTTTTTTCCTGGTTGACCTTTTGATGATTTTTTAAAATTACAATTCTGATTTTGAGAGAATGAGTTTCAGGAATATTGCATTCCTTTAAATATCATTAAATATATCCTTAAAAATATTTCATCCTATCCTTTTCTTGCTTTCATGATTAAATACTTTTTGAAACATTTATTTCTACTACAGAAATATTTTGAAATTTTTTGTGGCTGTAGACCTGACGTTGGCCGAGCCTGTACGGAATTTCGTTTTAAGAATTTCAGTCAAAGCCACTGATACCTAGACTCTCCTGACCTGTGGAGATGCAGCGTTTGTACATCAAGCTTCAGTCTATGGTTCTGCTTAGCAATTCTCTGTGACTGAATTCACAGTGACTCTTTGCTGTTCTGTCAGGGGGACAGGCTAACCTCCGATTTTGCTCTTCACTGTATCAATATATAGTACAAAGTGGTAACTACAGTACAAAGTATAGTCGTGGGGATTGTTTGTAAAGGGTTATTGAATGTGCTTAATGAAGAAGAAGGATTACAATACTGTAGTTTAGGAAGGCGTCCTACAGAAATTTTGTTAAGCTGCCCCCAGCTACTGCACTTTGTATATTTGAAGGACAAGGCAATATAGTTAGCTGGGGAAAATTGATTTGACTGCTGGCCTCTGAAGATTTATCTTTTCCTCTTCTTCCAGGATCCACACATATTTTAACACCCAGAAAGCTGTTGGATGATATAAAGATGCTGAATAAGCCCAAGGATAAAGTCTCCTTTACTAAAGATGAATAACATTTTGGGTGGGGAGCAATTTAGAGATTCTTATTAATTTGTTCAACTAACATAGATGGAGACATTGTTGCTCTCATGTAATTTAAACAGTGTAAATATTTTAAGGAATAATGACTTTCAGATATATTTCTTAAGGGACTGTTTATGATTACGTATCATTGGATTTGCCATTTTTAATTTAAATATTGTTGCTGCTTTGTGGATGATGAGAAGAAATGTTAAAATGCTTTCTAAAAGGAAATGTTTTCAGCTTTGGAACAGAATATATTACAGTTGTGGGTAATTTTTCACAGCCTACCTATGTACATACTAATTACTTATTAGATACTTGTCTGTCTTATGCTGGAATATAGTTTTTGGGGAAACAATGATTTTAAATGAAAAGATTATAAAAGTGAAAACTGTAAATTTGTATGTATAATAGAATGATTTCCTAAAAGTGCAGTTTTTCTTTCAACTGAAATTCATGACTTCTTTTATATGTAAAGTAATTCAATCATTAATTGAAATATTTTACAGCATTTACTGTCTTGCTAGATATTTCTAAAAAACACAATTTTATATAATTTTGAAATGTTTAAATTAGTAAACAAATAATCATGAACATTCTAAGAGAAAATAAATACATACTTACAAAAATTATCTTTGTTTTTTGGCGGAGAGGATGGGAACATTGGAAAACTTTAAATTTCTAAAAGAATTACAAAGAGGTAAAAGAATGTATCATAATCTTTCCACCAAGGTAACTCCTTTTGACTTAGATGATAATGATGTAGTCTTTGCATAAGGTTGGATAATGTGAGGATATGGGTGTACATATGTTACACAAAGGGAACCCCTCCTCTCCATTCCTGATCTCTCCTTTTACCTGACCTCATTGTGTTCTGTCATATAATGGACCCTAATTTTATGTATCACTTATCTTCAGAATTTTGCTCTTAAAAATAATGCTGCATTGTTTGGGTACATACCTTTGCAAACTTACACAAATATTTCTTTAATGTAAATTTCTAGTGAGGACATAGCTGTCAAAATGTTTGTGCATTTAAAATACTGATACCACCATTTAAAATTTTTATTTAGATAAATCTATCACTTTTCCTTTATGGCCTCCAAATTTGTATTGTACTTAGAGCTATCTTTGCACCCAAGGTTGTAAATTGACCCATTGATCTTCCAGAGCATTTTGATAGGCTCATTTTATTTTTTATAGGTAACTCTCACCATCCCTCTGGAATTGATTTTAGTATGAGAGTGAATGCTAGATAATTGTCTCTTAGCATTTGGCATTATGTCCCATGCCTCCCCATTCCATATCACAAGGGATGAAAAGCTAAAAAGAAGTTTTTCAGACTCAAAGGTAAGTGGGGTTCTGAACAGGTTAGATTCTGCCTGTTTTTATATTTTTATTTGGTCGGGGTTTTGAACGTAGAAAGGAGGCAGAGGCCATGTGCTGTGGCTGTGCCAGTGGACAAGTGAGTTCCTACCTACAGGAGTTGTTTGTAGCAACCGGACTCCACGCTTTAGTGTCTGTCACCTTCTTCGTGGATATGAGGCAGTCTGGTGGCAGCTGGTGGCACGACCTTCCTATTCCCTGGGTCGGATTGTGATACACCGTGAGACTAAAAACAGAGTCCCAAGTTTCTTCCCCTGCAGCTTTTCCCATGATTTTTAAGGACTAAATTCTCTATATTAAAACACTCTCTTCTTAAAATATCTAGAGGAGTTTCTGTTCCTTCAGAGAACCCTGACTGATACAGTATTTTACAGAGATCCATCTTTATTTCTTTCGAAATAGACACCGTACCAAATTTTACTGGGCAATCCCTCTTTCCCCAGTTAATCTGAAATACCTTGCTCATAAACTAAGTTTGAACTTTGGTCTCTTTCTACATTCTTTTTTACTGATCTATAGTTTGTTTTATTTTCTTCTATTTTATATTTTAAAATTTCTATTGGAGTACAGTTGATTTACAATGCTGTGTTAGTTTCAGCTGTGCAGGAAAGTGAATCAGTTACATATCTATCCACTCTTTAGCTTCTTTTCCTGTATAAGAGTTTTCCCATTATAGAGTTTGCTATGCTATTCAGTAGGTCCCTATTAGTTATCCATTTTATATTTAGTAGAATATATATGTCAATCCCTATCTCCCAGTTTATTCCCTATTTTAGAGATTTTTTTTTTTTTTAAGTCTTTATTGAATTTTTTACGACATTGCTTCTGTTCTGTGGAGGCCTTTTGGCTGCAAGGCAAAGCTCCCCAACCAGGGATCAAACCTGCACCTGCTGCACTGGAAGGTAAAATCCCAATCACTGGGCCCCCAGGGAAGTCCCTCTGTCTAATTTATTAATCATTATTATTTTATTTGGCTGTGCTGAGACTTGGTTGTGGCACACAGGATCTTTGATCTTTGTGCTGCATGGGGGAGTTTTGGCTGGAGCATGTGAACTCTTAGGTCCGACCAGGGATCAGACCTGAGCTCCCTGCATTGGGAGCATGGAGTCTTACCAGTGGGCCACCAGGGAAGTCCCTCCCTATTTTAATTCATGCTGTGCTAATAGGTGGACATAATCTCTATTCCACCCATACCAGAATTACTGTTATTTTTTTCAGAAATTTTCTGGGTATTGCATTTTTAAAAAGTGAACTTCAGCATCATTTTGTTAATACCAGAAGTTATTTTGATATTTTCATTAGGTTCATAGTAAACTTATATGTTAATTCAGGGAAAATACAACCTTAAGAATCATTATTTTCTTTATACAGGTATTGCATATCGCCATAGTATTTTTCATGGTTCCACGTAAGTTGGATCTTCTATCATGTTTTTCAGACAGATTTTTTTTATATATAGGAAAGTTACTGTTTTGACATATCAATTTCAGAACTTGCTATTTTACTAAGTAATGCTAATAAAATAATAATGTGCAAATGCTTTATATGTGAGGCACTGTTTTTAAGTGCTTATATTACATCATTTAATCTTCTCATTTAATCCTTTGAAAATAGGCACTATTATCATCTCCATTTTAAAGCTTAGGAAAGCTAAGGTACAAAAAGTTTATATAATTTAACCTGGATGACATGTATATGTGGAGAGGGAAGGTTTGACATTAATAAACTTTTCTTTGTTTCTGTTTTTAATTGAAGTATAGTTGATTTACAAGGTATTAATTGCTGTTGTACAGCAAAATGATTCAATTATATATACATGTACACTTTTGGATAGTGACTATGGTTCTCTGTGCTATACAATAGGACTTTGTTGTTTATCCATGCTTTATATAATAGCTTTTATCTGCCAATCCCAACACTCTTTCCCTCCTCCACCGCCCTCTCCCCTGGCAACCACCAGTCTAATAAACAGCTTTCTTTGAATGTTAAGCCTGAGAACAGTACACTGCCAGGGAGAAGGCTAATTTTTTGGTGTCTGCATTTTATCTGAGATCTTCATATGGCTCGCTAGCTATCTGTCCAGGTTTAGTACATGTATGGAACAGATCCATACTAATCCAATGCCCTTTGACAAATGGAACTAGGAGTGTGATGACAGCAAACATTGGTCCATTCAGTCACTTCAGACCTCAGTGGTCACTGTGTCCTGTCACTCTGATAAGAGATCCTTTAGGCCTACATTTCATATACATTTTAGACTTAGACTTGGAGAGACCCTTTGTTTCTTGAATTTCTTACTGAATTTGAAGATGTAAGAGGTCATTACACATAAATTCCTAGTATAAACTGATTCTCCACCCACCACACTCTTGTTAGGTTGAGCAATTGCAGATTCTGGTACAAAGACCCTGAAAAAACACTTTTGTTGTTGCTCCTAACTGAAATGATTGACTCACACTCTATGAAGCACATTTTTGCTTCCTGTTGAGATGTACTTGGTTTGTAAAGTGTAGTGGATTCATATCATTCAGTCATATTCACAAAAACTAAATAAGAAAAATAGCAGTTGACAAAAATTCTTGAGTTTGAGCTAAATCCAAGCGGGCCAGATCCTGGTGGTGTGTTTGGTAACTTGTGATGCTTCTGTAACTCAGTTCTGCTATAGGTATTTGTACCCTTTGTGAGTCCCTTCAGGATGCAGGTGGATTTCTTTTAAAATCAAAGGAACAAGAAATGTTTTCCTCCCACAGTAAAAGTTCTACCAAAACAACATTCTGGTTATTAAATATAAATATATATTCCTATTTAGTATGAATTTGTTCTATTTTAAATAATTCACTAAGATTACAATTGAATGTTAAAAAGATGAATTTTCATTTGTAAAAGCTAATAGTTAACTCAGACAGTAAACGCCTTCTACCAAGAGTCCCACTCATGCTGCTGAGTCCCTGGACTCAGTATTAGATACACAATTACTTTTTTAAAAACTTTTTGGCTGCACCACCCATCATGCAGGATCTTAGTTCCCTGACCAGGAATTGAACTTGTGCCTCCTGAATTGGAAGAGTTTTAACCACTGGACCGCCAGGGAAGTCCTAGATACAATTACTTTTACTTTAGAAGCTTGTTCTTCTGGCTTATTATTGCAGCAGAATTAAAAGAGAGCTATCAAAGAAGTGTCCAGAGGGAGAAGACAGCCAAAAACTACTGAGTCAGTAAATATAAAATCCTTGTAAATCAGAGTCTAGCTCTTTTCCAGAATTCCTTAAGGACATGGCCCGATTTCTATTTCTTGGATTAGACGATTCAGTGATTGTTTATAATGATACTCACTCATCAAGGAAATATAAATTACACTTGGAATATGGTTTAATAAGGCAGGGATGGGCCATATTTTTAAATAAGTAATTACAATAGTAAGTTTCTATAAAGGTTAATTTGTGGGGTAAGGGACATTCATTTATGGCAGTCCTTTCTAAATTGGATGCCATGGATTTGCTTCAGGTTTCCACAAACTTTTAAAAAATTGTGTGCAGAATCACGCGTGTTCATATCACTTTTAGAGGAGCATGGGGCAGGGAGGCTCCCTGACTTTCATCAAATTCTCAAAGAAGGTTGAATCCCCAAAAGTTTAAGAACTCAGAGAAGTATGTCATTTTAAACTTGGGCACAAATTAGTGATGTCTGTACCCAAAAGAGTTTTATCAAGTTACGATTAAATCTAGATATGAGATGAATTGAAGTCTCTTAGCACATGCAATTTAGGCTCCCCTTTTTCTCTTAAAATGCTATTACTAATCTTCACTATCTTTCTCACAGGGCCACAACTTAAAGTAAATTTTGCCATGAAGTCAGAGGTATCCTCACTCTGGCCTCTTTATCTCTTCCCAGGCACCCTAAACTAACTTTCAAGCCCCAAAGTTAAAAATAGCTTATCCCCTGGCCAGCTAGACAAATAGTAGCTGTCTTGGTCACCACAGAAATCTTTAAAGCGGGAATGAATTTGACTCTCCTTACCACTAAGTGAAGCTCTGGGGTTGGGAAATATTTGTTGAATTTGGAGTGAATGGAGTCCCAGGAAAGAGGGAAAGAGCCAGAATCTGCTACTCTGTCATTAAGGAGGTCGAGCATCAGTCCGTAAAAGCAGCAAATCAGGACTTAATCCCTGCATGCAGTTTTGGCCTAGGTAAATTTCATTAATCCAGGACTATTATGTTTCCATATTTCTGACTTCAGGAGATCTCTAAGTAAATAATATATAAAACAACCATAAGAATTTCATTAAGTACTGAAAGTAAATGAAAAGTAAATAGCCTCTCTTGAGGCTCCCGGTTGAATTTCCTAGAAGTCCACTGAATATTTTTGTGTATCTTTCCAGAAATTGTATATGTTCTTTGAAAAACAAATGAGGTCACACATATTTCTTATTAGCTTGCTTTTCTTCACTATCTGACAGATTATACACCTCATTCTTTTCAGTGGCTGCAGAGTATTAACTGTATGACTGTCATTTTTGAAATTAAATTTCACCTTTATTTATTTATTTTGCTGCTCCAAGTCTTTGTTGAGGCATGTGGGATCCTTGATCTTCCTTGCAGCATGCAGGATCTTTAGTTACAGCATGCAGGAATCTTTCAATTGAGGCATGTGGGATCAAATTCCCTGACCAGGGATCGAACCCAGGCCCCCTGTTGGGGAGCTCAGAGTCTTAGCCACTGGATGACCAGGGAAGTCCCGACTGTCATTGTTTTTGAATCATCACAGAGGGTATTAGATGTGTTCCATTTGTGAGCCCTTCCCATCAGTGGCCATCCTCATACAAATTATGTGACATCTTGTTTGAGTGACTTATAAAGCAAAATCCTAGTAATGGAATTGCTGCTCAGAAGGTAAATACTTCTAGAATTTGTAGAATTTGGTAGCAATTATCGAGTTGCCTTTCAGCAGAGTTGCACTAATATGTACCTCTACCAGCAGTGTATGAGAGCACTCATCTCCCCCATCTTCCCTGACACAGCCTGGGTTTTTCAAACGTTAGTTTTTGCCATACTGACAGGTAAAAGTATATTTTACTATTTTCATTTCTTTTATTATAAGTTAGTAACATTTATTTTTAAACAAATATGTGTTGACTTTGATTTTTAAGAATCAGAGGTCCATTTTTTAAAAAAATTGTGTCCCCCATTTCTTGCAATTTTGGTGTTTTCTCTAGAAGGTCATCTTCATAAGTTGTGTATAATAAGTAAAATACCTTTGGAGGGAAGACCAAGTTTTCTCTGCATTTTTTTTTTAATCCTTGGTTGCCTTGAATCAAACTAGTATTTCAACTTTTTCCTCCATCTTTGTACTTTGGCAAGATCTTCTGCAATAGTTCTAATCATTTGATCAGTAGTTTGTTTCAAAATGGTTGCTGTCCTTAGGGCATGATCCAAAGACGAATTTAAAATCTACAGAGGAAAAGTCCACACATTTTGGTTACAGAAATTTACTACCGCTCCTGGTAACTGGGTTCTCTCGTTATTAAACATTGCAAAGTGGAATTTTTGGAGTATTCTGTTTTCCACCCAGTCTATTTCTGTTTTTGAGAGCTGGTTTCCTAGGAAACCAGTGTGAAATGGAATATATTTTGTAGAGAAAGGGACAGAAAAAAAGATCAACACGTGACTGATGAGCATGAATCAGAGGATGAGGTCAGCAACCTGCTGGGCTGTTTCCCTGCTGTGGAAAAAGAGATCTGTGAGAAGGAAGAAAAACTCTTGGGAGGAGGGGCATTGAAGGGGATTTAGGGCCCATAACCACTGAGGGGCACACAGGATGCAGTGCATGCTTGTGGCGACATTTGAAAGTGACCTGATTGAAAACAGGAAACTGCTGGCAGCTCTAACCCCAGTGTCACTGGAATAAACTTGTGAACGGCACACTGGGGAATCCTATAGCTGAGGAACCACCCACAAAACACTTTCTCCAAGAAATTTCCGTTGGAATCAATTTAGGAATAATACAAACCATGTGGCTGCTCAGGCTGTGTGTCTTTATGTTAGTGCCGAGCACAAGTTGTTTCAGCAGAACATTTTTTGATGCTCTCATACTGTAATAATTTAAAAGCCATCAGTTTTGTGGTGACAAAGACCAAACGTACAAGCTGCAAGGTCCTCACCTCAGATTCTGTTTCTTTGCTCTTGCTAAAGTTGCTGGAGGATGTGTTTTCAGAAATCCTGCAGGAGTGGGAATGGGGTGAGAGTGTAGCAAGGTCTGACCTGTAAGAAAGGCAAACGCACATTGACACTTGTGTAAAGCACCCTCTTCAACTCTGTGGTTCAATAATGGGGCTGTGTGTGTGTGTGTGTGTGTGTGTGTGTCTGTGTTGGGGGCGAGGAGTTGGTGCGCCATCTGCCCAAGAACACAGAACCAAGATGCAAACCCAAGAACTCCCCGGTGGCTGTATTCATAGGCTGCACCATGGCAGTGCGTGGCAGGGTTCACACTGAATGAGTGTGACTGCACAGCCTGAACTCCCTGCTACACTGTCAGTCTGCCTCAGATAGCTCTAAAATACTAGTCTTCTCTCTGCTTTTCTACCACCCTTAGCTAAGCTGCCATCATCCCACCTGGCTTATTGTACTGGTCTCTTATCTGGCTTCTGTGCACCAGTTCTTGACTCCTCTAATCCATTCCCTCTCCCTTAGTAATTAGAGTGATCTTTTACAACACTAGGAAGCTTTAAAAAAACACTCTGGTTAAAAAAAAAAAAAATCACTGGTTACCCATTAAACCTAAGAGCCTGAAACCCTTCCTGCAGCCGACAAGCCCCTGCACAGCCTGGCCGTGCCCATCCCACCAGCCTTCCCTCACCAGTCCTGTCCTGCCCCACTGCCTCGCCCTCTTTTAGGCTCCTGCCACATTGTTCCTGAACTTGCCAAGGGCTTTTCCACACCAGGAGGCTCTCTCAGACTGGCATTTCTTCGCTCACGCCTTTCCATCCTTGCTGACTCATTCATACTTACTCTTCGGAGCTCAGCTTCTCCAAACCCCCACATTAGGTAATGGTAGTCTATGCCCCCTTTCCTCTACCAAAAAAGTAAGGGCAGAGGCCGCAGTTGACCTTGTCACTGTGGACAAGCACAATGTCCTGCTATTGACACTCAAATATTTGTTGAAAGAATAACTGAATGATTGAAATATTAGCCAGATGTAGGTTTGAATCCTGACTACTGCTTAAGATCTAGGTCAGGGGGCCCCAACCTCTGGGATCTAATGCCTGATGATCTGAGGTGGCACCGATGTAATAATAATAGAAATAAAGTGCACAATAAATGTAATGTGCTTGAATCATCCCGAAACCCCCCTGGAAAAACTGTCTTGCACAAAACTGGTCCCTGATGTCAAAAAGGTTAGACACCGCTGCTGGAGGTGATCATGGACAGACAATACTGCAGTAAGCACATTGCATACACCAAATGGGTAGTCATTTTGTTACTCATACTTACTTTCTTGGTATGGGTTCACATCCATCATTACAGGATTTTGGATTTGCTTTCTGGAAACAGATCCATTTTGGTTCTGAATGAGCTGAAAAATGTTAGCTGTGGTCAGATTCAGAGCACAAAAATGATCCCAAAATCCAATGGTGGGTATATGGCTATCCTTTCCTGAACTTTTCTGTTTAAGTGAAATATTTCATAAAGTTTTACTAAGGAAATAAACCTAGGGAACATGGAAAGTAGCCATTGAGTATTCTGAATTCAAGAAAAGAAATTCAACACTTAAAAGGAGTTTTATTAGCAGACAAGAAACCAGGAGTCTAAGTTCCTTTGTTGCTAGCTGGATGACCTGGGCATGTCTATGGATTCAACTTCTTCATCTGGCAAATGGAGGGATAATATTTTCCAAGAGCTTGGACCAAATGGATTTCTAAAGTCCTCTCTACTTTAGGAGCAAGGATTCTAGGAGTCAGAAATTTTAAAATTATGTTACTAAGACAATCCTAGAAAATAGAGGCTAAACAGATAAGATAAATGTAGGAACGTCACCATGGAAGACACGAAGAGCTCCAGGCAAGGAAGAGAGGCAAAGCATGTGTGTGTGCTCAGTTGCGTCCAACTCTGTGCAGCCCCTTGGACTGCAGCCCACCAGGCTACCCTGTCCCTGGAATTTTCCAGGCAAGAACACTGAAGTGGGTTGCCACTTCCTACTTCAAGGGATCCTCCCGATCCAGAGATCAAGCCCATGTCTCCTGTGTCTCCTGCACCGGCAGGTGGATCCCTTCCCACTCAGCCACCTGGGAAGCACAGTGGCCAGCAAATCTGCCTTCTCTGTCGCTGAGGCTCCCTTCCCCCCTTCTCTGGCCTCTCCTCCTCTCTCCTCTGTCTTCCCCTCTTTCTCCTTTGGTCTCCTGCTATATCCACTGGTCTCTAGTATCTTGGCTTCACTCCCTCTCAGGAGGGTCCCACTTGACAAGGGGACAGGGAGGGATCGTCCCTCAGACATGGAAGGCAAGGCAGGAGCCAGAAAGTCCAAATTTCATTTAGTCACGCTACACCCTGACTTATTTGTCATGACAAACAGTGGTACTAATGATCTCAGTCTTAATTGCTTGGTCATCTCATTCTTTATTTGAAACATAGAAACAGAATTAGAAAGGGTCATAGAGTCATCTGGTCCCATTCTCATTCAGTCTACAGATTAACAACATCCTGGCAAAGTACAGTGTATCTCAGTCTGCAGGTGGGAATCACAACATCCTGCAACAGCCTGCTCCATTTTCTGTCCATTCTGGAGGGTCTCTTTAACACTGAACAAAAGACGCCTCCCTGAGACTTCTACTCTCTTGGCCACTATACATTTACTAATGGCATTTCAAGATTACTTTTCAAACGACTCAATTGCTTTCCTCATTCATATATTAGAATGAGAAGTCTCATGTGCTGTTGACCCCAAAACCGAGGAGATAGTAAAGAAATGTGCCTGTTGCTTCTGTGGAGTCTTAGGGACTGTCACCTCAACAGAACACATCCAGTTGGAGGATTGGGCAGCTGGGGGTGGGTAGGGGAGACAGCTGAGGTCAGTCTGGTAACACAATTCTTTAGTCTTGGGCATTGCAACTGTGAAAGGTCAGAAACCTCTCTGGTGCCCTGGCCCCAGCAATGGAGAGAAAGAGCTTTGCAGGTATGAACTCACCCATGAGGAAAGGATGTCGGAGAACCAGGCCCGGTGGTTGTTCAGAAGCAAGACAAGGGTGTTCCCGCCCCACCTGGTGTTCCCTTAGTCCACTGTTCTCTTAGCACTTAACCACATTCTGCCATGAACTTTCCTAATTAGGGTATGAGTTCCTTTCTTTCAACAGGTTGTAAACTCCTTGAGAGGAGGTAGCCATTGTCTCATTCATCTTTATAAATAAATGTTTGTGGGATTTTAGGTATTTCCAAAGACAGCAAAATTTTGCATTGAAATTAGCAACATGATATTGTGTAAAATAGTCTACTTTAAGTGTAAAAATAGTCTATTTCTTTACATACTGACTTTTACTGGGGATATATTTAAAGCTTTTTCCCCTTCTGAATAATAACAATAACAGTGGCAGTTAGTCCTTTGTTCATCAAATATTTATGACTTGTTGCCACATTACACTGGTATAGCACTTCGTAACTTTCAAAGTCCTTTATTGCTAGGACTGCATATCTACCAGCCCAGCCCCTTGCCATCCAGGCCTTGGGCTGGATGTGGGAGTGTCAGATGAGTGCTGGAGACCTGGCAGCAGACTCAGCAGGTGCCCAGCATATGTAACAGTGGCCAGTGTGATGTGTGTTTCCCACAGAGGGAGTCTAGGTTGTTTACAAAGATGGGATCATGCAGAGATGTACTTACTAGGTGAAGAATTATTTTCATTTAAATAGTGGAGCCGAGCAAAGGCACTTCTTTCTCTATGGTTAAAGAAATTCTGTCCTGGGGTATTGTATCTATAATGAAATTCTGAAAAGAAAAGATTAAAAATGCACTCATTGCCTGCAAACAACCGTTGTACTCACTTACGCACAGACAACCAGATACAGCCTGTTGTTGTTTTTTTTTTTTTCCTGAGGTGGCCCAGTCGCTTTCACCTTTAGGTGATTCTTTACTGCAGCCTCTCTGGGAGTTATGAATCTTAGTGCCACAGTTCTCACACTTACTACTCTGCAGTCCAATCCGAGATGCACAACAGCAGCTGTGTCCTGTATCAGAACCTGAAAAAGCCCAAGTTATGCAAAGAAGTATGAGGTTTTTATTATTATAATACTAAAATGTGCTTTGGACAGTAGAGCTCTGATCATGCAAAGTATGCATTAGCCCCAGAGTGTTCAATTTCCCAGGAGGAAATTTATCACACAGGTTGCCAGCCTAGGGGTGATATTTGGGACACCCTCCTTCCCTTATGACAACTGAGAGATGTTTTGATAAGTAACAGTTCTGATAGGAAAGTCTCAAGATTTGCCCAGCACATGTAGGTGTTTAGTAAAGGTCTTCTGAATGGATGGATCTGCGAAAATTTGGCCCATTGATATCAGACCATCTTGCATTTGTAATTATTTCTCAAGATTTGCCCTGATACATCCACATTTTCTTCTCAGACCCTACAGTGGCCAAGAGCTTATTATCCAGGCAACTGGAAAGATGGTTTTCCTCTACAACACATTCATAAATCCATATGGGAACTTGAATCATAGCTTTGCCCTCATCAGAACCACAGAGAGGCTAGCAGTAGAGAGCACTCGTATCTGGTGCAGGTCTGGGTCTTGTTCAGCAGGCTGTGGGCAGTGGCGCTCTCCAGTAAGGCCAGAGCATGGGAATCTGGGCCCGGCAGGTGAGTATGCCACACACGGGTGTCCAAGCAACATCTCAATTCCAGCAAAGAAAGGGTTGGGGGACGAAACTTCTGCCAGTGCTATTAATACCTGCCTTGCTACATTCATGGTTACACTCATTATAACATTATCTACCAAAGTGTAAATCACAAATGGAGTGAGCTCTAGGAAGGTTTTTTTCCTTCCCAAGTCTCGGTCAGTAGTCACTGAATGCCTTCTAATTTAGAACTCAAGGAAATTACAAATAGGGGAAGAAAGATGTACACCCTGGGCCTGTTGTGTTGTACAAGGGAAAGAACATAGGCCTGAGTTTGAAGCCTGATTCTGCCACGTACTGACTGTGATGGTTGATAATATGTCACAAACTCTAACATGCTCCTCAAAGGATAGAACCTAATTCCTCTCTCAATTGTGGCTGGATTTAGTGACTCGCTTTTAACAAACAGAATAAGGTGGTAATGATGGTGTATAACTTCTAAAACTAGGTTGTAAGAGTCATTGAAACTTCCATCTCAGTCTTTCTGTTGGATCACTTGCCTGGGGGAAGGAGGCTACCAGATCATAATGACATTCAAACAGCCTACTGGCCCACCTGGAGAGGAACTGAGACCCCTGGCCAATGGCCATGTGTGGGAACAACCTTAGATGCAGATTCTCTAGCCCCAGTAAAGCCTTCAGATGATGGTAGTACTGGCCAGCATCATGACTGCAGCCTCATGAGAGACCTTGAGCATGAACCACCCAGCTAAATGGCTCCCAAATTCCTGGCCCACAGAAACAATGAGATAGCAGATGTTTGTTGTTTTGAGTCATTAAGTTTTGGGATACATTATTACACAGCAATAAATAATATACCAGGCTTTTTGACCCTGGCAAGTTGCTTAATTCCTACTTATCTATACAATAAAGACAATAATTCCTACCTTTTAGGGTATTATGCTAGTTAAGTGATATATACTATACGTCAACAATTTTCAAATTTTTGATTTCCGAACCCTCTTACACTCTTAAAATTGAGGACCCTAAAGAGTTTTTGTTTATTCTAGTTTTGGTAGCTCAAATGCTACAATGCAGAAGACCCAGGTTTGATTCCTGTGTCAGGAAGATGCCCTGGAGAAGGGAATGGCTACTCCTTCCAGTATTCTTACCTAGAGAATCCCATGGAGGGAGGAGCCTGGCAGGCTACAGTCAATGGGGTCAGACACATTGAGTGACTAACATTTTCATATATCATAATATGTGGCGCTTTTCATAACTGCACTAAAAGTCTATCTTCCTCTTGCACTGGAGAACTGTCATACAACATTCAGTGGGTTGAACGTGGCTTAGTAGAGAAGTATTTATTTATAAATTTCAGGTCATTTTTACTCTGTAGAATCATTTAGATTTTCCTAAGACTGAATGAGCAGTCCCAAAGGTTATTTTTTTAGAATTTTAAATTGAGAAATTTAAAAAAATACTTTAAAAACAATAACCATTTCATGTTCACAAAATAACATTTTTTTATGAAGAAGAGCTATTTAGAAAATTTTAAAAATCAGTGACCAGTGAGAAGAGTGGCAGTGTTTTGTGTTTTGGCAAATACCTAGAATATCTGGCTTAACCAAAGGCAGCTGGCTTCCACAGGTGTGTCTCCATTCAACCTGTTGCAATATTGTTCTTTCAGGGAAAAGAGAGGGCCTCACAGCCCTCCAGGGGCCCTCTGACCACATTTTGAAAATCTCTGCTCGGTGCTGGTGTATACAGTAAGTGTTCAGTTAGTGAAACCTATTATTATTATTAGAAAATGTGCCTTCTACAGAGAAGAAATAGAGCTACATGTGACAGAGTAGGAATAATACTGAGTTGAAGGAAAGGCTCTTGGCTATCAGACTATGGGAATATAAGCAAGCCTAGTTAGTTCTCTGGCCCCCCGTTTCCTCCTGTATAAACTGGGTAGATTAGGCTCAGGTGCTGATTTTCCCCCTCAGAGCTGCCTAAGCTGCAGGCCTCAGCCCCACCTCTTCTTCATCCAGGGCAGTCCTGCCAGCGACTGTTTTTCTGCTTAAACTATCTTTGGAGAAAGGTCCCTATGACTAAAAATCACTGAATTCCCTGCACTGGTGCTCTCTGGGTCTCCTCTCCACTCTTTCTGCTCCTATGAGATGTACGTGACAAGTCCTCAGCAGCTCCTGTGTGGGTGAGCTCCTCAGGTGCAGATTCTGGCTCAAGCTGGGGGCTGCCACACAGAACTGAGACCACCTCACGACTGAGCCACGGAGCCCTGCGACGCCAGGCAGAGACAGGTGTGGGCACTTTGACCCTTGACCACATCTCGCCTGAATCAATTTATTACTCATTCTTTACATTTTGCAAAAACAAAAATTAACATGCAACACCCTAGTCTAGGTAAAGCTATTTAGTGTAGCAGGTGTTCTGCCCATAGTGAGCAGAACCCAAAGAGGGACCGAAACCATGACGACTGCCCTTAGACACCTCAACTTACCGAGAACTGAGTCTGGGTGCAGCACCTTGTCTTGAATGGCGATAGGAAACCTTCCACAGTCAATTCCTCTGTGATCTTTTTTCCCTGTTTTTTGCTTCCTAAAAAAGATGCATAGGATTCCATAAACATTTAGCACACTGCTAATAGAGACAGTGAGGGAATTGGTAAAAGTGAAATGTGAAATTTCTTAGGTCAGAGCCAGTCACAATGGAGGATGTATGCCATTCTCGACACAGCCGACCCTCAACCCTCTGCCTGCCTGTTTGAGCGCTTTCCTGATGAGAAGGTGCACCCAGCGCAATCTGGCCTGGTGAGAACATGTACGGGTGTGTATATTAGACACTCAGTCGTATCTGGCTCTTTGCAACCCCATGGACTGTAGCCTGCCAGGCTCCTCTGTTCATGAAATTCTCCAGGCAAGAATCCTGGAGTGGGCAGCCATTCCCTTCTCTAGGGGATCTTCCCGACCCAGGTCGCTCACATTGCAAGTGGATTCTTTACAGCCTGAGCCACCAGGGAAACCCAAGAACATGTACACCAAACATTAAATCTGTTTCGTTTCCTGAGGATAATATCTAGTCATCATATACACATACACAATTAGAAATATGAAATACAGAATTATAAAACCTAGAGTTTTCTTCATATTCATGCTTCAAATTCAGTTCTTATCAGGAGCAGAAGCTATGCTAACTGTTGGTACCAGATCACATGACTTTGTATCCAAAAGTACAAGCTGAGTGATCCAAAAAGTCCTGGATTTTGTTCTGTGCCTCTGGTGACTCAGTGGTAACGAATCCGCCTGAGAATGCAGGAGACTCAGGTTCAATCCCTGGGTCAGGAAGATCCTGTGGAGAAGGAAACGGCAACCCACTCCAGTAATCTTGCCTGGGAAATTCTGTGGATAGAGGAGCCTGGTGGGCTACAGTCCATGGGGTCACATAGAGTTGAACGTGACTTAGTGACTAAATGACAAATATGGGGTTAAAGGCTATGAGACCATTGTTGTTCAGTCACTTGGTTGTGTCCAACTCTTTGTGACCCCAGGGCCTGCAGCATCCCAGCACGCCAGGTTTCCCAGTCTTTCACCATCTCCTGGAGCTTGCTCAAACTCATGTCCATTGAGTCAGTGATGCCATCCAATCATCTCATCCTCTGTCATCCCCTTCTCCTCCTGCCTTCAATCTTTCCCAGCATCAGGGTCTTTTACAATGAGTCAGTTCTTCCTATCAGGTGGCCAAAGTATTGGAGCTTCAGCTTCAGAATCAGTCCTTCCAATGAATATGCAGGATTGATTTCCTTTGGGACTGACTGGTTTGATCTCCTTGAAGTCCAAGGGACTCTCAAGAGTCTTCTCCAACACCACAGCTCAAAAGCATCAATTCTTCGGCATTCAACCTTCTTTATGGTCCAACTCTCACATCCATACATGACTACTGGAAAAACCATAGCTTTGACAAGATGGATCTTTGTTGGCAAAGTAATGTCTCTGCTTTTTTAATATGCAGCCTAGGTTGGTCATAGCTTTTCTTCCAAGGAGCAAGCATCTTTTAATTTCATGGCTGCGGTCACCATCTGCAGTGATTTTGGAGCCCAAGAAAATAAAATCTCTCACTATTTCCATTGTTTCCCCATCTATTTGCCATGAAGTGATGGGACCAGATGCCATGATCTTAGTTTTTTGAATGTTGAGTTTTAAGCCAGCTTTTTCACTCTCCTCTTTCACCTTCATCAAGAGGCTCTTTAGTTCCTCTTCACTTTCTGCCATAAGGGTGCCATAAAGGTGGTGAGGTTATTGATATTTCTCCCTGCAATCTTGATTCCAGCTTGTGCTTCATCCAGCCCGGCATTTCTCATGATGTACTCTGCATAGAATTAAATAAGCAGGGTGACAATATACAGCCTTGACATATTCGTTTCCCAATTTGGAACCAGTCCGTTGTTCCAGGTCCAACAGTTCTAACCATTGCTTCTTGACCTGCATACAGATTTCTCAGGAGGCAGGTAAGGCAGATCTGGTATTTCCATTTCTTTAAGAATTTTCCACAGTTTGTTGTGATCCACACAGTCAAAGGCTTTAGCGTAGTCAGTGAAGCAGATGCTTTTCTGGAATTCTCTTGCTTTTTCTATGATCCAGTCAAAGTTGGCAATTTGATCTCTGATTCCTCTGCCTTTTCTATATTAAACTTGTACTGGAAGTTCTCAATTCACATACTGTTGAAACCTAGCTTGAAGGATTTTGAGCATTACCTTATTAGCATTTGAAATGAGTGCAACTGTGTGGTAGTCTGAACATTCTTTGGCATTGCCTTTCTTTGGGATTGGAATGAAAACTGACCTTTTCCAGTCCTGTGGCCACTGCCGAGTTTTCCAAATTTGCTGGCATATTGAATGCAGCGCTTTAACAGCATCATCTTTTAGGACTTGAAATAGCTCAGCTGGAATTCCATCACCTCCAGTAGCTTTGTTCATAGTGATGCTTTGTTTGTAGAGACCATGTGGGGTTCATTTTAGTGATGCAAGGCCACCAGGGGGCATCAGAAAGATGCCCTATGGTGGTCATACTGGGACACTTCCCCCGAGCCATCTGTAGCTTCAGTCTCCCTCCTTCACAGAAACTCTAACTCTTTGAAAGGGATTTTAGTTGATAAAAATTCTTAAGAAAGTTCTAGCTCAGCCCCTAGGATACTGTAATAAGCCCCTAGGGAACATAGTTCATTCTTAGTGTGGAGGGCACCATGCCCAAGATATCCTGGACATAGCCAGTGAGTCAGGAATGAGACTGATTCCTGGAAATGGGGTTTGAGCCTCAGGCCTTGCTTGCAAATGCAGGCTCATCCAACTGTGCCCGGGGCCTGCAGCCGGTGGACTCCGACCCTGCTTGGAGTCTGTGAGGCTAGGGACTGAGAAGCCAAGCACTTTCCTGCTTCTTGGAAAAACATGCTCTCCTCCTGAGTCACATATTTTCTCACCTTATTTTCTGTCTCCACCCTCCTCCTCTGGGGCATGTGAACATCTGCTCTCCAAAGTGGAAAACTTGGATTGCTCTCAAGTGAGCTCAGTCTAATACACGACTTTCTTTTTCTGCCTCTCTGAAACTTCTTTGTGCACTAAAATCTTCTTGCCAAACAGCTAAGGGAAGCTCTATTTGAGAAGACAGTTTTTCAGCAAGACAAAGTAGCTGACATGTAAATCCAAAATCGCTTAAATCCAAAATTCTGCACCAGACATAAAGAGATAAACATTTTACATGTAGCATAATTGTTATTTATCTGCACATATATAAGTATCCTTCAAACAGTATGTGCACCAGTAGGCTAAATAAAGAATACATCCCATCTGAGAGAACTCGAACCTTCTAAAAGAGTAAAGGGTCTATACAGTCTTCTGTTCAATTAATTCCTCAAGGATGATGTAGTTTACCAAGATTTCAAATGATAAATCATGCCTATCGCCAGCAGTAGATTTACTGTTAGATCTGATTTTACACTTGGTTGTGTTTTCCTTCTAATTTGTTTGTTATAAAAGAGAAAATGTAGTCTGGAACACTGGTCCCTGTATTGGTACTTAAGTGGTTCTGTGAGGTCTAGACTATAAATTTGGTAGAGAAATATCTAGTACTTTGAATGCTTAATCAGAATGTTTTTTAAATGTCAGACTATTTTTTATTATATTTGTTTTTCTTATTGTTGTTTAGTTGCTAAGTCATGTCCGACTCTGTGACCCCACAGACTGTAGTCCACCAGCCTCCTCTATCCATGGGATTTCCCAGGCAAGAATACTGGAGTGGGTTACCACTTACTTCTCCAGGGGATTTTCCCAATCCAGGAATCAAACCTGCATCTCCTGCATTGGCAGATGGATTCTTTACCACTGAGCCACCAGAAAAGCCCTTTAATATAGTTACTAAAACCTAAAAAAAAAAAAAAAAAAACACCTCAAAACCTAGATTTTAATTCAATAAATAAAAATAGTGAGCCTGGGTTGACTGAGAGGGTTGGCATTATTCACGGCCCTTCTATCCCTGAGAGTCAAAGCTGATGGTTTATTAGAGTGACGGTCCACACCAGATGACACATGGCGATTTTTAGGGGGTGGAAACTCAATAGAACCCTGATGACAAGTACCTATTCCCATGCTGGAATGTTTTCTAATGGAAACTGCAGTCTTTCGGACCTTGTCATCTGCCTTTATTAGCATACATTACAGACACATAATTGTGGTGGCTAAACTGCCTCTCCCTCCTTGACTTTCAACCTTTCTAAGGTCAATTAGTCAAGCTTTGGCCTCAGTCCACCGCACCTTGGGAGCTTGGAGGAGGCACGTCTGGCTGATTGATCGGAGCTTCAAATAAATGATTCTGAATCCACGTGAACTAACAGTTGACCTAAGAGTGTTTCAAACCCATAAAGGGTTTGTCCCTAGGATTTCACATCTACACTTTTTTACCCACTTTACAGCTTGTCACCTCTGGATGATTTCTTGCTGAGGGATGGGGGAGAAGTAAACCCTGAGAGGTGGGATTAGGCTTATTTCTGGTGGGATTGGGGGACAGAGGTGAAACCCAATAGGGAAGATTTTTCACTCATTGTGAGGGGAGAGTAGTGAGGGTGGGAGCTGGTATACAGTTGTGTATAATAATCTCCCAGGTGGGCAAGGTTCAAAGGGAGACTTCAGGCCAAACCACGCTCCAAATACTGTAGTTGTGATTCTTAACCATGGGGCCTATCAGAGTCAGGGGAAATTTAAAAGAAATATTCCCACAAGGGCTCCACCCAGGGAAGGCTAATACAGTAGGTCGGGGGCTGAGGTATGTGCATTATTTTCAAGTCCCCTGGTAAGGTTGAGGGCTTCCCAGGTGATGAAGTGGTAAAGAATCCGCCTGCCAATGCAAGAGATGCAGGTTCGATCCCTGGATCGGGAAGATCCCCTGGAGAAGGAAATGGCTACCCACTCCAGTATTCTCGCCTGGAGAATCCCATGGACAGAGGAGCCTGGCGGGCTACAGCCCACGGGGTCATAAAGAATCAGCCACGACTGATACATCTGAGAGTGCACCGTAAGACTGAAGCTCTCCCCAGTTGAGGGCCACTGCTAAAGGATTTGTCAGTTGAGAGAGAGGGCGGTCTCTGTGTTCAGCCCTGAGGTCTGTGATTCTGTACCTTGGCTGGTGGCTGCTGGTCGTTCCGCGAGTTGATGCCCATCCTCACTGGAGTTATTATCCCAGGACAGGCTCCCACCCACCCTGGGAATTTAGCAGCCGGGAACCCTCACCACTGAAGTAGGCGGAGACAGAAGGCACAGCTTGCACTGGTCGTCTCTGCACGGTCCTGCCTCCCCGAGGCGGTGCTGGGCTCCTCCTGCACCAGAAAACACACACAGATGTGGATACGACCAAGGATTTGACTCACTCCTCGGCTGCCTGGGCAGAGCCCAGCACGCGTGCGGACCCCGCCAGACTCACCATCTCAGGACGCCTCGCCTCTGCTTTCTGGCTTGGGCGGGGGTGGGGTTTCTGTGCTGTAATGGCCCAGGGCTTACAGAAAGGAAGATTCCACCCTGCCTTGACTTCCTTCCTTCTCCAGACATTTAAAAGTCTAGTTTACAAATGACAGAACACTCCCCCCCACCACCACCCCGCCTTTTTCTCTTTCCTTTAGTTTCGAATTACCCCAAGCTCCAATAGAGGATGAAGAGACTGAGGATGGTTTTTAAATCCTTCAATCTAATCACTGTTCAGCAGAGTCTAAAAGCCTTTCCAAAGCACTGTATTCAACTGTGAATTAAAACAAGGTTTAGAGACTGTCTAGAGGCCTAAGTTATTGTTTATATGTCCCAGTTTAACACACCCAAAAATCACCCTATGGAACTGAAAGGGCTGACACCACCCTTGCTTTGGTTTTACCCTTTGTGTAAACAAAAAAATAAACACTTTTCTCACCATTATAAACAATGGTGAGAAAGAAGCATCATTGTACAGATAGCTTTTTCCATATTTTGGATTACTTCCTTAGGAAGTGTCTGGGTCAAAGGTTGCGAACGTGTTTGTGTGATGATACATGTGGCCTGATTGCTTTCCACCAAAGCTGCAGGAACTGCATGCTGCCAACAGCATGCACAGCTTGCTTGGCCACACCTTCCTCTGCATCAGGAATTATCTCTTGAAAATGTTCTTGTTAATTTAAAAAGTAGGGGTGGCTCCTTGTGTTATTAACATTTTGTCTGTTGTTAAAGGAGATAAATGTTTCCCCATATGTTTATTTATTGGTCGTATTCCCTACTTGTGACTTTTAGTTATTTTTTTATCCATCAGTTTTTTGGAGGGTTTCAGTGTTTTCTTATTAGTAAAAATATGTGTTGATCGTTCCGTGTGCCAGGTGCCTCTCATATCGTCTCCTTTATCCCTTCCCACCATCCTGGCAGGTTGTCCCCATTTTAGTGGTGAATAATCTGAGACTCAGAGAGTTTAAGCTTCTTGTCAGGGTCACACAGAGTGAGTGACCTAGCTGGCATCTGAGCCCTTCCCATATACTTGCGTCATTAACCACACATCCATGGCTCTTTTGTACCTGTGTCAGAGCAACTTTGTATGATAAAGATCTCAGTAGTGAGCACTGTTTGCTCTGAGTGTCTTCTAGGTTGTCCACCTTAAAAACATTGACTGTGGTTTTGCAAACATTAGTTGAAATGTTGATACTGTCAAAGAGGTGGTAGAAATGGCCAAGAAACATAAAAATGGGTAAATTTTACAAACAGTCAAAGAAATACAGATTAGCACAATATCAGTTTTCACTTAGCACTTTAGCGAAGGTTGGAAAGAAAAAACAGATGTCCTGGTTTGGCTCAGGCTGAAGGCACCTTCATTCCCAAGCACTGCCGTGGCCACCACCTTGCTAAAGGCCAGTTTATCAAATTTCACTGTGTACCCTTTGAATCATCATCTGCAATCCTCGATTTTGATCCAAAGGAACTAGTCAACTCGGGCCAAATGTTTCCATGTTAAATGATTTTACTGAAGCAGTGTTTATCCTATCAAAGAGCCGGAAACAACTGAATGTCCATCAATAAGAGATTGGTTTAATAAGTATGGGTCTACCCATACAATGAAATACAATGCAGTGCTTAAAAATGCAGCTGTAGGTTTATTCAATAGCAGTTGAGAGGCCTCCAATATAATGTTAAATGAAAAAAAGTGTATTCTAAAACAATACATATATGACCCCACTTTTGCAAAAAGCATGTGTATCAGAGAAAAAAGACCAGACAGATATATGCTAAAACATTGGCAATAGTTTTTCTCCCAGTGAAATGTTCCTTTTTATACTTTTCTCTGTTTTCTGATTTTTTTTTTTTTACTATAAACACATATAGTTATAATTTTAAAAATAATGAGTTTTTTTTTTTTTTAACTTCACTTTCCCTCTGTGTTTTCTTTTATCACTCTTGGGCCTACAGGGGGTACCCCTGCACTTCACATTTCCCTGGTAACTCAGACAGTAAAGAGTCTGTCTGCAATGCAGGAGACCTGGATTCGATACTGGGTTGGCAAGATCTCCTGGAGGAGAGCATGGCAACCCACTCCAATATTCTTGCCTGGAGAATCCCGTGGACAGAGGAGCCTGGTGGGCTACAGTCCATGGAGTCTCAAAGAGTCAGACACAGCTGAGCGACTAACACTTTCACTTTCACTATATTAGAAGAATGTAGAGGGGTGCCCTCTACCTGAGTTGGGACACCTGGGATCCAGTGTCCCCCGTCATTTGTGCTGGACAGGTCTCTTCACCTTTGTAAGCTCTCAACTTTTTTCTCCAAGAAGTCTTTGCAAACAGCAAAGCTCTGAACCAGCAGCATTATTATTGCCTACAGCTTATTATAACTTTGTCATTATTATTTTAGGACCAGGGGTTTTTAATCCCAGTATTTCCAATTCCTTTATAATGGAATTATCTCAAAGTGTGTTCCCCAAACCAACAGCATTGGCATCAGCTGGGAGCTTGTTAGAAATGCAGAATTGCAGGCTCACCCCAGACCTACTGAATCAAAGCCAGCGTTGCAGTAAAACCCACAGGTGAATCCTCGCCACACTGCAGTTGGAGACAACCTCTGATCTAGAACAGGTGCCTCAGGAAGGTTTCTCCGGCATGCTCAGAGTGTTAGCCATGTAGGCAGCTCTCACCAGCACTGACATCCGGGGCACCCATTAGAACGAGAGCTAAGTGATCTTAATTATGCTCATTTCAGAGTCACAGGCAGCCATACTGGGTGGGTAAAAATGCCAAGGCAATGAGCTGAACGGAGTCAGGACGGCAGAAGACAATCTCATGGCCATTTGCTCTGGTTAGTATGGTTTTTTTGTTTTTTGAAAAAGCAGTTTGAATTGTAGAGTCAGTTCTTGAGCTCCACTTTGGGGGATTATTCGGCTTTTGTTTAGTCTGGTGAAGTCATTGAGAGTTTAATTTCAGTACTCTGGGAATGGTGGGAAGGAGTAGTCTGAGGTAAAGTGTGGTGGGGACGTCACGTGACCACTCGCCTTTTTCTCACCCTCCCTCCCCCAAATGCCTTTGTGCAAAGGGTTTCCCGCCAACCTGGGCAGCCAGGCTCCCATGGAACCCACCGTCCACTTCTCCCTCTTGAACCCTCAGGAGGAGCCCGTCGCTGCACTCTTTGCTAGGGCTGTGGGGCCAGCTCCTCAGAAGATGGGGCCTCCTGTGGCCATGTGGGGGCGCATCCTGTCCCCTCTCACGCACACGGGCCTGAGAGCCCTACAGAACGGCTGGAGTGTCCCTTGAGTAACTGGGGAGCTGCAAGAGGCCTTGCCCTTAGGGCTGCAGTCCCACAGGAACGGACTCAAATCAGTTCTGTGTCCTCAAGACATTGTCACCTCCTGCCTGGAGTCCCTGTCCTCAGACTCCTCACATAGCTGCCTCCTTCTCACCCCCCAGTACTCAATTCCCATCTCACCTCTGACCTGAACCTCCCCCAGTGAGTTACTTTTGGTCATATCCCATCATGACCAAGGTAGCTACACGCAGGTAATGCAGTTACTATGAGCCAGGTCCTGTTTTAAGTACGTATATTAACTCACTTAAATATCCTCATTATATCATTAAAATTTCTAAGAAGCTGCCAGGTGAAACCAATGCTGCTAGTCTTGGGACCAACCTTGAGATATTTCATTATAAATGCACTAGAAATACGGAGATTAAAAACCCCTGGATCTAAAATGATAATAAAAAAATTATAACAAACATAATAGTTCTTATGGTTTATACCTTTATAGTTTGCAAAGTCTTTTTGCTGAAAAGGAGTTGGAAGCTTAGGCAGGTATTATTAGCCTCACTTTACACAGGAGGAAACAGACTCAGAGAGGTTACATAAGTTTCTTAAGGTCACAAAGCTGATCAGTGACAGAGTCTGGATTTGAACCCAGACAGTCTGACTTCAGAGTCATAAAAATGCATTATTACTGGCACCTGCATAACACTTTTAACATTCTGTAGTTCCACGTTAATTTTATCTGTTCATTGTATGTGTCCCTCACAGAAATGTAACCATCTTGACAATAGGTGATTTGTCTGTATTATTTATATTGTATCCCCAATACTTAGAAAAGTGCCTAACATTTAGCAATAAATATTTGCTGAATGAATGGGTAATACTAGCAGTAGACTCTCTCTTCAGGACTATTTATCCCAAAGTTATAGAGTCCTCATCATCTTGCAACAGTTGCTGTAAACTTGGGACCAGTTAATAGCAAACCCAGACCTCATGGAGTGCTGACCAGGAGGCTGGGCTGCCTCACTAGGATCATTGACACCACACTGAAGCTAACTTTGGCTCAGAAAAAGAGAGAGAAGCAGCTGTGAACCTTTGAGATCATTTGTTAAATCCACCCTGGCTCAGAGTTTATTATACTGAGTATTCAATCCATATTGGGCATTCAGTTGGATGTTTGGGCTGCAAAGATGGGTACAAAGGTGGAAGACAACTGAGACACAGTTGTATGGGGACACAGAGGCTGGGGCAAAGAATTCTGCCTTGGGGCAGGTGGCTGTGCATCAGGGTCGGGTCATATAAATGGCCTAACTCTGAAGAAGCTTGAATGAATGGATTTTGCCAGGTGGGTAAGTGTTCTGAGGAGGCAAAACCTAACTTGTTTGGAAGGGCTAACATTTGTATAATCTTCAACATCCTGTCTGGAATGCAAAAGTAGGAAGTCAAGAGATACCTGGAGTAACAGGCAAATTTGGCCTTGGAGTACAAAATGAAGCAGGGCAAAGGCTAACAAGTTTTGCTAAGAGAACGCACTGGCCAGAGCAAACACCCTCTTCCAACAACACAAGAGAAGACTCTACACATGGACATCACCAGATGGTCAATACCGAAATCAGATTGATTATATTCTTTGCAGCCAAAGATGGAGAAGCTCTATACAGTCAGCAAAAACAAGACCAGGAGCTGACTATGGCTCAGGTCATGAACTCTGTATTGCAAAATTCAGACTTAAATTGAAGAAAGTAGGGAAAAACCACTAGACCATTCAGGTATGACCTAAATCAAATCCCTCATGATTATTTGTAAGGGATTTGACAAACAGATTCAAGGTGGAAGTGACAAACAGATTCAAGGGATTAGATCTGATAGACAGAGTGCCTGAAGAACTATGGATGGAGGTTTGTGACACTGTACAGGAGGAAATGATCAAGACCATCCCCAAGAAAAAGAAATGCAAAAAGGCAAAATGGTTGTCTGAGGAGGCCTTACATATAGCTGTGAAAAGAAAAGAAGCTAAAGACAAAGGAGAAAAGGAAAGATATACCCATTTGAATGCAGAGTTCCAAAGAATAGCAAGGAGAGATAAGAAAAGACTTTCTAAGTGATCAGTGCAAATAAACAGAGGAAAACAATAGAATAGGAAACACTAGAGATCTATTCAAGGAAATTAGAACTACCAAGGGAACATTTCATGCAAAGATGGGCACAATAAAGGACAGAAATGGTATGGGCCTAACAGAAGCAGAAGATATTAAGAAGAGGTGGCAAGAATATACAGAAGAACTATACAAAAGAGATCTTAATGGCCCAGATAACGACAATGGGGTGATCACTCACCTAGAACCAGTCATCCTGGAGTGTGAAGTCAAGTGGACCTTAGGAAGCATCTCTATGAACAAAGCTACTGGAGATGATGGAATTCCAAATGCTGATGATGATGCTGTGAAAGTGTTGCACTCAATATGCCAGCAAATTTGGAAAACTTGGCAGTGACCACAGGACTGGAAAAGGTCAGTTTTCATTCCAATCCCAAAGAAAGGCAATGCCAAAGAATGTTCAAACTACTGCAAAATTGTGCTTGTTTCACATGCTAGCAAATTAATGCTCAAAATTCTCCAAGCCAGGCTGCAACAGTATGTGAACCATGAACTTCCAGATGCTCAAGCTGGATTCAGAAAAGGCAGAGGAACCAGAGATCAAACTGCCAACATCCGATGGATCATCGAAAAAGCAAGAGAGTTCCAGAAAAACATCTACTTCTGCTTTATTGACTATACCAAAGCCTTTGACTTTTGTTGTGAATCACAAAAAACTGTGGAAAATTCTGAAAAAGATGAGAATACCAGACCACCTGACCTCCCTCCTGAGAATTCTGTATGCAGGCCAAGAAGCAACAGTTAGAACTGGACATGGAACAACAGACTGGTTCCAAATCAGGAAAGGAGGACGTCAAGACTGTATATTGTCACTGTGCTTATTTAACTTCTATGCAGAATACATCATGTGAAATGCCAGGCTGGATGAAACACAAGCTGGAATCGAGATTGCAGGGAGAAATATCAATAACCTCAAATATGCAGATGACATCACCCTTATGGCAGAAAGCGAAGAAGAACTAAAGAGCCTCTTGATGAAGATGAAAGAGGAGAGTGAAAAAGTTGGCTTAAGCTCAACATTTAGAAAACTAAGATCATGGCATCTGGTCCCATCACTTCATGGGAAATAGATGGGGAAACATTGTAGGGAGAGACTTTACTTTTGGGGGCTCCAAAATCATTGCAGATGGTGACTGCAGCCATGAAATTAAAAGACGCTTGCTCCTTGGAAGAAAGGCCATGGCCAACCTAGACTGCATATTAAAAAGCAGAGACATTACTTTGCCAACAAAGGTCTGTCTAGTCAAAGCTATGGTTTTCCCAGTAGTCATGTGTGGATGTGAGTTGGACTATAAAGAAAGCTGAGCATAGAAGAATTGATGCTTTTGAACTGTGGTGTGGGAGAAGACTCATGAGAGTCCCTTGGACTGCAAGGAGATCCAACCAGTCCATCCTAAATGAAATCAGTCCTGAATATTCATTGGAAGGACTGATGTTGAAGCTGAAACTCCAGTACTTCGGCCACCTGTTGCAAAGAACTGACTCATTTGAAAAAATGTTGATTCTGGGGAAGATTGAGGGCAGGAGGAGAAGGGGATGACAGAGGATGAGATGGTTGGATGGCATCACCGACTTGATGGACATGAGTTTGAGCAAGCTCCGGGGGTTGGTGATGGACAGGGAAGCCTGGTATGCTACAATCCATAGGGTCGCAGAGTTAGACATGACTGAGTAACTGAACTGAACTGAACTGTACAACATCCTGTCCTTAACTGACTAAAATCTATCCAAGTTTGAATAACATCCAGAATCATTCAGATGGTTCCATTTATTGGAATTTTAATTTAGTCTGAAAGTGTCTGATAGTTGAGGTTACAAAAAGAATGGAGAGACAGTGGTGGTCAATTTGAATTCGTGATCTTGCATACATAGACAATCCAAAATAATTTAACTTGAGTGAAAGAAAATGTAGAAGTGGACTCATGGGAAATAGTTCTTTCAGTGAGTGTGCTATTATGTAACAGGGAGAGTACAGAACTATTGAGAAGAAAAATGATTTCTTCCAGGCACACACGATCTACAAAAATGTTGTTATTCATCCAGAAGAAGAAGTTCTTCAGCAGTTCATTTGTTTAAGCTGCATTGTTACATCCTAAACCAATTAGAAATTTCAAAAACCAACACTTGAAATAGCTTCTAATTTTTAAAATCTGGTTCTACTTTAAATAATGATTCATAGGCCTTTGGAAAGTTAAATTTTCATGAAATGTTAAGATAGAATTCAGTGATTCCATGAATTAGGATCCTATAAATACATAAAGACCATTTTTCCTGGCATGAAATTAAGCTGTAGGTTGCTGTATTACCTCATTTGAGGGTGGAGAGGATGTGAATGACAAGTCATCCAGGTTGCTTCGAGAATTCACGAGAAGAGAGACAGCTGAAGTACATCTGCTTTTATGAATTTTCTCTTTAAAATCTTTAAGTAGCATCTCCAACTTGAAGATTTCACCTTCTACTTTTCTAGGTAAATATAAACAAACAGGCATCTTATTGGGTATGCAGTCCATATTTTACTAGTAACAACAGTTCTTGAATATAGCATTGATTTACATTTTTAACGTGGTCTGTCTTCAGATAGGAAGGATGATGAACACGCGCCCTGCCAGACATCCTGTTTATAGCTTCACTTCAAAGTGAAACTTTATTTTATTTATTTTCTCTTTATTTTCTTTATCTTCTTCTCTTTATTTTCTTCTAGTTTTATTGAGATATAATTGACATACAGGACTGGATAAATTTAAGGTGTACAGCATAAAGATTTGACTTTCATCATGAAATAATTACCATGAGTTTAGTGAACATCCATTATCTCATATAGACATAATATTAAAGAAATAAGAAAAAATATTTTGTGTGTGTGATGAGAACTCTTAGGACTTACTCTCGACTTTCATATATAACATACGGAAGTGTGAGTTATATTATGTTGTGTATTTCTAATTCTTATTTTGTTGTTCATTAGCTGTGTATCCTTGGGCAAATTATTTAATCTTTCTGTGTCTCAACTATGAGATAATACCCTACTTATGTGGATCTGACAGAATGTGGTCCACTGGAGAGGGGAATGGCAAACCACTTCAGTATTCTTGCCTTGAGAACCCCATGAACAGTATGAAAAGGCAAAATGATAGGATACTGAAAGAGGAACTCTCCAGGTTGGTAGATGCCCAATATGCTACTGGAGATCAGCGGAGAAATAACTCCAGAAAGAATGATGAGATGGCTGGACGTCATCACCGACTCGATTGACATGAGTTTGAGTGAACTCTGGCAGTTGGTGATGGACAGGGAGGCCTGGCGTGCTGTGATTCATGGGGTCACAAAGAGTCGGACAGGACTGAGCTACTGAACTGAACTGATGTGGATCTGATTATTTTGAGGTCCTTTACAGTTAGTTCTAGGAGCTATAATTCTAGGAAAATAATGATTTATATCATTTGAAAAAGATAACTTGAATAATCTGAATAATTTAATAAGTTCGATCCATAGGTATATGTACATACAGGTATATGTGTGTAAATGTATAGTTTAGGGCTTTCCTGACGGCTCAGATGGTAAAGAATGCTTCCAAGGCAGGAGACTCCATATGTACATACATATATAAGTATATATATTTTGCCCCCAAAGAATTAATTTTCCCCAAATTCATTAGAATAATCAAATTTTATCTACTACCCCCCAAAAAAGTATCAATAAATTCCAAAACTTTAAAAGTTATATCACAGCTGTCTCACTCAGTATGATCAAAAACAATGCAAAGGTGTTCCTTCTCACCACTCCTATTCAACACTGTACTAGAAGTCCTACCTAACGCATTAAGACAAGGAAAGGAAATAAAGAGTATACACATTGGAAAGGAAGAAATAAAATTGTCCACAGATGACATGATTGGGTAGAAAATTGAAGAGAATCAACCTAAAAACTTTGAAACTAGTAAGCAAGTATAACAAAGTGCAGGGTGCAAGGTTAATATACGAAAGTCAATCACTTTCCTAAATATCTGTGATGAACAAGTGGAATTAGAAATTAAAAACATAGCATCATTTGCATTAAGATCCAAAAAATTAAATGTGCATTGGCCAGAAAGTTCATTTGGGTTTTTCATATTATTTTACAGAAAAACCTGAAGGACCTTTTTGTCCAACTCAAAACTTAGGTATAAATCTAACAAAATGTGCACAAGATCATTATGGAGAAAACTACAATACTCTGGATGAAATCACAAAAGCAAATAAATGGAGAGATGTTACACATTCATGGATTGAAAGACTTGATAGTATCAGGATGTCTCTTCTTCCCAACTTGATCTTACCAATCCTAGTAAAAAAATTTCTGGCAACTTCTTTTGTGGCTATTGACAAACTTACTCTAAAGTTTATATGTAGAGACAAAAGACATGAAATAGTCAACACAATACTGAAACATAAGAACAAAGTTGGAGGACTGACAGGACTCAACCACAAGACTTACCTTAAAGCTATAGAAATAGGCAGTGTAGTATTGATGAAGCACAAGACAAATCAATGGAACAGAAAGCCCATAAATAGACCCACAGATAATTAGTCAACTGATATTTGGCAAAGGAGTAAAGTCAATAGAATTGAGCAAAGATAATCTTTTCAACAAATGGTGCTGGAACAATTGGGCATTCATTACAAAACAATCAATCTTGATACAGACGTTATACTCTTCACAAAAATCAACTCAGAACAGATCATAGGAATAGATAGGATCATGTTTAGGTATAGAATGAATTAGGAAATTTTATTTTATTTTTTAATGTTCCAGGAGAGTTACCTAAAGTCTTTGTTGAACTCACCCATAATCCCACTTGGATTAGGTGTCTTTGGGAGATTTTTTGTTTCTAGAAACAAACTATATCTTTTCTGGTTTCCTCTTGCTTTTAGTCTTTTTGGATTTCCTACCTCTTTTTGACTAGATTTTAACAATTTATATTTTCAAAGAGACTTGTCTATTTCATCCAGATTTTAAAATGTGTTGAGAGGAAACTGTTCAATCCCAGTCAATCTAAAATTTTTCTTCTGGTATTTTTCCTTTCTCATTCTTAATGTTATTTATGCTTTCCCCTCAAACTTTCTACTGGCTATTTTATAGATATTTTCAAAGGCACTATTTTATTTTATTGATCAAATTATTTTAAATTGTATTTATTGCTTCTTTTTATGAATCTCTTCCTTTTGGAAGTTTATTTTATTGTTCTTTTTCTGCTTTCCTGGTTTAAGTACTTAGTTTATTGATTTTGAACTTCACCCCCCCCATATTAAATACATTTTAAAACTGTTTTCTTCAAAGTATTGTTGTTTTTTTTAGCTACAATGCGTTGGTTTTCATATGTGCTTTTCTCATTTATTATTGACTTATAGATTAGTCCTAATATCAATTTTTATTTAATGTAATAATTATTTAGATGTGTTAATATTTTCCCATTTAATACTTTTTTTAGAGCAGTTTTGGCTTCTCAACAAAATTGAGAGGAAGATACAGAGATTTCCCATATATTCTCTGCCTCTACACATGCATAGCCTTCACCATTATTGACATCCTCTCAAGTGGGTACATGTGCTATAACTGATGAACCTACATTGACACATCATAATCACCCAAAGTCTATAGTTTTACGGGATTCACTCTTGGTGTTGTATATTCTATATGTTTGAACAAATGTTCACTACCCTGAAAATCCTTTGTACTCCACTTATTCAAACTTCCACCTATCCCAACTGCCAGCAACCACTGATATTTTTATTGTTGCCATAGTCTTGCCTTTTCCAGAATTTCACATAATTGGAATCATGCAATATATAGACTTTTCAGATCAGCTTTTTTCCCAGTATTAAGCATTTAGGTTTTCTCCATGTCTTTGCCAACTTGATAGCTCATTTCCTTTTAGCACAAATGATGTCCCATTATCAGAATATACCATAGTTATTAGTATAGTCCATCTGTTGAAGGACATCTTGGTTGCTTCCAATTCTGAATACAGCTGCTTGAAACATTTGTGTGCATGTTTTTGGACATAAGTTTTTATCTCCTTTGTGTAAGTACCAAGGAGTGTGATTGCTAGATCATATGGTAAGAGTATGTTTAGTTTTGAAAGAAACCACCAAATTGTCTTCCAAAGTGGCTACAGCATTTTGCATCCCCACCAGCAATAAAGGAGAGTTCCTATTGCACCACACGCTCACCAACATTTGGTGTTTTTAGCATTCCAGATTCGGGGCACTGTAATAGTGTGTGTAGTTGTAACTCATTGTTTTGATTTGCATTTCCCTGATGATATACAATATGGAACATCTTTTCATATGTGTTTTTGCATCTTTTACGTATGCTTATTTCCCTTTCTCGTATTTTCTTCAGTGCTTTTTTTTGGGTTGTTTGCTTTCTTATTGTTGTAAGAGTTTTTTGTGTGTTTTGGATGACTATCTTTTATCAGAAGTGGCTTTTGCCAATATTTTCTCCCAGTCACTGTCTTGTCTTCTCATTCCGTTTACATAGTCTTTCACAGAGCACACCTTTTAAATTTTAATGAAGTCTAGCTTATCAATTATTTATTTTATAGGTGGTGCCTTTGGTGTTGTATCTCAAAAATAATCACCATAACAAAGGTCATCCATGTATTCACCTGTGTTATCTTTTAGGGGTTTTACGGTTTTGCCTCCCAAAAGGCCCCAAATCCAAGTGGGATTATATGAGAGTTCAACAAAGATGTTAAGTAATACTTCTGGAACACAAAAAGAAAAGGGAAAAAATCCCAGCTCACTCTATAGATAAACATTAGAATATTTATTAATTATTTCATTATATGAATAGATTAAAGGAGATTAAATAGATTTCTAAACCCCAAGGATTAAACTTTTTCCTAAATTAAAAAAAAAATCTCATTTTAGTAATCCAGGACTAGAAGGAAACTTTCTTGATAAAGCTTGTCTCCTTGAACCTACAGCAATCCTCATACCCAGCACCCTTTGGAAGAATGCCCAATACCACTAGGAATATGAGAAGAATGATTGCTTTCACTAGTATTGTGATTATTCAGTACTGTTTGGAAAAAATAGCAAACAAAATAAAGAAATGTGATATAGAAAAGTTGGAGAGAAGGAAAGATATATAAATATTTAAAGAGAAAAGGGAAGATGAGGGGATGCTATGCAGATGCTATGATTGTCATACCTAAAAATTAAGACAATCAGCTGAAAATCAGTGAAATACTAAGAGCAGAATTGCATCAGGTAGCACATAAGTTAAATTTATAATTTTCTTTATTTCCTGTATATGAATTATGGAAAACATCTATTAACAACATAGAGAAAAGTCTAAAGTAGCTAAGAACGAATTTAACAAAACATGTATAAAATCTACATGAAAAAAACTTGCTGGAGATGTTTTCATGGGACTAGGATGAGAATACTCATTGCAAAGATTTTAACTTTTCCTGAACTAATCTATAAATTCAGTGAAATCCTAAACAAAATTCAAATGGAATTTTATTAAAGAAAATTGGTTCCTAAAACTGTATTTCTCAATAAAAGTGACTATCAATGAAAAAATAAATTTGAGCTGATTATGAAGTTAATTAGTAAGAAGAATGAATAAGAATAGCTAAAGAAAGTTTAAAAAAGGAGAAACACTAAAAAATATACTTAACCTATAGTAATTTACAACTATGTGGTTATCGCAGAAATAGAAACATAGATCAGTGGGGAAAATAAAACCAATCCCAAAATTGGGCTTCCCAGGTGGCGCTAGTGGTAAAGAAAAAACCCACCTGCTAATGCAGGAGACCTAAGAGAAGAGGAATCGACCCCTGGATTGAGAAGAGGAATCGACCCCTGGATTGGGAAGATCCCCTGAAGGAGGGCAAGCCAACCCACTCCACTATTCTTGCCTGGAGAATCCCGTGGACAGAGGGGCTTGGCAGGCCCCTCTTGTCCACAGAGTCACAAAGAGTCAGACAATCCTGAAATGACTGAGCACACTGCATACGTATGTGTATTAACACACAGTGGGGTTTTGTATATGATTAAAGTGGCTTTTCACTAGTTAGGAAAGGCTGCCCTGTTCAGTGAGTACTGGTACAAAGATCTAAGCGTGGAAAGCCAGACTGATAAACAAAATATAGGAAAATATGCTCTAGTCTGGCAGGAAGAAGAAAATTCAGCAAGCGGCAAGGGACGCTAAAGGTTTAAAGGAAGTGAAATGGCTCTTTCCTCTGCTGCCGCTAAGGTGCTCGGTTCTTCCGAGGAAGCTAAGGCCGTTTTGGGGTGAGGCCCTCACTTCATCCGGCGACTAGCACCGCGCCCGGCAGCCCCACCTAGCACTTGCCCGCACCATGGCCTCCGTCTCGGAGCTCGCTTGCATCTACTCTGCCCTCATTCTGCACGACGGTGAGGTGACGGTCACGGAGGATAAGATCAATGCCCTCATTAAAGCAGCCGGTGTAAATGTTGAGCCTTTCTGGCCAGGTTTGTTTGCAAAGGCTTTGGCCAATGTCAACATCGGGAGCCTCATCTGCAATGTGGGGGCTGGTGGACCTGCCCCAGCAGCTGGTGCTGCACCAGCAGGAGGTCCTGCCCCAGCCACCACTGCTGTCCCAGCTGAGGAGAAGAAAGTAGAAGCAAAGAAAGAAGAATCTGAAGAGTCTGATGATGACATGGGCTTTGGTCTTTTTGACTAAACCTCTTTAGTAACACATTCAATAAAAAGCTGAGCTGTTACAACAAAGGAAACTATAAGCAAGGTGAAAAGACAGCCCTCAGATTGGGAGAAAATAATAGCAAACGAAGCAACAGACAAAGGATTAATCTCAAAAATATACAAGCAACTCCTCCAGCTCAACTCCAGAAAAATAAATGACCCAATCAAAAAATGGGCCAAAGAACTAAACAGACATTTCTCCAAGGAAGACATACAGATGGCAAAAAAACACATGAAAAGATGCTCAACATCACTCATTATCAGAGAAACGCAAATCAAAACCACAATGAGGTACCATTACACACCAGTCAGGATGGCTGCTATCCAAAAGTCTACAAGCAATAAATGCTGGAGAGGGTGTGGAGCAAAGGGAACCCTCTTACACTGTTGGTGGGAATGCAAATTAGTACAGCCACTATGGAAAACAGTGTGGAGATTTCTTAAAAAGCTGGAAATAGAACTGCCATATGACCCAGCAATCCCACTTCTGGGCATACACACCGAGGAAACCAGATCTGAAAGAGACATGTGCACCCCAATGTTCATCGCAGCACTGTTTATAATAGCCAGGACATGGAAGCAACCTAGATCCCCATCAGCAGACAAATGGATGAGGAAGCTGTGGTACATATACACTGTGGAATATTACTCAGCCATTAAAAAGAATTCATTTGAATCAGTTCTAATGAGATGGATGAAACTGGAGCCCATTATACAGAGCGAAGTAAGCCAGAAAGATAAAGACCATTACAGTATACTAACACATATATGGAATTTAGAAAGATGGTAACGATAACCCTATATGCAAAACAGAAAAAGAGACTCAGATGTATAGAACAGACTTATGGACTCTGGGAGAAGGCGAGGATGGGAATGTTTCAAGAGAACAGCATCGAAACATGTATATTATCTAGGGTGAAACAGATCACCAGCCCAGGTTGGGTGCATGAGACAAGTGCTCAGGCCTGGTGCACTGGGAAGACCCAGAGGGATCGGGTGGAGAGGGAGGTGGGAGGGGGGGGACCGGGATGGGGAATGCATGTAAATCCATGGCTGATTCATTTCAATGTATGACAAAAACCACTGCAATGATGTAAAGTAATTAGCCTCCAACTAATAAAAATAAATGGGGGGGAAAAAAAGCTGAGCTGTTAAAAAAATAAATAAATAAATAAAGGAAGTGAAATGATGGAACAAACTCTCAAGGTAGCAGGAAGAGATGGGCTCAAGGACCAAGACTGTAGAGGTTGGAAGGTGAGTGAAGAAAGAGGAGGTGACAACATGCAGATCCAGAGGTAGAGAAAAGACATTTTTTTAAGGACTTTGTGATCTTTTCTGTAAAATAGAAGACAAGAGTATACGCAGATAGTATGAGAGAGAAAGAACTGGTGGAGATAGTACTCCATTTCTTGACTCCTTGGTTTCTGGTGATAGTGTGTGAAAGAATCAAATAACTATCAGATTACATTCTGACAAACAAGATGGATGAAATCCAAGTATTTTTGAATGTTACCTTTCAAAGGCAACAGTAAGAAAGAAGGTGCCAACTTGGCTTAAAGCTCAACATTCAGAAAACTAAGATCATGGCATCCGGTCCCATCACTTCATGGCAAATAGGTGGGGAAACAGTGGAAATAGTGGCTGACTTTATTTTTGGGGCTCCAAAATCACTGCAGATGGTGACTGCAGCCACAAAGTTAAAAGAGGCTTACTCCTTCGAAGGAAAGTTATGACCAACCTAGACAGCATATTAAAAAGCAGAGACATTACTTTGCCAACAAAGATCTGTCTAGTCAAGGCTATGGTTTTTCCAGTAGTCATGTATAGATGTGAGCTGGACCATAAAGAAAGCTGAGCATAGAAGAATTGATGCTTTTGAACTGTGGTGTTGGAGAAGACTCTTGAGAGTTCCTTGGACTGCAAAGAGATCCAACCAATCCATCCTAAAGGAGATCAGTCCTGGGTGTTCATTGGAAGGACTGATGCTGAAGCTGACACTCCAATACTTTGGCCACCTGATGCTAAGAGCTGACTCATTTGAAAAGACCCTGATCCTGGGAAAGATTGAGGGCAGGAGGAGAAGGGGACAAGGATGAGATGGTTGGATGGCATAACCAACTCAATGGACATGGGTTTGGGTAAACTCTGGGAGTTGGTGATGAACAGGGAGGCCTGGCGTGCTGTGGTTCATGGGGTGGCAAAGAGTCAGACACGACTGAGCGACTGAACTGAACTGAATAAGCACACAATAGCTGACTCAGGCAATTTGTCCATTAATTTGCAGAATTCTTTCGCTTACAGAAAGCCATAGACAATGGCCTTTGTAGCCCTCATGTAGAAGGTTCTCAACATGGCAAGACCTTGAGGGTTGGACTAGGTTCTGCTTTTTGCCCATTTGAGAACAAGAGAAGCTGACCATGCTTGGCTTGCTCTGAGGGGAGTTTTGGGAGAGGCCAAGTCTTTTTCTTGCCTGTGTTGAAAGCTTTTCCTGTATATGGGATATAATTGCAGTTGAAACACTTTTGATTTATACCAGGGCCAGGCACAGTGTGGGTGTAACTAGGATATAAATAAGGTCTTGCATAGTTTTGGTCTTAATGTGCACAGAGGCCTGTCTTTAAAATGACTGCCAAAACAAGTGGGATTTCTTGGAAAATAAATATCCTCACTCTATTAGTTTTTAAACAAATAGTGAAAGCATGTGGAGATCTTTTTTTTCCAAGAGAAAAAAAAGCCTTTGGGGGGAAAAAATCAATATTGAAACCACATCTTTGCTGTCTAATTACTCAGTATTGAAATAACCATTGACAGAGATGTCATTCATTTTGAAGAAGTAAGACTGTACTTTGGGAAAATTACCTCAGGACACTAGTGCCAAAATATAAACCATTAAAATATTTTGGCATCAAGAATGAATTCGTGTTAAAATACTAGGAATAGAAAGAGCTGAATTTACAAATATGAAGCCTACTAAATGGGTTATTTAGATTCACACCAGGAAATTACATGGAAACAACCCTAGCCTTGAGTCCTGGAATATATCTTTAAAATTATTCGAAATGGAGAGAGCAGAGCATGGGGCCATCAAAATGGCCAGCTGGAATCCTTAATATGATTGTGCACTGAAGTTTCTAATGTGAATCAATTTAGGAATCATTTGACTTCAGGTTTTAACATTTTGCCTTTATCAGGATTTGTCGGTCCCTCACTCCAACATTAACCAACCTAACAGTGATTCTTTCCTGCCTGCTATCCCTTGGGTATTGTCTGTGGATAGCGAAAATGAGGGACAGAAAAGAATCAGGCAGGGGAAATAAAGGCAGGAATGAGGTAAAGCAGAGAGCAGGGCAAGGGGGACCTGGGGAGGAGAGGGTCCTCTGGGCTTAGGAAACGAGCATTTCTAGGGTTTTCTTGTGCTCTTCTGAGCCTCAGGACTACATGACATCCAACAGAATGCAAGGCAGTGGCCCAATGTCTGCTCCAGGGGACAACTGTTCATTTGGGACACTCCATCTGGGTCGGTTCCCCCCCACAGGACCATACACAGAGCAGGAATTTCATACTGCTGCTGCATGGGATGACACCAACTCAACGGTGACACTGTTTTTGCTGACCCAAGACCAGTAGCTCTCCAAGCACTAGACCAGCAGCCCCAGCAGAATTCCTCCTAAAGGAGCTCACCTCTGACACTTCCACCTCACAGAGGTGAAGTCTGACCTACCTTTCTGGATCAAAGTCATTGACAGCTCGGGATTCGTGCCTGTGGACTTGTTCCTTCAATGTCAGGTGCTTCTCCTTGTTGGCCAGAAACTCCTGCTCCAGCAGTTCGAGGTGTCCCTGCAATTTCTCCAGGACCTGTAGCAGTGACACGCTGAAATCATTCACATGTAAGTCCATGTGTGTAGTAGTAGTTTTTTCTCCAAAACACAATGAGGGTGTACCCTAGAGGAGTGTTAAAATGAAGCCACCATCCTTCTCCTGGCGATTGTTTTGTTACAGAGTTTCACATCTAAAATACAGACAACCCAAGAGCCATCTTAACATTCACAACGCCCCCACAGCACATAGCTGAGAGTGCCGGTGACTTCTGATTTCTCTCCTAGGACCCACTCAGAGGCCTTTGAATTTTGTTGATGGGATGTTAATAATCCTACATATTTGCAGAATAATTTTTAGCTTATAGGGCACTTTTCCATTCATTATCTTATTTAATCCACTATCAGTGTTCTAAATGTCACAAAGTAGGTTTATTATCCAAGTTTTATAGAGGAGGAAATTGAAGCTCTAGAAAGTATGTCAGAAGCCACATAGAACTTAGAAACCATAAGTGCTTGAGAAGGGTGGAGAAAAGGAAACCCTCTTGGTGGGAATGCAGACTGACACAGCCACTATGGAGAACAGTATGGCAGTTCATTAAAAAACTAAAGCTAGAGCTACCATATGACACAGCAATCCCATTACTGGGCATAAATCCTGAGAAAACCATAATTCAAAAAGACACATGCACTCCAATGTTCACTGCAGCACTGTTTATAGTAGCCAGGACATGGAAGCAACCTAAATGTCCTTCAACCAATGAATAGATAAAGAAGATATGATGCGTATTAACAAGAGAATATTACCCAACCATAAAAAGGAACAAAATTGGGTCATTTGCAGAGATGTGGATGGACCTAGAATCTGTCATACAGAATGAAGTAAGTCAGAAAAACAAATATTGATGCATGTATATGGAATCTAGAAAAACGGTGCAGACGAACCTACTTGCAGGGCAGGAATAGAGACGCAGAGGTAAAGAATGAGGATGTGGATACAGCAGAGAGATGAACTGGGAGACTGGGATTGACAAGTGAACTGCCATGTGTAAAACAGATTGCTCCTGGGAACCTACTGTAAGTCACAGGGAGCTCAGCTCAGTGTTCTGTGATGAGCTAGTTGGATGTGATGTGGCAGGGAAGTGGGAGGAAGGTCAAAGAGGGAGGTTCAGTTCAGTCGCTCAGTCGTGTCCGACTCTGCGACCCCATGGATTGCAGCATGCCAGGCCTCCCTATCCATCGCCAGCTCCTGGGATTTACTCAGACTCATGTCCATTGAGTCGGTGATGCCATCCAACCATCTCATCCTCTGTTGTCCCCTTCTTCTCCTGCCTTCAATCTTTCCCAGCATCAGGGCCTTTTCCAATGAGTCAGCTCTTCGCATGAGGTGGCCAAAGTATTGGAGTTTCAGCTTCAGCATCAGTCCTTCCAATGAACACCCAGGACTGATCTCCTTTAGGCTGGACTGGTAGGATCTCCTTGCAGTCCAAGGGACTCTCCAGAGTCTTCTCCAACACCACAGTTCAAAAGCATCAGTTCTTCTGTGCTCAGCTTTCTTTATAGTCTAACTCTCACATTCATACATGACTACTGGAAAAACCATAGCCTTGACTAGACAGACCTTTGTTGGCAAAGTAATGTCTCTGCTTTTTAATATGCTATCTAGGTTGGTCATAACTTTCCTTCGAAGGAGTAAGCCTCTTTTAACTTTGTGGCTGCAGTCACCATCTGCAGTGATTTTGGAGCCCAAAAAATAAAGTCTGCCACTGTTTTCAGTGCCAAAGTTTCCACTGTTTTCCCATATATTTGCCATGAAATGATGGGACCAGATGCCATGATCTTAGTTTTATGAACGTTGAGCTTTAAGCCAACTTTTTCACTCTCCTCTTTCACTTTTATCAAGAAGCCCTTTAGTTCCTCTTTGCTTTCTGCCATAAGGGAGGTGTCATCTGCATATCTGAGGTTATTGATATTTCTCCTGGCAATCTTGATTCCAGCTTGTGCTTCTTCCAGCCCAGTGTTTCTCATGATGTATTCTGCATAGATGTTAAATAATCAAGGTGACAATATACAGCCTTGACGTACTCCTTTTCCTATTTGGAACCAGTCTGTTGTTCCATGTCCAGTTCTAACTGTTGCTTCCTGACCTGCATACAGGTTTCTCAAGAGGTGGTTCAGGTGATCTGGTATTCCCATCTCTTTCAGAATTTTCCACAGTTTGTTGTGATTCACACAGTCAAAGGCTTTGGCATAGTCAATAAAGCAGAAATAGATATTTTTCTGGAACTCTCTTGCTTTTTTGATGATCCAACAGATGTTGGCAATTTGATCTCTGGTTCCTTTGCCTTTTCTAAAACCAGCTTGAACATCTGGAAGTTCGCAGTTCACGTACTGTTGAAGTCTGGCTTGGAGAATTTTAAACATTACTTTACTAGCGTGTGAGTGAGTGAGTGAAGTCGCTCAGTCCTGTCTGACTCTTTGCAACCCCATGGACTGTAGCCTACCAGGCTCCTCTGACCATGGGATTTTCCAGGCAAGAATACTGGAGTGGGTTGCCACTTCCTTCTCCAGGAGATCTTCCCGACCCAGGGATTGAACCCAGGTCTCCCGCATTGTAGGCAGAAGCTTTACCGTCTGAGCCACCAGGGAAGTTGGTAGTTTGAGCATCTTTGGTATTGCCTATTTTGGGATTGGAATGAAAACTGACCTTTTCCAGTCCTGTGGCCACTGTTGAGTTTTCCAAATTTGCTGGCATATTGAGTGCAGCACTTTCCCAGCATCATTTTTTAGGATTTGGAATAGCCCAAGTAGAATTCCATCACCTCCACTAGCTTTGTTTGTAGTGATGCTTCCTAAGGCCCATTTGACTTCACATTCCAGATGTCTGGCTCTAAGTGAGTGATCATACCACTGTGATTATCTGGGTCATGAAGATGTTTTTTTGTACAGTTCTGTGTATTCTTGCCACCTCTTCTTAGTATCTTCTGTTTCTGCTAGGTCCATACCATTTGTCCTTTATTGAGCCCATTTTTGCGTGAAACGTTCCCTCCAATTTTCTTGAAGAGATCCCTAGTCTTTCCCATTCTATTGTCTTCCTCTGTTTCTTTGCACTGATCGCTGAGCAAGGCTTTCTTATCTCTCCTTGCTATTCTTTGGAACTCTGCATTCAAATGGGTATATCTTTCCTTTTCTCCTTTGCTTTTTGCTTCTCTTCTTTTCACAGCCATTTGTAAAGCCTCCTCAGACAGCCAGTTTGCTTTTTGCATTTCTTTTTCTTGGGGATGGTCTTGATCCCTGTCTCCTGTACAATGTCACAAACCTACATCTATAGTTCATCAGGCACTCTGTCTATCAGATCTAGTCCCTTAAATCTATTTCTCACTTCCACTGTATAATCATAAGGGATTTGATTTAGGTCATACCTGAAAGGTCTAGTGGTTTCCCCTACTTTCTTCAATTTAAGTCTGAATTTGGCAATAAGGAGTTCATGATCTAAGCCACAGTCAGCTCCCAGTCTTGTTTTTGCTGACTGTAGAGGTTCTCCATCTTTGGCTGCAAAGAATATAATCAATCTGATTTCGTTGTTGACCATCTGGTCATGTCCATGTGTAGAGTCTTCTCTTGAGTTGTTGGAAGAGGGTGTTTGCTATGACCATGTGTTCTCTTGGCAAAACTCTATTAGCCTTTGCCCTGCTTCATGCTGTACTCTAAGGCCAAATTTGCCTGTTACTCCAGGTGTTTGACTTCCTACTTTTGCATTCCAGTCCCCTATCATGAAAATGACATCTTTTTTGAGTGTTAGTTCTAGAAGGTCTTGCAGGTCTTCATAGAACCATTCAACTTCAGCTTCTTCAGCATTACTGGTCAGGGCATAGACTTGGATTACCATAATGAATGGTTTGCCTTGGAAGCAAACAGAGATCATTCTGCTGTTTTTGAGATTGCATCAAAGTACTGCATTTTGGACTCTTTTGTTGACTATGATGGCTATTCCATTTCTTCTAAGGGATTCTTGCCCACAGTGGTAGATATAATGGCCATCTGAGTTAAATTCACCCATTCCAGTCCATTTTAGTTCGCTGATTCTTAAAATGTTGACTTCACTCTTGCCATCTCCTGTTTGACCACTTCAAGAGGGAGGAGATATGTGTATACATATAGCTGATTCACTTTGTTGTACTCCATAAACTAACACAACTTTGTAAGGCAATGATAATAAAAAATAAATTAATAATCCAATAAAAAAATTGAAGTTAGAGGACCTGGGATTGAATGTCTTGGAGGATGTGATGAAGCAGAATATCAGGAAATTTAGCCAGAAGCTTTGAGTAAGTCTTCCAGATGAGGCTCATGCAGATGAATATGTAAACTGTGCAGGTCAGGGTCTTGTATAGAGCCTACAGTGGTGCAGCCCCAGGCGCTAAGCATTCCCTGACCACTGCCCATGTTTAGTCCTGAGCCCAGAGTATGAGGGACACAAAAGCTGTATCAGGCACAGTCTCTGGTCTCAGGGGTTTTATTCCAGTTGGGAAAAGAGACTGTGGGAGAGGATACTTTGCCATGGCTCAATGGAAGAAGTGAGACTTAACTCAGCTTAAAGGATGCTCAAGAGGGCTTGGACCAGGCAGTATCAGTGAAAATGGAGAGGAAAGGATGAATTGGAGAGACATTACCAAGTCAAGAATGCTGCATCATGGGGTTAGAGAATCAGATACACCAGAGTTCAAGTTCAGATTGTTACCTACTAATTGTATGATTTCAATCACCTTGAACTCTAAGCTTCAATTTTCACGTTTGAGAGCATAATAGCTTTCACCTCATATTGTGAAAATTAAATGAGATACTGCTTAGCACCAGGAGCATGGTACACATTCAGTAGATGGTAACTATCATCTTCATTGTTACTCTTACTATTATTAAAATAAATAAACAAGTTTCTAAGCATATTGGCCAAAGGGCATAGAAAATGGCAAGTGCGGTGCATGTTTTCCATTTTCCTCCAGATCCATCCTCTATCTTTCTCTGTGCCCCAGCCAAGAGGCTGGGCTTCAATGGAGTGTACCAACAGGCCCCAGTGCCCTTGGCTTTGGTTGGTTTCAGTCAATGGAAGGCAACTGCAGGAGAGAGGAATTGAAGAAAGATGAGGTAGGGTCTTTATTTCCTTGATTTCCTCCTGCCTGTATTATCGCGGATTGGCTGTGTCTCTACCAAAAGCCACGGAGCTTGTCAGCTACTCCTGTAACTCCTGCTACTCTCCTCATGCACCATCATCTGCTCTTCCTCCGTTCCTCTGCCCCACTGTTCCTTCCATGAGGCCCTTTCTGTCCTTTTCTGTAACCTTTATTTGGTTATAAAATAATGCCTTCCTAAACCCTCCTCAGTTCCTCCACTGGAGTAAGTCATCTCTTTCTTGCCAGGACCCTAACTGACACTATAAATCTCATAGATAGTATGCAGATTCCTAGCTTGGGAGGTGGGAAGAACATGAACCCCCTGATAAAAACAAGGAATTTGAAAAGGCTAACAAGTTTGAATGAAGATGTCAATGTTGGACAAGGTGCAATGTTCAGTGAGAGCAGGAGATCCAAAGGAAAATCAGCACCAGCATGTGGCCCTATAGATGAGAAGTGAGGACTAGTCATTGGGAATTGGCAGCATGGAAATGGTGGTTAAAGCCATGGGAAGGAATGAGGTGCTCAAAGGAAAGAGAAAAGTAAAGAAAACCAGTTATGAATTATAATTTGGAATCTCAGAATTTCAATTGTGTTCTACCCTCAGAAGAAGTTAGGACATAGTTTTCTTACCATAAGTGTACTTCATTTAACTCACTTGACTCTGAGAGATGGGCAGGTATGTGAAAAGTTTAAGCTTCTACACTCAACACATAGAACCAGGATGTCTGCTCCAAAATCCAGATGCTTTCTACATATGCTGCTCATGCTGAGAAGGTTAGTTTTAGCCCTATCTGGCCTTCCTTCACTGAACCAAATGGGCCTGGAACTCTCAGGCCAAGGTTAACACTGTCAGAGATCACCTCTCTTCTCCTCTGGGTCCCAACACGAATCCCCACATTCCCTCTAACATAGGAAGAAACTTCCTGAACCCAGGCCTTGGAAAGCTAGTGCCTCGAACCACTGTCCTCTGCTTTAAAAACTTATGTTCTCCCGGTTTCTGAAAGCCTGAGTCTTACAAGGGCTTCCCTGATAGCTCAGTTGGTAAAGAATCTGCCTGCAATGCAGGATACCCTGGTTCTATTCCTGGGTCAGGAAGATCCGCTGGAGAAGGGATAGGCTACCCGCTCCAGTATTCTTGGGCTTCTCTGGTGGCTCAGCTGGTAAAGAATCTGCCTGCAGTGTGGGAGACCTGGCTTTGATCCCTGGGTTGGGAAGATTCCCTGGAGAAGGGAAAAGCTACCCACTCAAGTATTCTGGCCTGGAGAATTCCAGGGACTGTATAGTCCAGTCCATGGGGTCGCAAAGAGTTGGACACGACTGAGCAACTTTTCACTCACTCGCTTTACTCGTCTATCATTCACTCCTTAACTCCTGCGACCTGGCTTCGGTAGATCCACCACTCAATTGAAATCAGGGCTGCCGAGGTCCCTCATGATCTCTCAGTGGCCAAATCCAATGCACATCTTGTTTTCCTTCCTTCTTTGAAGACTGGATGGTGTGGCCCACTCTCTCCTTCTCAGAGCCCTCTTTTCTCTTGACTTTTGTTGCTCTGCCCCTTCCAGGTCTGCCTTGACCATTCCAGTTTCTCCTTGGCGACCTCTCACTTGCCCCTGGTTACTGTTTCCCATGACTCTACCTTTAATTTCTTCACCACTTACTCCACCTGTTTGCCTGAGCAATCTCTATACTGCACAGCTTCAACCTACAACTGTGCCCAAATTTACTTGTCTGACCCAAACACATCCTCTGAAGTTCAGATCCATGGCTCTAATTGCCTACTGGACCCCTCCAATTGGATGTCCTACAGGTGCCTCAAAATGTCCCAACTGAACTTGACATCTGGCCTCCGGCCTGCCTCCCACACCCATTCTGAACCAGATCCTCCACTTTGATTCCTGACCTTGGTTAGCCAAGCTAGAAATCTGGCATCCATCCAAGCCTCCTCCCTCCCTTTATTTACCCTGTTAAGTCTGCCACCGCTTCCTTAAACTCTTAGATTTGTCCCCTTCTCCATCTTTATTGCCAGCCTTGGTTTAGGACTTCATAATTTGTTACCTGGATTATAATTTTCTAGCCTATTTCCTACTGTATTGCCCCCATGGTGGTTGCTGTTTCTCAGCTTTAAACCATCCAGTGTAGCCCCATCATGCCACCTCAAGATGAAATTAATCTAAGCTCCTTAGCATGGCATAAAGGCTTCTCATGGTACAGTCCTTATCTAAGGACCTCTCTCCAGTCTCCTCCCTTCCCTGTGAGCGCCATCTGGTCAGTTATACTGCCACACTCCTTATACTCTCAGCACTGTCTTGCCCCTGGTCCACAGCACCTGCTGATTCCTTTTCATAGAACACCCCTTTGCCCTACCCTGCCATATTCTTCCTACAATGTCAAGTCCAGAAATCCCTTCCGGGAAGCCTTCCAAAGTACTCTCCCCCTGGTCAGGGTGAGCCTCTTCTGTGCCGCCGTTAGCATCATATGTGATCATAGGTAACCTTTCTCATGCTGCATGTTACTTGTGGATTTACTGGTCTGTTGTTCCCAGGAGTCTATAATCCGCTTGAAAAAGGGACTGTTTCTTTGTCTTCAAATTCCTTCTGCCTGATGCAGAGTCTGAGTCATAGGGAGTACCCCACAAATGTTATTGAATGAATGTGAGTTATTTAATTCATATGATGAAAGAATAATGAACTGTGTGTCTTAGCATTTGAATCTTCCTAGTTTTTTGTCTGTGTCTGGCTTCTGAAGCACAGCCTGTCCTGACTTTTGCCCGTGTCCTTTGTGTGAGGACATCTGACCACCCATCTCGCTACTGGTCCAATGGCCTAAACTACAATTTCAACTTCACACATCCCTGGTTCTAGCGGTCTCAGCTTTTGCCCATTGCCACGCTTCACCTCTACTCCATACGACCCTGACACTGATGAACGAGGCTATGGGTTCCAATGTAAAGTAGTGATTTGATGAAATGTGACAAAAAGCAAGGATATAAAAGCCAAAGATTTTGATCTGAAAAGTATGTATTCAAGATTGACTTTTAGGGTTTTCAAGTTTCATATATTGAGTTTACAGATACTGGCAATTTTTATAGCCTGTGTCCCCCAGGCCCATCAAATCTGGTTGTGCTTGCCCTTTACAATAGCTGACATATTGTTTTCTTGAACCTACTGTGGTTTCTGATTTATTATGGGATGACTGCTGAGGAAAAACAGCCATACAGATCCCCCTGAGAAGGAAAAAGGGCTAAATATTTATTGAAACAGAAAGCTCTACTCTCTTTTCATCCTTGTAAGACAAAGATAGCTAAATCTTCAGCAAAGCTTTTCTTGCCAGAACATTTCTACCCCCACCAATGTAGAGAAAATATGATGCTATAAAGTAATTTGTGTCATATTTTCCCATGTCAAATTCCCTAATAAAGACTTTTGAAACATGACAAAATTCATTACCAGCCTTCTGTGTTGAAAATGATAGGGAGAATCCTGTGCTATGCGTTTGGAAAATTCTTGTACCTGCAGTGAAAAAAATGCAACATTTTATTAAGGGCCTGATGTCTTATATTTGAATTTGGTTACTTCTATTTTTCATAATAAGGTTTAAAAGTATTACTTTAAAAAAAAAGGTATTACTTTAGCCTTCAGTTGATCAGTCTGTTCTTTTAACTTCTGACACATCTCCTTCCCCTGGGATATCTTTTGAAATATGTAAGAAGAACTCAAGGAAGGGTCTTCCTTAGAAGTTGATGGCAACTTAGAGAGATTTGGCTCAGATTCTATTCCTACATAAGAAAGAGTAAATTTTGGCTACCATTCATCTCAACTGCATTACAGTTTTGTTAAGTACCGAAAACAGAAGTCCGTGGCAATCACCACAATTTGCTGTTAAAAAAATCTCTTTTCAAAAGGTGTTTCTAAGTTAAAGAGGTTTAAAAATGCTAGTACCTGTGAGATGTTCTTGGTGGATATGTACTGTGGGCTCCATCTGCACAATGAAAGGATAAGAAAACATTACTGTTGATATTAACCAACGACACCATTATGCAGGATGACCCAATGTGTTCTGGTCATCATGGAGGCCACCCAGAGTTATGTCAAGAGCTGAGGCCCTGATGCCAAGGTTGAATTCCACTCTGACACTTATCTGCCAGGTGATCAAGAGCAATTAGATCATTGCTATAAACCTCAAATTCCTCAGCAATAAAATGGGGATAGTAACATAAGCTATTTCATAGTGTCATGATGAGAATTAAATGTTACCATAGTATCTGGCCCATGGAAAATATTCAATATATGTTAGCTGTTACTGTTACCATGTTTGATACTATTATATGGAATACTCAAACACTTCTCCTACAGTTCGACCACAAACTCCCAGGGCAGGGATCTCTGTTGGTCTTGTCACTGACTCTGTTGCTAGTGCTCTCACTAACACCAGATAGATACATGGTGGCTAGTGTCTGGGAGCAAGATAGTGACTTCACACAGGACATTCCCTTTTCTGCTCACCACAGGCTAACTGGATAAGAGTTCAAATTCCAGAGTGATTCACCTTGATCGTCTTCCCATTGTTCCCAACACACACAGCTCACAAACACACTAGAGGCAGAGAGCCAATGTTGTAGTCAAACTAGATTGTGGTTATTAGGAATATCTCGGGTATGTGATGGCTATGGAAACTAGAGTCCAGTTCTCCAACCTGAATGGACAGAACAAAACAAAAGCAGATGACCCACTTCAGACTCCCATTACCAGAGACAGATGAACTTGCTATTCATTTTGCCTCTACTTCCCACAGGGCACTGAAAACTGTGCCCACCCAAGAACGTTCTTCTGCAAGCAGAATGAGGAATGTGGAGACTTCCCAATGTCACAGGGGTACAGATTTCTTCAAGACTGAGAGAAGCATCCCGGTCAAGGCCGAATGGGCTGCTGACTCTAGGTGGTGGTTGTGTGTTGCAAGGGGTAGGGGAGGTTCTATTCAAATTCCCCAGAAGTTTCAGTTAAAAGAAAAGGTGGATGAAGGGGTGGAAATGGAAACAGGCAGAGAGTGTTCAGGCAGGGTGCCCTTCATAGACTGCTCAAAAGAAAAAAATCATACAGTCCTGGCAAAGTGCCAGAGAGCTAAAGTGTTTACTTTGATCATTAATGTGAACTTATTTAACTACAGAACCTCAAATAGTCAGTGAGATCCTCAGCCTCAGCATTTGGGAAGGTGGATGGAAGGATGGAAAGATGGGGAAAGGGGGAAAAGTATAAATTAAATGTTAACAAAATGTTGTACTAAATAGTTACCAGTATAACAATCTTGAAATATGTTATTAAAGATCATAATTCAAGTTAGCATTCATAACCAAGGGCATAATATATGCAAACACCTGGCCAGGGGAACCTGGCCAGTTCCCCTCCTCTCGGGGAACTTGGGTGATGGAAATGTGAAGACGAGGTAGCTGCCTCCAGAGCCTTAAAATCTAGTAGAAGGAACAGATGTTTAGAAATTGTAATGAGGCAATCAGGCTGAGATAAGCTCTGACAGAATACTTAACAAACACGGATGGAAAAGACTGGCTGTGGGATTCTGAAAAGTCTCATGGCCAGTGTGGAGTTGAAGGAGACCATGAAAATGAGCAGAGGTTTGATAAGTGGAGGTGGGATGTTCCTGGCAAGGCAGGAGCTCAGAGAGGGTGGGCCCAGCCCACTAACTGAGGATGATTCCTGGGGGAGGGGAGCTGAGTTCAGAAGGCTAGGGTGACAGGAAAAATGGGGAAATGCAAATTCCAGGTTGGAGAATTTGGATTTTATTCTGTGTTATTGTTAGTTCAGTTCCAGATTCTTCTCATGAGGACACCTACTGAGCTCCTGAGAGGTCAGGGCACCGGACTAGAACTAGAATTCAGAACCTCAGAACTACAACTTAGTTCTATGAACCTTCTGAAGACCCACACTCATTTGGATGAGCAGCGGTCCTGGGGTGTGTTTCCTGAAGACTGCTTTCACTTACCTCCACCCGTTGTGAAGGTTCAGTAGTTTCCCACGTCTGCTCTTGTTTTTCAACATAATTTGATCTAGATGTGCTTTCTGAAATATCTTGCCCAACAGCTGACTTCTCTCTCAATTTAGGAGAAAAGCTGGCTTGTGGATCTGTTATAAGTGGTTTGTCAATTATGTTATTTTTAGGAATTTTCACTTTGGGAGCAACCTTAGAGAAATCAGAGAACCAGTAATAAACTTGACTGTGGCCATATTTGAACTTGTTGCCAGAGCTTGCTTTTTCAGCCTGTTTCTGAGGTGTCTGCCATAGGCAACTTTTTTGTTTATCATGTAGACACTTGATTTTAGTTAGAAAATTTGAATTTTCCTCATGGTTGCTTTCTCCAGCAACTACTAACTCATCTGAATCGGAGGTGTTTTCCTCTGTCATGGTCAGAGAACAACTGGGCTTATTGCTACTTTCATCATCGCTTTTGGAGTTGAGTTGGTCAGTGAGTTCTGAGGATTGTTCTGTTGGCCAAGAATTCTTAACATGCCACACAATAATATTTTTAATAATAGCTTCATCAAAACTGTCATTATTAGAGATCTCTGGGAGAGTTTCACAATCAATGCCTTGATCTTTGGAGAATTCTTCTTTGAAAAGGTGATGGAGTAAAATATCAGAAATGTTTGACTTTGAAGTGTCTTCCTGATTAGCTGGAATAGGAAGATTTATGGTGCATTGATTCTCTTTATCACATGTTTTGCTGACAGCATTTTCAGTCATTTTATCCAAAGTCATGATCATATCTGCCTCTTGGCAAGTCTCTCTATATGTAGTCTTTTCTTGAGATTCATCTTCTGTTAAATTCGTTTGATTTGAGACATCAAGGATGTCATATCTTGAGGTAAGATTATAACCATGGTATATCTTAACTTGGGAGAAACCCTCATCATAAGGCAAATCCTCCTGTTGCTTAGAAGTTGTGTCTTCCAGGAAATAGGCTTTGTCCATGTGTGTGAAGCCTGACCTCCTTTATCAGTTGTTCCTGATCTTGATGTTCTTAATTATAGCAATAGATCTTCTCATTTTCATTAATTGTCTTCACTGTGTGTCCTCATCTGTGCAAAATGAAAAGAATATCATTGTTAAATGTAATTTGTGTAATGTATGAAACTAGACTTATCCAGGCATCTATGCCAGATCAAAGTGGATGTTTTCCATTTAGAGAAATGCAATTATGAACGTGAAGGCAGAAAGCTCTGTCAAGAGGAACTGATCCTAAATATTACTTTAACATAATTGATGGTATATAAGCAAGGAATTAGAAAAGGGGGGGGCTAAATATTTTGTTCATTAAGCTTTGAGGGAGACATTGGTTTCCAGTTAATGACCAAATGTTTATCAACTTCTCTTAGGAAGTACTATTTGAAATTTGTGCTCCCAAAATAGCAGCTTGGGATGCAAGTAAGGGATTGATTTTTTTTTTTTTTTAAGTACCATGGCTGTCCTTTGTCCACATACCATGGATAAGCCTCTGTGTATGGAACTGAGAGCTGGATCAGCTCAAACAAACCACCGGCTTTCTCTGCTTTAGTGCTTTTCATCTGTCTTCCCCTAGACATTCTGGTCCCATTCTGGTTTTCGCTTGTATGTTGGCAAAAGGCAGAGAATGACAGATATGTGAACAAGGAACAAAAAGGTATTTTGAACACCTGGAGGCTAGTCTGCCTTCAAGCATTCCTCTTCTGATTAGAATCCAGACAGAACCCAGTTCAAGAGGCTGCCTTGCTCTGAGAATGAACTCATGGTTGCCGGAGAGGAAGAAGGGGGGGACGGGGTAGTTAGGGAGTTTAGGATCGACTTGTACGCACCGCTGTATTTTAAATGGATGACCAACAAGGCCCTTCTGTATGTGAGCACAGGGAGCTCTGCCCAGTGTTCTGTGGCAGCCTGGATGGGAGGGGGGCTTGGGGGAGACTAGATAACGTGTATGTGGACGGCTGAGTCCCTCTGCTGTCCACCTGAAACTATCACAACATTCTTAATCAGCTATACTTCAATACAAAATAAAAAGCTTTTTTAAAAAAGTCTGCGAATAGCCAGTGTTGACAAGGATGTGGAGAACACTTCACCTTTGCGCCACTGGTGGGAGTGTAAACTGGTGTAGTCACTATGGAAAACTGTATGGAGGTTCCTCAAAAACCTGTAAATATAACTACCATATGATCCAGCAATCCCACTTTGGGGTATATATCTGAAAATATCAATTCAAAAAGATAAATGAACCTGAAACTTCATGGCAGCATTATTTACAAGAACCAAGATATGGAAGCAACCCAGGTGTCAACAAATGAATAGATAATGAGATGCAATGTGTATATATATATATATATATATATATATATATATACATACATACATATATGTATCTATACATATATATAGGCTCAGACAGTTAACAAATCTGCCTACAATATAGGAGACCCAGGTTCAATCCCTGGGTCAGGAAGATCCCCTGGAGAAAGGAATGGTAACCCACTCTAGTATTCTTGCCTGAAGAATTCCATGGACAGAGGAGCCTGGTGGGCTATATAGTTCACGGGCTCACAAAGAGTCAGACACAACCAAGTGACTAACACACACAATACACAGTGGAATATTAGTCAGCCGTAAAAGTTAAATTCTACTTTTTTCAACAACATGGACGGACATAGAATTTATTGTGTTTAATGAAATAAGTCAAAGATAACTGTTATCTCCAACTAATAAAAATAAATGAAAAAAAAATAAATAAAACAAAAACAAACAAACAAAATATGTACAGATGTATTTGATGGCCAAGAATATAGTCTATCTTGGTGACTATTCAAAAAAAAAAAAAGATAACTGTTATCATTTATGTGTAGAATCTAAAAAATGAAACAAAACAGAAACAGACTCACATATATAGAAAACAATCTAGTGATTATCAGTAAGAAGAGAGAAAGGGAAAGGGTCAAATTAGCAGTGAGGATTAAGATCCACCAACTACTGTGTATAAAATAAATAAGTTACAAGGATCTGTTATACAGCACAGTGAATAGAGCCAATAGATTATAACTTTAAATGGAATATAATGTGTAAAAATATTGAATTACTATGTTACACGCCTGAAGCTAAAATAAATTTGCAAGTCAACAGCAACGAAGCAGAGTCTGAGCAGTCCTGTCAAGCTGCCACAGTCTGGTGGTAGTCGTGCGTCTTAGGGATACTCCTGAAAATGTTCAGAGTAAAACCAGCTGCCACTTGGTATGAGTCTTTTATTCTTTGGGGAAGCTTCCCTAGTGGCTTATATGGTAAAAAATCTGCCTGCAGTGCAGGAGACCTGGATTCAATCCCCGGGTTGGGAAGATCCTCTGGAGAAGGGATAGGCTACCCACTCCAGTATTCTTTTTTTTTTAATCTATTTATGTATTGGCTGTGGTGAGTCTTTACTGATATGCAGGCTTTCTCTAGCTGTGGTGAGCAAGGTCTTCTCTTCATTGTGGCGGCTTCTCTTGTGGCGGAGCACAGGCTCTGGGGCCATACATGGGCTTCATGCGGCCAGCAGGCTCAGTAGTTGTGGCGGATGGGCTAAGTTGTGTGTGGCATGAGGGATCTTCCCAGACCTGGTATCAAACCAATGCCCTTTGCATTGCAAGGTAGGTTCTTAACCACTGGACCACCTGGGAAGCCCCCACTCCAGTGTTCTTGCCTGGAGAATTGCATGGACAGAGGAGCCTGGAGGGCTGCAGCCCATGGGGTCACAAAGAGTCAGACACAACTGAGTGACTAACACTTGCACTGTATTCTTTTAAATAAAACTGAAAGCATCCATTTAAATATCTCTTCTTGATTTATAAACTTTTGGGACAACTTTATAGAAGTAGTCAAATTGCCTCCAGTTTTAGCTGGAGTAACTGAAGCTCTGAGTCAACCAAGAGACCACAACCACTGGCCGGCCTCCCTTGCCCATATAATGATGGGGTTGGAGAAGCAGATCTCTGAGGTCTTCTCCCCCACCTAAATTTTTATGAGTCTATAACTTGTCCTTTGTTATATAACCTAAAAAGCTAAAGGAATATGTTTGGCCAAAAAAAGAGAGCTAAATTATCTGAGGGGGAAGAAAAGGACTAAAACTAAAATGTGGTAAAGGTATCTATAAAACATTGTACAAAAATTTTAATTTATAGATAGATGTCAATTTTTAGAGAATTCAAATAAACGTATTTTGTTTAAAGAGAGAAACAGAAAGAAAAAGAACCATCATCATCACTGCAGGATTACTTTAGCAGTCTAACATTTACTGTAAAGTGAGATGTATGAACAGAATTACAGGCTACTGCAACTGAACTTGAAGAACAAGGGAGATGTTTCCCAAGAAGGTCAAAAGCATGGAGGGAAAGTAGGGGTTGGGAGACCAGGATTTGAATTCTGGCTTCTCTACTCACTAGCCCTATGCCATCAGGCAAGTTACTTCACTTTTCTGAGTTTTTAGTTTCCTCTTCTGAAAAATAATAATAATACCTAGTTCACAGGATTGCTAGATGAATATGAGATAAGGTATATAAAGTCCTGACATAGTGTTTGGCACAGAGTGAGCAATCAATAAGGGTAGTTTAAAAATGAAAAACAGACCCAGTCTCACTGTTGGAGTGCTAAAGAATGCCCAGTACAGAAAGCTAGGTACACTTTATCTGTGGCATATTGGCAGGATAAAGGAAGAAATGGCATGTATGAGACATGACCTCTATAGGAGTCTCAAAACTACTTTAAGAAACTCTACCTGTAAATAAAATTATTGTTTGATGGTGAAAACCATTACAAAATAATTTTAGATAAAGCATTGTCTAAGTTACCCTGATAACTAAGTGGTAAAGAATCTGCCTGCCAATGCAGGAGACACAGGTTTGATCCCTGGGTCAGGAAGATCCCCCAGAGAAGGAAATAACACCCCACTCCAGTATTCTTGCTGGGAAATCCCATGGACAGAGGAGCCTGGTGGGCTACAGTCCATGGTGTCAGAGAGTCAGACACGACTTAGTGACTGAACAACAACAAAGTTTATCCATTCTGGGTATGATAGTTTGCACATGCCAATCTCAGACTCCTCCTCCTTCCCTTCCCCAACTCCCCTTGGCAACCACAAGTCTGTTCTCTGAGTAGGTGAGTCTGTTTCTGTTTCATAAATAAGTTAATTTGAGTCATATTTTAGATTCCACGTAAAAGTGATATCATATATCTTTCTCTTTCTGTCTTACTTAGTATAATCTTCTCTAGGGCCAACCAGGTTGCTGCAAATAGCATTATTTCATTTATGGCTGAGCAGTATTCCACTCTATATACACACCATATCTTTTTTTTTTTCATTTATTTTTATTAGTTGGAGGCTAATTACTTTACAATATTGTAGTGGTTTTTGCCATACATGGACATGAATCAGCCATGGATTTACATGTGTTCCCATCCCAATCCCCCCTCCCGCCTCCCTCCCCATCCCATTCCTCTGGGTCTTCCCAGTGCACCAGCCCTGAGCACTTATCTCATGCATCCATCCTGGGCTGATGATCTGTTTCACCCTTGACAGTATACTTGTTTCAATGCTATTTGTTCAGAACATCCCACCCTCACCTTCTCCCACAGAGTCCAAAAGTCTGTTCTGTACATCTGTGTCTCTTTCTCTCTTTTGCATATAGGATTATCATTGCCATCTTTTAAAATTCCATATATATGGTTAGTATACTGTATTGGTGTTTATCTTTCTGGCTTACTTCACTCTGTATAATGGGCTACAGTTTCATCCATCTCATTAGAACTGATTCAAATGAATTCTTTTTAATGGTTGAGTAATATTCCATTGTGTATATGTACCATAGCTTCCTTATCCATTCGTCTGCTGATGGGCATCTAGGTTGCTTCCATGTCCTGGCTATTATAAACAGTGCTGCGATTAACATTGGGGTGCACGTGTCTCTTTCAGATCTGGTTTCCTC